AATTGTGTTGGGCAAACTCTCCAGCAAAAATAAAAAGTGCACGCACTTCAGTTTTAGCGTCGACGTCTCCAAAGTGGAGTTCGACCCTGGAAGGAATGGCTCTGCGATACGACCAAATCGTACACGATGCAAAGTATTCTGATGGTCCTACTTCATCTTATATTGGACTCTGCGAGTGTCCGATCTTTTTTTAAATTAAACTTCATGAAGGGAGTGCATACAAGACCATTGTAGTCCGATCTCCTGCTTCACATGTAACTTGATTCCGTGCCGCATGTGTTAAGTCATAATCCAACGTTAATCGTTAATGTAAAAACAGACGTAAAAAAATATCAACAAACATCACCGGGTTATTCGTAAATTTCGGGTTAATCGCTGTGTCGATTCATGTCCAATCAATCTATGGATCGAGTAATGACACATCCCTGTCAACCCATACAGTTTAACTGTATTCTTGTACAGGGGAATTGAGTTTTCGGGTCCATACGGCGTACAGCCGTTGCAATACGGGCAATCTTTTTTTGTCTATTTGTTTGTGTTTCTCCCATGTAATGGGACTTTGTAGGATGAACGTTGAGATTTATAAGGGCACGGGGTTATAACCCAAAAAAGCCATATACTATGGATATTGGTCGCGATTTGCCCATGTGTTAAAGTGACCAATAAAGTCTTAATTGGTCTGCAATATTAAGGTAGGCACTGATAAGGGGTTGACAGCTTTGAATGATGTGACATGCCCCCTTTCATTTGATTGGCTAACATCAGTAAGATCTTAATTTGAAGCTTTCGTGACTGCAGGAATCCATATTCTTTGGTTCTTTTGGTAAAGTCACGTAGGTAGAAAAAAAAATAATTACAAATCATTTTTCTACGTAATAAAAAATAAGTTTTCTTCCTACGTGACTTTACCGAAAGAACCAAAGAGTATCAGTCAGATCGGTGATTCCGGCCCAGTCCCGTTCCACTGTTCCCACAGCGATGTGGTAACTATGACAACGGAAACACCGATCTTAGCCAATCAAATGAAGGCGGTGTGTCACATCATTACCTAACATTGATTTATAGGCATTGATAAATGTGTTTTTGTTACACAGCGATTTAACACGGCACTCTGATCGCCTACGTGAACAAACGACTGTGCACGTGTAAGTACAGATCAGACATCAACATCGATGTTTTGTATGATCCGAGTACCGCATATTACAACTAGAATAAAATCGGACATTAAGCATAACATCGAATTGTGAACATTTTTGAACAGCGATTTAACACGGCACTTTGATCGACTATATGAACAAACTGCTATATTAAAAAAAAAGTTATATACAAATCGGACATATATAGCGTTGTGTTGCATCTGTGAAACCGCAGAAATGTAATTTAAGATTTTAAAAAATCAACTGCACATTTGCAAGATGGATTGAGCCGGGCCGTGCCGGATCGACTGAGCGAAATCGATAAAATCCAGATACGAGGGGAGGGGGAGCATATCTCTGATAGGCGATTTATATTAAACAAAGTAGCCTTTCAGAAGTATTAAAAAAATCGATTTTACCCCTCATGCCAATGAAACAGCTGTTAAGATATTCAAACACCAAGGCCTGAATTTAAAAGGGTGCGTAGGTATATATGCCTACAAAATAAACTCGACAATTGTATTTAAGGTATGCAGTCATATATGCCTACGAAATAAACCCGACTATATTGTATGTAGGGTGTGTAAGCATATATACCTACATATATATTTATTTTTTGGGGGGGGGTCAACAATTTTTGCAAAGGGGCCGTCCATAAATGACGTCACGCGATTTTTGACCCCCCCCCCCTCGTCACACGGCGTCACAAAAAGTCAGACCCCCCTCAAATATGACGTCACAAAGCTCTGCCCCCCCCCCAAAGCCATATTTCCATTTTAAAAATAAAACATGCTTCAAATCGCTTTAAACTATTGTCATTGTAGTGTGTATTTAATGTGGCGTTGGAAAGCTTAAATTTAGCAAAAAAATATTTGAAAATATTCAACGTCTAACCAAAACAGCAGATGTTCAGAATATTATATTGAAATTATCTTATAATTATAAAATATTAAAAGTAATTATAACTATAACTAAGCAAAATGGAGAGTACAATTATAACAATCATATATTCATTCCACAGAATGAAAAGCCCTGGTAGAATCATTAGAATCAAAATGTTTAATAACAATCATTAAAAAAATGTTCAAAATGTATGCTTCTCCATTCTCCCATGGAGAAGCAAAATGCTCCTTCATGGAATAAATAAAAGGTGACCTTAGTAAATTTAAATAATCAAATAGTTAATAATTAAAATTATAAAAAATTAGTGTTGTTATAACAATTCTATATTTATTTAAAGTTGTGCATTTTGATGTGACGTCACATTTCTCAAACCCCCCTCCCCCTTGTCACAAATGTCTGACCCACCCCCCCCTAGGTGCGTGACGTCATTTATGGACGTCCCCAAACCTGCTGGATAAACTTTTTACCCCCACATCTGGGGAGTGGCGGCGGCGGGGGTCCACTTTCTACAACGTTTTGATTCAGGCCTTCCGAAAGGCCCCCTCTTATCGTCGAGTTGACGGACAAACGGACAGAACGCCGTGCTTCCATAGACAAGATCACAGGCGCCGCGTGCGTGATCGCGCCCGTCGTCGTGATCGCGTTGCATCGAACGAATCACTCCGAAAGAGGCCGCTCGCACGGCAGCAAAAGAGCCCTCCCCATGCTCAACGGTCCTTCGACGATCGACTGTGCGCAGGCGAATGAATGCGAACGAAGAACGACGAGTCGGCCATACAGTGAGGGAACAAAGTATTTGATCCCCTGCTGATTTTGTACGTTTGCCCACTGACAAAGAAATGATCAGTCTAAATTTTAATGGTAGGTTTATTTGAACAGTGAGAGACAGAATAACAAATAAAATCCAGAAAAACGCATGTCAAAAATGTTATAAATTGATTTGCATTTTAATGAGGGAAATAAGTATTTGACCCCCTCTGCAAAACATGACTTAGTACTTGGTGGCAAAACCCTTGTTGGCAATCACAGAGGTCAGACGTTTCTTGTAGTTGGCCACCAGGTTTGCACACATCTCAGGAGGGATTTTGTCCCACTCCTCTTTGCAGATCTTCTCCAAGTCATTAAGGTTTCGAGGCTGACGTTTGGCAACTTGAACCTTCAGCTCCCTCCACAGATTTTCTATGGGATTAAGGTCTGGAGACTGACTAGACCACTCCAGGACCTTAATGTGCTTCTTCTTGAGCCACTCCTTTGTTGCCTTGGCCGTGTTTTGGGTCATTGTCATGCTGGAATACCCATCCACGACCCATTTTCAATGCCCTGGCTGAGGGAAGGAGGTTCTCACCCAAGATTTGATGGTACATGGCCCCGTTCATCGTCCCTTTGATCCGGTGAAGTTGTCCTGTCCCCTTAGCAGAAAAAACACCCCCAAAGCATAATGTTTCCACCTCCATGTTTGACGGTGGGGATGGTGTTCTTGGGGTCATAGGCAGCATTCCTCCTCCTCCAAACACGGCGAGTGGAGTTGATGCCAAAGAGCTCCATTTTGGTCTCATCTGACCACAACACTTTCACCCAGTTGTTCTCTGAATCATTCAGATGTTCATTGGCAAACTTCAGACGGGCATGTATATGTGGTTTCTTGAGCAGGGGGACCTTGCGGGCGCTGCAGGATTTCAGTCCTTCACGGCGTAGTGTTACCAATTGTTTTCTTGGTGACTATGGTCCCAGCTGCCTTGAGATCATTGACAAGATCCTCCTGTGTAGTTCTGGGCTGATTCCTCACCGTTCTCATGATCATTGCAACTCCACGAGGTGAGATCTTGCATGGAGCCCCAGGCCGAGGGAGATTGACAGTTCTTTTGTGTTTCTTCCATTTGCGAATAATCGCACCAACTGTTGTCACCTTCTCACCAAGCTGCTTGGCAATGGTCTTGTAGCCCATTCCAGCCTTGTGTAGGTCTACAATCTTGTCCCTGACATCCTTGGAGAGCTCTTTGGTCTTGGCCATGGTGAAGAGTTTGGAATCTGATTGCTTCTGTGGCCTTTTATACAGGTAATAAGCTGAGATTAGGAGCACTCCCTTTAAGAGTCTGCTCCTAATCTCAGCTCGTTACCTCTATAAAGGACACCTGGGAGCCAGAAATCTTTCTGATTGAGAGGGGGTCAAATACTTATTTCCCTCATTAAAATGCAAATCAATTTATAACATTTTTGACATGCGTTTTTCTGGATTTTTGTTGTTGTTATTCCGTCTCTCACTGTTCAAACAAACCCACCATTAAAATTATAGACTGATCATTTCTTCGTCAGTGGGCAAACGTACAAAATCAGCTTGGGATCAAATACTTTTTTCCCCCCTCAACTGTAGAACCATGAAACGACAGGGCAACGCAGCACGGCCTGTGTACGTGGCATCGTCGTCGAAAGGGGTGGGCGGGATCCGAATGATGAGGATTCAGGAGAGATAGCGGCCGATTTGGTAGATTTTAAACTTGATCATGAAAAAGGAACAATACTCATGCCTGATGAAGCACGTGGTGTGCACGACTCGCTACGCGACACGCGGTTGAGGAACGCGGTCATGAATGACAAAACATGATTACACAGAGGGAACAAAAGAGAGAGAGAGAGGGCACGGATCAGAGAACACACGCGGGTTTCGTGACATGATTTAAACTGCGAATAAAAGTGAGTTGGCTCGGACAAGTGAAAACAAGAAGGGCTAAATGGCTTGTGGTAAAAAAAATAATAATAATAAAGGGCCTGGGTCGAGTTATTCCCCGAGTCTCCGTTGCAATGAGCTCAGTGAACGGGACACCCGCATGCTGTCATCTCGTATCCATAGCCGATGGGAGAGCAACAGAAATCCAATAGCTTAATTCTAAATGCAATAGCTGTATACAATACCTCACCTTCATACAATACCTTATACCTAAATCGAATACCGATATATCTTACCTAAATACAATACCTTACACCGATGTACGGGATCTTGCGAGCCACCCTTTACGCATCACGCGGTCACGACGTCTCCGCCCCCACGACGACACGCGCCAATCACAAGCGCGGGACGGGGGTCAGGGGTTAGAGGGCAGTGACGTCACCCGGACGGGGTTGGTCTTGGAACGAGTGTTGCTGTGCGTTGGTGAATTAATGAAGTGCTTAAACCATTCTCCGACTTCACCTATATGCAATAACCATATACAATATCTTACCTTAATGTAATACCTTATACCTGAATACAATACCTAAATTAAATACTATACATAGTCTTGGTTCTTTCGGTAAAGTCATGTATTTTTATTATTTTATAATAAAATATATTTTCATGTTTTTATTATTTCCCTTCTACGTGACTTTACCGAAAGAACCAAGAATATGAATCCCTGCAGTCACGAAAGCTTTAAATTAAAATTTAAACACTATACCTTATACCTTACCTGAATACAATACCTTAATACCGAAAAAAGTGAAAAATATATATAGATGACAGAATTTAGTATTGCATTAAGTGGGACGTCACTTTGACTATTAACTGTAATTAAACAACCATTTGAGAATTTTACTTCCTAAATATAATCGCCAAGCATTTCAAGTTGTCCCTTATGTCCTGGAATTGCATGCTTCTGTTTTCTTTGGATAATGACACTTTCCCCAGCCCCCATGTATTTAAAGCAATCGCCGGCATGAAGTCTTATAACCCCAGTAAGCTGTGTGTTTGAAGGTGTGTTCAGATTTCTATAACTCTATTGCCAACCTGGCACACGTTTTTAGGGTGCGTCTTACTTTCCCGAACCAGAGTATTTCCCGAGCGTCTTAGGGGCCGTCCATAAATGACGTCACGCACCTGGGGGGGTCAGACATTTGTGACGATGTATGACGAGGGGGGGGGGGGTGAGAAATGTGATGTCACATCAAACTGCGCAACTTTGAATAAATATATAATTGTTATAACACTAATTGTTATAACAACACTCCTACAACATCAGAGTGCAGCGGCACATTAAATATGCACTACAATGACAATATTTCGATTTAAAGCTTTCGTGACTGCAAGGATTCATCTTCTTTGGTTCTTTCGGTAAAGTCACGTAGAATGAGAATAAAATAATAAATTGATAAAATAACGCAATAATATTCTCACGACGTTTCGGCCACAACACAAGCGGCCTTCATCAGGTGAAGGGGCGAGACTGTCTGGTAGGACAGCGCTGGAGTGAAAGAGCCACGTTCAGATCACGGCCTTTAAGCTGTGTGAGAGGAACAAAGCGCCTTGACAAAGGAATTAGCATATAATTTAGCATTGAAATGGCTGGATGATTAGCTTGTGACTGGTCACAGAAATAGCTATGTTAAAAGTTAAAGCATACACATCCGCAGAGGCACCCATTGTTAAAGGAATTAGCATAGAATTTAGCATTGAAATAGCTAAGTTAAGGCATACACATCCGCAGAGGCACCCCTTGACAATGGAATTAGCATAGAATTTAGCATTGAAATAGCTGAGTGATTAGCTTGTAACTGCTACAGAAATAGCTACGTTAAAGTCAGAGCATACACATTCACCGAGGCACTTAGTACAAATCAAACAGGAGAATTTAGCATTGAAATAACTAGGCGAATTTAGCATTGAAATAACTGAGTGATTAGCTAGTGACTGGTCACAGAAATGACTACACATCTGAGCTATTCACAGTACTATATAGTGAACCAATAAAAACTAAAATATAAATTACCTTCATGTTATCAATAAACTCTATATTCTCCAATCAGCTAAGCTACCAACAATAAGTTGTTATATATCACAATGCTATATGGCGAAAAAATGGGTGGATTCTTACCCTCAAATTTCAGCACCACGGATAGCTACGGGCCCCGTTCAGACGGACGAGTTCGTCCATGGTCGGAACAGAGGAGGGGGAGAGAGACAGCTGCGAGGCCCTAGTATACTCCATGTTGTAAAACTATACCATTAACCGTGGTGTGAGAGGTATTAAGAGGCAATGCTGGCGAAAGAGCTGCGGTCTGAAGGTCATCGTAAAAATACAATTAATTAAGAACTCTGTTCTGTATTGTATTTTTACGATGACCTTCAGACCGCAGCTCTTTCACTCCAGCGCTGTCCTACCAGACAGTCTCGCCCCTTCACCTGATGAAGGCCGCTTGTGTTGTGGCCGAAACGTCGTGAGAATATTGTGTTATTTTATTTTATCAATTTATTATTTTATTCTCATTCTACGTGACTTTACAATGACAATAGTTTAAAGCGATTTGAAGCATGTATTATTTTCAAAATGGAAATGTTTGGGGGGGGGGGCAGAGCTTTGTGACGTCATATTTGAGGGGGGGTCTGACTTTTTGTGACGCCGTGTGACGAGGGGGGGGGGTCAAAAATCGTCCAAAATCGCGTGACGTCATTTATGGACGGCCCCTTATGTTAAGGAGAATACGGTTACACGAGGCAGTGCAAAATCGATATTGTTTAAAACAAATGTCATTATCCCATTCCGCGTCGATGCTTACAGATGCAATGGCCAAAGCAGTGGTTGTACGCAATACAACGAATGGTGAACATTTGAATTTTACAAACCGTTTTTATTTGCAGAGCAACATTACATTTTGCCTCACTGCAGACGCGTGTTGCCTGCGTATGCTGCGGACAAACTCAAATGTGCGTTGGTGTCACAGTGGCTCAGATGGCACGCGAGAATACAATGGGAGACACTGACCCTCCGCATAGTGCGAAGTGTTAATGACGCTGCAAGATGATAGATGTTCACTGTGTAGTAAGGCATTCTTAAATAACCATGGTCAAAACACTCCTGAAGCCCCCCCAAGCCGCTGCCATCTGTCACGACCGTGCAATGTAATGAAAAGCACCCCGGAAGGATGACCGCCACGGAGATGGAGCAATGAGATCAGGTTCATTTGCAGGGGTGAGATGGATTGTGGCGTTGCAGGATCATGAAAAATGGCAATGGCGTGAAGATGCTTTCATCTAGCAGTGGACGGACAACGGCTGAAGATGATTGTGATGATGAGAGATATCCTGACTTGGCTCACTGCAGTATAGCTATTTGACCGCAGCATGAATGGACAAAGATAATGTTGGATGAAAAATGGCCTTTACCGGCAATCTAACCTGGATACCGTGGATTTAAAGTGAGGAGTCCTGGCTTCGATATTAAAGCGTGCATTTATTAATATCCCATGACTGGGTTCAAGGTCTGCACCTTGCCTGTCAGACCTACAATGCCCACGTCAATTACCAATCCTCCATTCAGTTCACGTACAGAGCCCATCACAACCTCCTTCCTAATGACATCTACAATGCTTGCATGCCACATTCTATTCCCGTGATAGAGAAATGTATTTTAGATAAGAGTATACGGTAACACGGTGACTGCGTGCATTGTTTTCAATAGCAACGTTTTTACTTTGAAAGATACATGTTTAAATATAGTTCACTTAATGTCGCCTTGAAAACATACATCTCAAATTACAAGTGCTTTCATACTTTATTTCGTATTTACCGATGAATTGATTGTATGTGTTGTGACATTTGGCTCAATAAACAATTTATATTGTTGAAAGTGAAACTCGAATCCATTTCTGGTGAAGTGATAAATATGGCATTTTGCAGCTGTGTTGCTCCACTGCGCAAATCAGCAGGGAGATGATTTGCCCTTTTTAAGTCTTCTCAATTCGTATTCGTTCATTAACATTAAACAAGGCATCATGGTGATTGTACGGAAGCGCCGTCTGTGAATTGCTGCATTGGAACAATAGTATACAAAACGGCCTGGCTCCATCGGACCTGAAGTTAAATGACACGAAAACATAACGCATTCTATCAGCTACTGCTTAGGTTTACACCGTTCTGCTTTATAGCTCTCTGATGTAGTTTACGGTTGTAACGCGAGGTGTTTGTTACAATGTCGGCCCTTATGCTCCACATGCTGGCAGCTTCTTCAGCATCTTCTTCCCCTCATGCCTGAAGAAACTCCTGGAACGTACGGCAAACACATCGGAGAGATATACAGCACAACCGCACAGAAACCTGTGCAAGTACATCAAGGTATTTTTTTAAATGTCTGCTTAAAATAAATACTTGGAGCGATTGCATGCATAGATTGCCTGGTAGCAGTCGGAATTGAACCATTTTATCCGAGCAAACTGTGGCTTGCTAAATACTAAGTGGCTAGTTGGGCGCTAAATACTAAGTGGGTAGCTTGGGTGCTAAATACTAAGTGGCTAGCTGGGTGCTAAATGCTAAGTGGCTAGCTGGGTGCTAAATGCTAAGTAGGTAGCTGGGTGCTAAATGCTAAGTGGCTCGCTGGGTGCTAAATACTAAGTGGGTAGCTGGGTGCTAAATACTAAGCGGCTAGCTGGGTGCTAAATGCTAAGCGGCGAGCTGGGTGCTAAATGCTAAGCAGCTAGATGGGTGCTAAATAAGGCTGCCGTTGTGATGGATCATCAGAGGGCGGATTGCGACAGCTGAAGAATGAAAGAGGCGCGGGTTCAAAGTGGAGAAATATCGCACCGCGCCTCACCGCGATTAGTGTTCATTAATGTTCAGAGCCAGTTTCCACAAGGTTCAAGGTTCAATTTCTGAAAAGGTCGGAAGACTTGAGCAAGTAACTTCCTGTGAATGTATTAAAAAAATCCTTTTACATCGTAACACTGGGCTTGGGTGGATAATAGCCATTCAACAATGCATCGTTTAAGATAGCTTACTGTGATGACGGTGCATTCTAAGAATCGATTATTTGTCAATTATGTATGCAATTTACGTGACCCCTGCAGCCAACAGAGGCACTACATTCACCACAAAGTTAAAAACAAATCACACAGTGACCCCAAATCGTGACATTTAATGATGTGGATAAGGCAGAATTTAACCGTAAGACTAGAACACTTACTCTATATAATATGTAACTAGAAGTTAGAGGTCTATCATCCACTCCTAACAAAATTCTTTGCATAGCTAGTTGGGTCACCTCACAAAATAACAGTTTTATTACCATCAATCTTCAATTTTGAACAAATTCAATATCACAATGACACGTTGTTTCCCAAATTAAATACCTCGCGAATGGCGTGCATTCACCAATATTCCTCATTCAAATCCAAATCAAGTAATTACACATTGCACAAATCCGGAGACTGCTAAAACTCGAAATACGGTGGGACACGGAGAATGGCACTCGAAAAGTCTCGCGTCGCAAATGGCTGCGCGAAATAAGAAATTTGGTTCGGCAATTAATTTGGCTAAAATACCGCTCTGAGAAGTAAAGATGGCGGTTTGACCATCGTGCGACAAACATTACCCTCCATGGCAGGGCGGGTGGGAAAGTGCTGCCCCATACTGTGTTGCCCAATGGTCACTTGAAGGGATCTCAGAGGGTAGCTCTGCGTTATCCACTTCTGTGGGCCATTCTCTCAAAACTAAGGGTCATCCCTGCTCCGTGCGAGATCGGAACGATTGCTTCTTTCGTGACGTAACGCCTATATAGCACGATCGGGATGAAAACCGGGCGGGATAAAAAGACCCAAACGCATTTGAGGGGAAACCCCTGCTTCGCGTATCCGTGCGGCTCGCCAGAGCCCCTCAGTCGTCCAGCTGGCAGAGAGCGGCCACTCCCCGGTTGATCCAGTGGCTGCTGGGCCGGTCGGACGGCAACTCGATGGGGATGACGTAGTTGGTGGAGTGGCCCGTGGTGGAGAGCGTGCCGCGGCGGGCGCTCGTCTTGTACACGGGGCAGGAGTAGCAGGGCGCCGGCCGGAACGATGCCTGGTCCCCGGGCCGCAGCCACACGATGGGGATCTGATCGAAGAGGACCTTGGGCAGCGACTCCCCGATCGCCATGCGCTGGCGATCCCAGCGGGCGCCCTCCAGGAAGAGCCCCTTGATGTAAGCGCCATCCTCCGGCTTCTTCTCCATCTCCGACTCGGCCTTCGTCACCTGCACGGGGAGCAGAAAAGCGTGAGCAGAGTAGCGGTTGTCGCGCGCTTGCACAGAAGCACGGCACGCCGAGCGGCAATCCTACATTTTGGCTCCCGAAAGTGAGCACTATTTTGTGGGAAGTCAAAAGGAGTTGTCCTGAAGATTGAACTTCCCCTGCCATAGGAGTGTGCAATTTACACCACTGCCTGAGGGCTGTAAACAGTAGCTGATCCCCGTTCCATGCGCATTCGAGCATGGAGCATCACATCGCTTACAAAAGAGTCCATAATCTCGTCAAATCTTTGCTTTGGTGAAATTTAAAGGTGGGCAACTTGATGCCGCCAATTTGACATGAACCAATTTCCCAGCAAAAAAACACAACTATAAGTGAAGATCCCTTGCACCGACAAGCGCTTATCACATTCGTTCTCACTGCATACGGGTAATCACTTGGTTATGAAAGCACAATGAACAGCAGCATATAGCCTTCAACAGAATGTTCGGGCAAGTGCTGTCAGTGAACACCGGTTAAGGCTGACATGGCACATAAGGGGGTGAGTCGCCAGTACCAAGCCCGACCCAGCCTCATTCGTCTCCCTGGTGCTGATGTTTACACACCGCACCGGTTGCTCATTTTAAGGCTCAGTCGACCTACAGGAGTCCCAGGACTGGCTGAGATATTCATCACTGACATCGGCCATTGGCGGGAATTGATCTCGGGTACCTGGGTTCATAGGGCAGTTCGCTAACCAAACAGAGAAACAAACACGGACAATGCAATAACACCGCACCTCAAACTCAAAGCCGATGTGATCTATGGGGATGGTGTATTTCCTCGCGTAGTTCTGGGAGACACCAGTCAGGAATGACTGAGTGAAGTAGAAGCCTGAGATCCAGAACACGCTCGGGGGACCATTGTCAATCCAGTCCTGGTCACAGTGTAGGAGAAATAAAACACAGCAAAGAAACGACGTCGTGGCTTTTTTAAACTTTCAGGTGTAAACATTTACGTGTCTTTGATAAACAAAAAATGTTTTGGCAAGATGTAAAAAAACACACGTGAGAAGCAAGGGTGGTATTTTATTTCTTGTTAATTATTATGTATGAACTTGATGTGGAGCTTTCGTGACTGCAGGAATAACCTTTTGGTTCTTTCGGTAAAGTCACGTAGAAAGAAAATAAATTAAATAATAGAATACGACGTTTCGATTGCAACACAAGCAATCATCATCAGGTACAAATTAATGAGAAAAAAACAAACCTAGTGAACTTAGAAATATAATGCAATACAACACAAAGAGTCGGCTAACATAACAGTCAACACCCTACCTGGCTGATTACGTTCTTCCAAAGAGTGATCAATTTGAGAGAGAGACAAAACACAGACACGGAGACACATAGACAGACACATAAGCAGAGAGAGATAACACAGAGACACACAGAGAGAGACACACACATAGGCAAACAGAGAAATAACGCCTCTGTGTCGAGGCCTTAAATAGAGAGAGAGGGGACAGAGAGAGAGGGGGGTAGAGAAATTAGCATGTCAATGAGAGATTTGGAGCGTTCAGAGTTGTATGTTTGTGCCATGAGTGTTAAACCATTACATGCACACGTTGTCAAGACTACCCCAGGGAAGTTTTGGTTTTTGAAAGACTTCTAAAGTCACCTCACTAGGCCTCTCATGTCTGACTCTCGATGGCTCTGCCTAAAGGAGACGTGTGGCATAGAAACAAAACCCAAAGTGCTCAGTCCTCAAAGCTGGAAAAAGGTTAATGCAGAGAAAATACAAATGTTTAATTAACCTGTATCTAGCCAAGACCGTCGACTCGCTACCAATGAGAACCAGGTTTAACTATGGGCCTGGTGAAACCGGAATTTGAACACGTGATCTCATAAAACGTTTATGTTCCCGAAAACTAAAAAAAACATTGCATCTGTGGTTGGAGCAGTAAGTTGCACATGAATCCACAGTCCGTGTTTCACAAGAACTAAATTGTTATATTATGACCTCGATTTGTTTGTCTTCGTATGTTTGGGTTGACTCACTCCGTCAGCACAAGTGTGCTAGAGACACATGGGCAAGACCTCAGAAAACGTTTTTGTTCCCTAAAACTAAAGAACATTGGATCTGTGGATGGAGCAGTAAATTGCACGTGAATCCACATTCTGTTTCATCAGAACTATATATGTAATATTTTTGTTGTTGTTGTAATATTATGACCTCACTGTGTTTGTATTCGTGTGTTTGGGCTGACTCACTCAGTCACCACAAGTATGATGGAGACACAAAGGCCTCTGATGCCAGCATCGTTATCCACTCATGGACATCTGTGAAATAAGAGCGTCATAGCTCATCGTATTCTTTCAGTATAAATAAAGATTCGGATTCTGGCAAAGATTCTGATGTGGTGGGTCAGGCACAGGTGCTTGCTGAAAAGATTGAAAAATAAAATTATTTTGTGTATACTTGTGCGTGGGGAGCTGTGGTGCAGAGATTAGCACGCTGCACTGTGAACCCGGTGAGCCGATTTCGATTCCCGCTCACAACCAACATCAGTTGCGAATAGCTTAATCTGTCCGGAGCCTATCGTAGCAAGACTCAACGTTAAAAGGGTTCCTGGTACAGTATGTGGAAATGTTAACATTGGGGAGAAAAAGGTGGCCAGGCGTGGTTCTGGCCACACCACCCCTTCGTGTGCCGTGCTGGCTTTCATAGGCTCGCACCTCTGAATAGCATGGTTGGCTATGTGCGGTGCAAAATAAGTTCAACATACATACATAGGTGCTCAATAACAGCACTTGCACCCACAGTCTGTACAGCTATACGGGGAATCTTTTTCTTTGCGTGCGCACACATGGGTATGCGTCCAAATGTACACATTTGGGAAGCTGTGGTTAGGTAGTTAGCTCAGTATGATACAATTTTGACTTATGCAGCATCTAAAATGTGAGTGCATCTCAACACGCTGGGCAGAAACAGTGGCCATATGTAGTTTAATGAGAGAGCGGCATTCAATCATAGCAGAGGAAAATGAGGAAGGTCTTGAGCCTGGGCTTTAAAGGGTGGCTAGTGGAAGGGAGCCCTGAATCTCACCTCGGTTGACTCAACTTTCCAGAAAAACAGGTGTGGTGTATGAAGGGTGGCGCGACTTCACCATACCTTCGTATATAGGTACTATGTTAGCGTTAGTAGTTGCTTGCCAATGGTACGTTACTGAACTGCATAGGTAGTAAAGGTGTAGCCTTCCCTAGGTCCCTCTTACTTGTGTGAGCGTCTCATTGCACAAACCTTGTGTTCGTTAGAAATCGGACTTATTGTTACGAGAGCCACCACGAGAGGGAGCTATAGACAGCCCTTCGAGAGAGTATTTGTATCATTGTACGTTGAACTTCTTTGCACCCTATGTAGCCAACCCGTGCTAATCAGAGGTGTGGGGAAAGGACAAGAAACTACTGTAAATAAAAGAGGTTCTAAAGAAATTAGTTTTCAACATAGATTTCAAAGTGCGTAGCTCCAGTGGCTTCCTAATATCGGAAGAAGAACATTCCGGACGGCCGCAGAAGCGCATCTGAAAGCGCGCGATGCAGTGACCGTCTTTGTTCGATGGTAAGGCAAAACCTGCTGGGAGAATGACCGGAGTTTGCTTGATGGTTTATGTTCCTCGACGAGATCAGCGAGGTATTGTGGTTCATTTGTGGCGAGCACTTTGTGTGTAATGAGTGCAACCTTACAATGTGTTCGTTCAGCAACTGGAAGCCACAAGCGACCTGCCGATTGACTGAGATGAAACGTGGGGAACCTTCACCTGCATTTGCACGCACGGTACACCGATCGCACCTGGAAGAACTGCAGACGTGCGAGCAGGTCGGTGACGTAGCTGCCCAGCGGCTTGAGCGAAGGGTAGGACTTGGCAGCCCACTTTCCCGGCACCTTTCCCACCAACATGGAGTTGAAGATGTCCTCCAGGTCCTCAGACATGACCACCAGACCCTTGATGGCCTTGCGGACGTTAATGAGGCTTGAGCGAACAACGGTAGTCAGTCTGAAAATGATACGCGAATATGTCGGAAATGTATGTATGTATTTATGTTGATAAATGTCTGTATGTTTAACACGTAGGCTTTCGCGACCAATATCATCCATAATACATGTTTTTTTAGTTAGATCGCGTAAATATATAAATGTGTTGTTAAACACGACACAGCCAATTAGTAAGGTTTGTCATTTAAACAGAACATGCCAATTCGTTACGAGTGCAGCACACCGGTGTGTTGGAGAGCAAATCCACAACATTTACAATCTGAGTACGACGTTTTGCCAGTAATTGCAACTAGCTTCATCAGGCGACAGCCAGATCTGTGGAGAAACCCTCCTGTTTCGTTCCTTAAATAGAGGGGTAGATATGATGACAGCGCTTGTGTGCTCTTCTTGCGCGAAGTGGGGGGAGGATTAATGAATGCATATAAATGACTATGGGTATCCATTGCCGTATGGGTTATTTATATGGTAATCAACGTACATTATGCAGGCGCGTTATGCAAGTCCATTGTTCATGTACTTCCTGTCGATTGTTTGTACTAAAATAGCCGTACCAACGGTAACCCATATTGAAGCATGGTGACCCGTAGAGGCATGCATTTGAACGTGTCATTTGATGATTTGCTTTCGAATCATCATTATAAATGTATGTATGTTGATAAATGTGCATACGTATGTATGTTGAACTTCTTTCGCACCATACGTAGCCAACCATGCTAATCGGCCTCCATTGAAGCTTCTTAACTCAATGGGCCTTACCCGAAATAAACGGACTGACTTCCTGATGTCAGAATAAAAATATCCAGTACAAGAGTTGTACTGGATGTGGTAAAGAAATATGCTGCGGGTCGCTGACCCGGATGGACAAGGCTGAAATTAAGCCCTAACCACAACTGCTGACCATCCTGCTGGGTGACATTGGAGCAGACTGCCGAGCTCACAATCGAATAGATGTCGATTCAAATTTGCGGTTGGCAGGCGTCTCTGCAGTAAATAGTATGTAAGCTAGACTTCTTTGGCACCGTACATAGCCACTTGTGCAAATCGGAGGGAGGGGTAGAGTGCGTTTCTGGCCACTTATAGAAGGTGCTAACTACGGCGCACTATCACACGCCGCAGCTTGCTGTAACACCTTGCTAGGCTGGCATTTTACGCTGCTACAGTGCACATAAGCACACTTTGTCATGCGTACGATGCCACGTCTCCTGTACACTCCACATTACAACATGCTCCAGCAAGTAAGATGTACCCCGCCACTTGTGCCCGGTGTCAATAGAGTTACACAAATCTGCTCAAATATACACACGAAGCAGATAATATGACGCACACCCCAACTTTTGGTTTAAAAGACAGCAAGGGGGGAGGGGGGGCATCTTATATTCCAGAGAACACAGCATATTAGTTAGCATGTATATATGTTATTGATCTAAAAAAATATGCCACGGTTGAAACTATCTTGACAGAAGTGTTTATATTCTTGGTTCTTTCGGTAAAGTCACGTAGAAGGGAAACAATTAAATAATAAAAATATAAGAAACAATAAAATTCTCACGACGTTTTGACTGCAACACAAGCAATCATCATCAGGTGATGATATATTGTTTTATATTTTTATTACTTTATTGTTTCCCTCCTACGTGACTTTACCGAAAGAACCAAGAATATGAATCCCTGCAGTCACGAAAGCTTTAAATCAAAAGTGTTTATATCAAGGAAGGCATCACTGAGAGCTTCAACCTACTTGTTGTACATGCTCTTACCCAGTTTCCCTTGCAATTGCATGTCACTCAAGAGATAGTTACATCTCTGCAGAAACTATCAACCCCACCGAGCTGAGACGTTTAATTACAGACGCACGCCACCTTGCCCGGTATTAACAACTAGCTCTCCGATATGTTTTCAGATTGTACGTGTCTTTCGGCATGATGCTTTTGCTCCGAGTGCTAGGGACTTCTTCGTTTCCTGAAGAAGCTCCCAGCAGGTGGAGTGAAACGTCGGACATCATGTCGTGATGCAACCCGAGCTATACAGCACAGCTGCAAGAAACCATGCGGTCGTCGTAACCGACGAGTTCAGTCGTCACACAAAAGTGGCAGAACAATCGTAGTGTTTGGTTAAGAAAGCGTCGAGGAGAAGCGGTTGTCCCTACCTGTTGAAACGAATGAGTTCCTGTCTCAGCACGGTGTTCATGGACTCTTGGTAGACCACAGGGTACTTCGCCATCACCACCTCCATGTCAAAATCCTTGGGAAGTTTGGAGAGGATGTCCGACGCCAGCTCCTCTATCACGTCCTGCGTTACAGTTCAGCATAGAGGAGTGTGCAATCATGTAAGTTACACACCTTGTACAACTGACAACCATATACGTTTCCCCTGCACCTCCGATTAGCACGGTTGGCTATGTACGGTGAGAAAGAAGTTCAACGTACATACATACAGTATACATCTAGATCAAGAGTTGTAAGAGTAAATGCCTGGCCAAGACAAATTCTTCCGAGATTATTTTAAGTTTGACAGCGAGGCAACAAGCGGGGAATATTTCCAGCGAATCACAGACGCTCTATTCGTTGACGAGAGGACAGGCCATGTATTTAGCCTGGGTCAAAGGTGTTCATGGGACTTGTGCATTCCTATCAAGCAAACTGACCTCTTCACCCGGGATTTCAGTGCAGCTAGTAATTTCCACCTTTCATGTGCTCCTTTTACACACTCTCAAAGCTGAGTACTTATTGCGATATGAAGCGCATACACCACTGTTGAGATACTGACGTGAAGTAAATATGTGCATTCATAAAACCTTGATGGCACGTAACCTGAAAAACTCCAGTCCAATCAAACGGAGAGATGTAAATACTTACATCGGAGAGCCACACGGCACAACCGCAAAAAAACCTACGCGGTAGCCCGAGTGCTATCACTGAGCTGGTCAACAACAGCGCGGTACGTGGTACGGCGCACGATGAATACACCGCCCCCCGCAGGCCTCACCTGCGAGGACTTGCCAGTGCCCCCGGACTGTCTGGGCAGCGTGAGCAGCACGCTATTGAAGAGCTGGTTCGTCTCTTGGTTGTCCTTGGTGATGTCGGCGTTCTCGTGCAGCCCGAACACCTCCGGGTGGGTGATGAGCGGCAGCCCGCGGATGTACCCGACGTAGGTCTGCAGGAAAGGGGCGATAGCCAGCTCAGCTCAACGACGACGGCGGTGGTGAACGCGTTGACGTAGCCGAGCACTTGACACGTTCGGTTGCTTGCCGTGGCCGCGGTTCGCGGTTTCGGGGGACCAGCGGCTGCCCTGGCTATTACCGCCGCTCGCCGTCCGCTCCGCGGTGCACGTTCAAGGAGAGTCGGACGCGTGTGCCGGCGCCGCGGTCCAAATTTGCTGAGATCGAGAAATGACCTCCAACTTACTTCATCGGGTGAAAATGATGGAGCAACATGACCCCCCACATAACAACATCCATCTGTGAAACGTGGCAACTTCGTGATAGCCTTGCGCTATAAGAATGGTGCAAACTCCAAAGGTATTACACTGTTACTATTAACTGTTTTTAAAACTTATCAGGAGCCAAACTTCAGTGCTGCGTGACACTGACCACTTCTCTCTCTCCCTCTCCATGTGCCATGTCCTTTCCAAAACACGTTGACGATCATGGCCTTACTTCCATTTAGCTTTGGCCGCAATATTACTCAAGAACTTTGCATTGCACACTCCTCCCATTTGCATCCAATTGTTTAAATTGGTTAAACGTACAGTGAGGGAAAAAAGTATTTGATCCCCTGCTGATTTTGTACGTTTGCCCACTGACGAAGAAATGATCAGTCTATAATTTTAATAGTAGGTTTATTTTAACGGTGAGAGACAGAATAACAACAACAAAAAATCCAGAAAAACGCACGTCAAAAATGTTATAAATTGATTTGCATTTTAATGAGGGAAATAATTATTTGACCCCCTCTCAATCAGAAAGATTTCTGGCTCCCAGGTGTCTTTTATACAGGTAACGAGCTGAGATTAGGAGCACACTCTTAAAGGGAGTGCTCCTAATCTCAGGTTTGTTACCTATATAAAAGACACCTGTCCACAGAAGCAATCAATCAATCAGATTCCAAACTCTCCACCATGGCCAAGACCAAAGAGCTCTCCAAGGATGTCAGGGACAATATTGTAGACCTACACAAGGCTGGAATGGGCTACAAGACCATTGCCAAGCAGCTTGGTGAGAAGGTGACAACAGTTGGTGCGATTATTCGCAAATGGAAGAAACACAAAAGAACTGACAAATCTCCCTCGGCCTGGGGCTCCATGCAAGTTCTCACCTCGTGGAGTTGCAATGATCATGAGAACGGTGAGGAATTAGCCCAGAACTACACGGGAGGATCTTGTCAATGATCTCAAGGCAGCTGGGACCATAGTCACCAAGAAAACAATTGGTAACACACTACGCCGTGAAGGATTGAAATCCTGCAGCGCCCGCAAGGTCCCCCTGCTCAAGAAAGCACATATATATGCCAGTCTGAAGTTTGCCAATGAACATTTGAATGATTCAGAGGACAACTGGGTGAAAGTGTTGTGGTCAGATGAGACCAAAATGGAGCTCTTTGGCATCAACTCAACTCGCCGTGTTTGGAGGAGGAGGAATGCTGCCTATGACCCAAGAACACCATCCCCACCGTCAAACATGGAGGTGGAAACATTATGCTTTGGGGGTGTTTTTCTGCTAAGGGGACAGGACAACTTCACCGCATCAAAGGGACGATGGATGGGGCCATGTACCCTCAAATCTAGGGTGAGAACCTCCTTCCCTCAGCCAGGGCATTGAAAATGGGTCGTGGATGGGTATTCCAGCATGACAATGACCCAAAACACACGGCCAAGGCAACAAAGGAGTGGCTCAAGAAGAAGCACATTAAGGTCCTGGAGTGGCCTAGCCAGTCTCCAGACCTTAATCCCATAGAAAATCTGTGGAGGGAGTTGAAGGTTCGAGTTGCCAAACGTCAGCCTCGAAACCTTAATGACTTGGAGAAGATCTGCAAAGAGGAGTGGGACAAAATCCCTCCTGAGATGTGTGCAAATCTGGTGGCCAACTACAAGAAACGTCTGACCTCAGTGATTGCCAACAAGGGTTTTGCCACCAAGTGCTAAGTCATGTTTTGCAGAGAGGTCAAATACTTATTTCCCTAATTAAAATGCAAATTAATTTATAACATTGTTGACATGCGTTTTTCTAGATTTTGTTGTTGTTATTCTGTCTCTCACTGTTCAAATAAACCTACCATTAAAATTATAGACTGATCATTTCTTTGTCAGTGGGCAAACGTACAAAATCAGCAGGGGATCAAATACTTTTTTCCCTCCCTGTACGCAATTCACTCTCTTCCCCGGCTTATTGTGGTACCTATAATAATTACAGCGTCAAGCTGCTCATTATTGTGATTATCATTCCGCAGAGTGCTGCTGTTGATAGACTGTCCCACTCATAATCACACAGTTGACAGCTCTAATGCCAATTGAGGGTTCACTCAGTCCATTTTCTCATAGGAAATTAAAAATAAGTATCACTTTGTAGAAATTCCAACACGTGGTTGTCTTCATGGAGAGACTCAAGTCCTGCCATGACAATATGGAATTTCCACCACTGGTTCAGGACACTTACAGAATAGGGTGACTAAGGTCACCCAAATCGTTCAGATTAATGAGTTGCAGCCAGACAAACAGCAGTCCCCGTCATCCTGGGAATGACGTTAAACATCCATTGAGGAAGGCAAGGGGAAAAACTTCTCCTGAAAATGGCACATGTCAAAAACGAATAAAAGGGAATCACACATCAGACCTGTCTACAGACGAAACACTTGATGATAAAAATGATGGTGGATCAGGACACCAACTGATATGAGCAAAACATCAGTGCTCATCGGAGCATGTGGACTCTTTTTTCATTTCTTAATGCCATTAATAGAAAAAAAGCAATACTCAAAACAAATTTTTAAATGTTGAAACATTGCTGAGTTTATCTCCGCTGAACTTCCAGCAACTGCTTCGTCAAGGAGTCACGAACAGATAAAGACGTTAAGATTATAATTATAACCAAATCGACATCTTTAAGCAGCCATGGTCTCCTTCCCCTGCTGAATGAAGGTCCCCCACTTATCATCTATATTAGCCATGGCATGGAATCGAATTCGGATCACCAGGTGCATAACAGCACTATGTGCGAACCACTCCACCAACTACTCCCCATGTGAATCATTATTATCATTAATGTATTTAGTGAGTATCCTTTGTGATGCACCACAATGAATGGAATGCTTTTGAGAGCACATTCTCTGAGGAAATGTCACGGTGACACCAGGTCATGTGCAGATGCTGTGGGTGGGTTATTACATTGCAGGGTTGAGAGGTGGTAGTGGTGTTGGTTGTTTGTGAAGGCTTTTATCCAGCAGTGGATTGACCATGGCTGTTGTTGATGATGAACACATCATGTTTAAACACTAAACATGGTAAGGTGCGTTAATAAGCATGTACGTACGTATATGTGTTTATATCAGCTTCCAAAATGTAAACAATAACTAAAAAAACGTCTGTTATTATAATTGCATGGTTCTAAAGTTTGAATGGAGGATAACAATGTATTTACTGGACCCTTGGTTTAAGAATGTAAGTGTGTTGAACTTCTTTTGCACAGAACGTATCCAACCGTGCTAATCGGAGGTGCAGGGGCTGGACAACAAACTAAACACAAAAAGGAGTTCTAAAAAAAATTGCTAGCAATTTAGATTTAAAAGTGCAGTGTTCCAGTGGCTTCCTCATTTTGAAAGGAAGAGGATTCCAGACGACCGCAGAAGTACATATGAAAGCAAGCGATGCAGTGGCTGTTTTTGTTCAATGGTTTAGCCAAAAGACGCTTCTGCGAGGAAAAAAAAAGGCACCTTCGAAGAAATAAAGTTTGATCGATACCTGGTATTCACCGTGCGGTGGGACGAAGTAGGCCTCAATGGGAGAGAGAGGGTATTTGTCTTTCTGCAGCAAACTCTGGTTGTAGAAGTTTGCGAGCAGAGACAGGAGAAGCCGCCTGTCCTTGTCATCCGTTACTCGACCACCGTAGTTGCACTCCCCTGGGTAAAACAACAAAGGGAAATTCACCTGGCCTCCGATCACAGTTTGGACAACAAGTCTGGTTCACACCGTCACATGCGTTAATTATGGGTTCGTTGTCAACATTTTCAAAAGCGTAAATGCCAGGGATACACGAAATGACTGAATTAAAATGATGAAAATTAGTGTATGATTTTATAAACATTTTACTATCACAAAAAAATATAGTTTATATGTAAAAAAAGCCTAGATTAGGCCTCACCCCTTGTCCATTACGGTTCGTGCTGGGTGTGTGATAATGCATACATTTATTTATTCACATCGATTATTCCATTATATGTGTATTAATAATAATGTATACGTGATGCTCATTTGCAATACCTGAATGTAACATTTAAACGTATGCAGCGAATACAACTGTGCAAATGAGACAGGGCAAATGAGCCAGCAAAAAGAAGAGCACACAATAATACATTCTTGAATCAAATCGCAATCCTGAAGCATGACAAATTATTATATCACTGGGTGGTGATTTAATCACCATGTCACAAGCTTGTTTTGTAAACTCAATTTGGAGATGCTGTTGATACGTGGATTTAACGTTGAATGATCCCTTGGTTATATCGGACCTGTGTACGTGAGGGAGTGTGTGAATTGTGAATGTGATTTTAGCACAGGGGATAATGAGTAAACAGTCACTTTAACAGGAATATGTGAAGGCCACTTTCACACGTGTCTTTGCTGTTCATTCACAACACCACGAACCATCAAAGAGCAGCACAGTCCATGGACATTCCAATATTGCAGATTTCACCATCTCCAGTGAGATTATCTGTGACACTGTGTTGCATGAGTTGGTGTGTTTATGTATTTTAAAAACATTGGGAAGCTAAAAGCAGAACATTCTCAGTATCAAAATGAATTTAAAACTTTCTCCTTGTGGAAGCATCATCAATGGGTCTCAAAAAACATTGTCAGGAACGACCTGCTGGGGATGTTAGGCCAATTCACTATAGCGTTTATCTGGAGGATACAACCAGAGTGCTTAAGGGTACCACCCGTGGTGGCAAATGCTAACAATGATTTTCCAAAAGAATTTCATCCCTATATTACAAATGCGTATGATAGCAAGGTCACTGTGGTCGCAATTTTTCTTTTATGAGAACATATTAAATGGGCACCATAGTGTATTTGATGGAGATAATCGCTTTGGAATGAAAAGAAACCAATGTGATTTGATATTGTATATGCTAAACGTTCTGCTCACAGTAGGTATTTTATCATGGTGCACACTGCCCATGGTGGATACTGATGGTTTGTGCCACCCCAGGTGGTACCGACCAAACCTCCTTGGGTCATGGGCTACATGCATCTTAGAGTAGAACCCTGACATTCTGAACACAAGCAACTCATCATAAGCACACATGATTGATGCACCACTCCACAATGAAACATCGTTTTCTTATTTTATCACCAAACCAAACAGAAGAAATAGCAAAATACATTTCGATGAACATTTTATAGATATATATAAATAACCTAGTATGAAAATTAGACAATTAAATAGCATTCTTAAGAATGAAAATCACATAATGCAAAAAACTAAACTAAACTATAAAACGAACCTATTTTTGTTTTACCAGATTGGGCCCACTGAGCTATAAAGCTCTTTTTTCAGAAGTGACCTGGCCACAATTGATAGCCCAATTAAGTGTCTTATCATGTGTAAATTTATAGCAGCCAAATACTCTAAACTCGTGTTGATTCTAAATGTGGAGGGAAAAACTGGAGGACCCGAATAAAAAATCCACGCCACCACAGGGAGAACATACACACTCAAAATACACAGGCACCAGAGTTAGGATCGAACCCATGACCTCCTGTATCCCAGGCAAGGTAATTACCATCTCCCCACCATGGTGCCCTGATAAGAAAAACATTTCAAGAAGAAATGATGGCCACTGAAACACTGTGTCTCAATAGTGTATGATTCAGCGTCTCACATTGTTGTGACAGCAACGGGATGGTACACGTGACAGCGTGTTTGAGCGAGGAGACGCAGCAATGAAAACAGCTCTGTGTGCAGGTGCTAGCCGAATTGCAGGATCGTGAGAGCTGATGATGATGAACTAGGGAGGCATTCATCCAAGACGGTGGATTGCGCATGGCTCACGATGTTCCACATCGCTTGTACGAGACCGTTACCTGTGAGGTACGTGAGGGCTTCCAGGGGGACCTCTTCGTATTCGTTCAAAAACATCTGGATCTGTCTCATGCTGATCCGGAGGTCAGATTCATTGAACTCGTACGGGATATTCCACCCTGCAAATAGAGCCAGCACAACCCATGTATGTATGCATGCACGCATGTTGAACTTATTTTGCACTGTAAGAAGCTAACCGTGATAATTGGAGGTGCAGGGGGAAGGACAACACACTAAATACAAACCATGTGTACCGCAACCCCAGTAATAGAGGTACAGGTGCAGCCCTGCAATTACTTCCTCACTACACTGCTGATGGAAGGCCCTCCACTAGAGGGAGCTCAAGGGAAACTACCTCTGGAGGATATTTTGTCCAAACGTCTTGTAAGAAGTGGAAGTACCCACACTTTACCCCACCACACGCCACCTGCCGATAGACTCCCTGTTGAGCATCCATCTATACTCCTGGACCAACAGCGGCGGGAGGGATTCATCTGCCGTGGTGGGAGATCGAATCGAGCCTGCAAGCCTCGACCCCGGGAGGCTTCTGGCTAATCGATCAATGGGGATTTTAACTCAGATCCCTCCGGTTGTGAATTGAGTACCACAACCATCGCACCACACAGCTGGACACAAAAGTCAAATGGATTAGATGACATAGACATCTTGACGGTTGTTATGCTCATCTCCGAGGTCCCTTTCATAACCCTATCGTATAAATGAATCCTGAGCTTCACGCCCATTGCACAAGCCATCTCAAGTGCGCAAAGGAAAAACAATTTTGGCGAAACAAACTGGTCAACGAAACAAACAGATAGTAATTTTCATTCAACTAAACACAAATCCATTTCTGTTGAGAGCCATTTAAGAGGAAAACGAGTGTGCTTCCTTCAAGGTATATGGAGACAAACACCCTACGCAGAGCCCCTTGATTAACGTGGATCATTATATTACAATATCAATACACCCAGCCTCTACAATATGATTTCGCAAGGATGTTGCTACAAACGCAACCTCAAAGGGCCGCTCACTGCCATTTATTTATACACTTGCATATTATTCTTGAATGTGAGCTGTATTGAACCATGTGTCTCTCAGAACTCTCAAAGCCCGTGGTCTGATTCAATTACGGTGCAGATACAGTATATAGTTCAGCTCTGTAGAATATTCATGTTTACGTGATCAAAATTCCGGATCAAATAAAACATTTAGTTTGATCTGACAAAAAATCTTCATTATTGCATCTGAACAACTTTGTTTTTCAGTCGGGACATTCGTGTTATATTTCGCTTAATACCTGTGTATTTGTGGTGGGGAGAAGCGAAATTCCTAAAGAAAACCCATGCATACGAGGATAGAATGGACACATCTAAAACCTAATTGATTCAATAAAAAATAAAAAAAGGCATAATAGCATTTATATAGGGTCTAAGTGCCATTCATCTCAAGATACTTTACAAAAAATGAGAAAAACCCACATTAATGTAGAAGGAGAGTGGGATGTTGGGACAGGCCAGGGAAACGCTGGGGAATGAGAGGGCACGACATCTCATGACGGTGAAGGACCAAGCAAAGTTTGTTTATCAAACCGAATTGGTTGGGTCTCAGAGTGGGAATTTAATCAAAAGGTGACCTGCTAGTGACCAGACTGAGACCATCAGCTCCTTTCACCTGAGAAACAAGTTTAAACAGAGGTGGCTGACAAACCTGGATTCGGACCCAGGATCTAAGCAGTCAATGCCAGCTCATTGCTGAGTTCCCTCCAACTACCCCCTAAAACCGGCACCCAACTTTAATTTAAATACGAGAAACCCACTGCATAGGTTTTTAACTTGTGCTGTATAGCTCTCTGATGTAGTTTCGCCCCACGTGCTAGGAGCTTCTTCGAGGAACAGTTCCAGGAGCACTATTACTATGAACAATTTTCTACTTTACCAGGTAAGGCTCAATGAGCAACATAGCTCTTTTTCATAAGCGACCTGGCCACAAATGATAGCTCAACAAAGTGGCTCATCAAGTGGACATTTATTCCAAATGCACGTCGATGTGGAGGAAAAACCAGAGGACCCGGAGAAAAAAAACTCCATGCAGGTCCCGAAGAAGCTCCGCACGCACGGAGCGAAACGTCAACACGTCATCCAATGGCGAACAACGCGCAGTTAACAAGCCGGAACCACATCGGAGAGCAACGGATGAAACCCGTCATTCTGGGGCAGCCGATCGCAACCAGTTGCCCAGCGCACGAGAAGGCGCCCTCACCGAGCGGGCCGAAGTTGCGGCGCTCCTGCACCAGCGCGTGGAAGAAGCACAGCCCGAAGAGGAGTTTGTTCCAGGCGTGCGGCTTGGAGCAGGCGGCGAAGAAGGTGGCGTCCGACACGGGGTCGTTGAGGTACGAGCGCAGCAGGTTGGCGCGTAGGCCCTTGGGCGGCTCGTTGGTCATCTTGACGCCGTTCTGCAGGATGCTCACGGGGAACTTGTCCGACGGGTAGCTGGTGAGCCACAGGCTGTGTGTCGAATGGGCAGAGGGAGGCAGCAACAGGCCCCGGGGGATGAAATACAGGAATTTCAATAAAGTGGCGAGAATAAACGACAGGCGGAGTTGACTCGCACCCACATCGTAGAGCAACAGTAGATGAAAGGGCGACATGACATCAATTCCTGTGATGTCACTCCCTCCTGGAATGAGTGCATGGTGGCAAAGGTGACAGAATATGTTTTTAGTGGTGCTGAAATATTTATTTAAACGAATCACGTAGTTTTTTTAACATTATTTTTTTTATTTTAGAATAGTAATGTACAGGGGTTGGCAACTTGCGGCTCCAGAGCCGCATGCGGCTATTTAAGGACTACTTCGTGATGTTATTTATGAAGGACCACCACCGTCTTGTATTAGCATGCATTGCGGCTCTTTAAATATGGAGTTTTTTGGACTGAATTCGAAAAAAATTGCCCTTGTCATTTCGGTTCCCGACCTCTTGGTGGAATGACATGGCCGAGGGCACAGGTTGATCAATCCCGTTGGTCTCCCATGCGCTCTGTGGTAGTGGTGACCTTGCTCTCTATTGTCGAGCTTAGAGAGACTTTTCTATGCAGTCTGTTTGAATGAAGAGCGCTGTGATGATAACTGTATGTACTGCATTGTGATGTGGCCTGGAACCAATTTTCCCCTCCTGATGTGATATATTGTCATTATTTGGGGTTGTCATTTTAGTGTTTGTCGCTTTCTGCTTTGTTGAATTCAATTACTTTTCATAGCAGAAGTGACATCAACCCACAAGACGTACATTTAGTCAATAATCAATTCTTATAAGTACGACTTAATGCGTAGTGTGTGTGCAGAAGAATCCATTTTTACCGAACCAATATATTTTGACACACGTACTAAATTCTAACTTACACAAATATTCATAATAAAGGTTTTTGGGTTAGATCGCGTTTATTTATAAATGTGTCGTAACCATCCACCACCCGACACGGCCAATCAGCAAAAAAAGTGTCACGTTGACAAAAAGACGAATAGTTCACTACTGGTAAGTTTTGATGTGATTTCTCTATTCACTAAGGTTCCAGTGGACGAATCGCTTAAATTACTTGATACACTAGTAAAGAATACCGGTTTACCAAAAGATATTCCGAAACTTGCTGTCCATTGTTTAAATAACACTTACTTCTTATGGACAGGGGATTTCTTTAAACAAAAGGAAGGAGCAGCAATGGGTTCTCCTTTATCCCCCCCTGCTATAGCAAATTTGTACATGGAAAACTTTGAAATAAGAGCACTTGCCTCGAGCACATTAAAACCATCCTTTTGGTTTAGATATGTGGATGACACTTTGGTTGTCTGGCCACATGGTAAAGATACACTTAATGATTTTCTAAATCATCTCAATGCACAAAACCCGGCCATCCAATTCACCATGGAAATGGAGGTGAATAACACACTCCCATTCCTAGATATTTTGCTTGGACATGGCCTAAACGGTAAAATAACACACAGCATTTACAGAAAGCAAACGCACACTGATGCCTATCTGAATGCAGAATCACATCATCATCCAGCTCAGAAATCCTCTTTTATCAAGACGCTCATACATCGGGCTAAAACAGTGTCAGATGGTGAGAGTCTAGTGAGAGAGATTAAACACGTTAAAGACGCACTACGACAGAATGGCTACAATAATGCTCAAATTAACAGAGCACTGAATGCCAAATCACGATCGCAAAGCAATACTGCTGAAAGCGACCAGATTGTTAAAACAATAAAAATTCCATATATCTCAGGAGTAACTGACAAATTAGCCCGTGTTTGCAAAAGCAAAACATTACAGTAAGATTTGGTAAAGTACACAAAATGCAAAAACTAGTATCTTGCACTAAAGACGCATTACCTAAATTACCAACAGAAGGTGTATATCGGATTAATTGTTTATGTGGCAGCTGCTACATTGGACAGACGGGACGTAACATCAGCGTAAGACTAAAGAACATCAGAGAAATATTAAATTATCTCAAACACAACTGTCGGCAGTGGCAGAACATGCTTGTCAACAAGGACACTCAATTGATTTTGACAATGTTGCAGTGGTGTGTAAAACTAATTATTACTGGCAAAGACTAATTAGAAAATCCATTGAAATTGAGAGGAACAAGAATAACTTTAATCGCTCTGACAGCTACAGGCTTAGTGCGGCCTGGAAACGTATTATTAAATAATACACGTTACATTTTGATTTAAAGAATTACTAATCTACAACTCATTACTAATCATAACCAATGACTGATTACTAATCGATTATATAATTACAATACCCCCCCCCTCCGCCTCTAATCATTGCACCTGATATGAGTTAAGTGATGACGTCACCCTGCTGCTCTATATAAAACCGGGAGCAAGCGAGGGCTTTACCATTCTGGCGAATTGCCCGATGATGCTGGATGTATTTACCAGCGAAACGTCGTACTCAAACTGTAAATGTGGATTCACTCTTCAACACACCGGTGGGCTAAAGTAGTGAATTATTTGTCTTTTTGTCAACGTGACACTTTTTTTTTGCTGATTGGCCGTGTCGGGTGGTGGAGGGTTACGACACATTTATAAATAAACGCGATCTAACCCAACAACCTTTATTATGAATAATATTGGTCGCGAAAGCCTACATGTTAAACTTACACAAATATGTTGTATTATATAAAAAAGACAGACACAATAACTGTCAAAACAGCATGAAACACTTGCTCAAGGTTTTTATCATTGTACACCACGCTGAACGATGTAACCTCCGTGAGCTGCTCACGGAACGAATACATTATACGGTCGCACTCATTACACACAATGTGCTTGCCACAAATTAACCACAGTGTTTTGCTGATCCCGTCAGGGATAATAAACAATCACGCGAACTCTGATCATCCTTGCAGAGACTTTTAGCGAGCCACCGAACAAAGATGGTCACCGCACCGTGCGCTTTCAGATGCGCTTCTGCGGCCATCTGGAACGCTTTTCATTCCGATATTAGGAAGCCACTGAAGCTACGCACTTTTAAATCTCGAATGAAAACTCACTTATTTATAATTTATTTTCGTGTTTCGTTTGTTCTCCTTCCCCCACACCTCCCAATAGCAGTTGGCTATGTATGGTGCAAAATAACTTCAACGTAGACACATACAATACTCATGCAGCCTCTCATACCGGAAGTCAGGGTGGGTCGATTCGGGGGTGATGACCTCTTCGCACATCTTCTCCAGCTTGGGCATCCAGCTGGTGGCCAGGTGACAGTTCTGCAGCACCACCCAGGTGCCGGCCTTTATGGCACTCTCCATCATCTGGGCCGCGATCGGGCCTTGACCTTGGCCCAGCGAGATGCACTGGGTCTTGCTGCCTCCCATGCCCATATCCTCGGCAAACTTGAGCAAACCTAGCCATCAGTTCGTTCAATTGGTCATCCATTCAAATTAGTCCTTCAATTACTCATTCGACAATTATCCATCAATCTATTGTAATTTTTAATTTTCCTTTGAGTAAAGCAAAATGTGTGATTTGCCTGAGTGGGACTTTTTTTGGCAATATGTTTGGAAGCTGAATGCAGCTGGCCACGACGAGACGGCTTCAGAATAGAGTTCATGCAGGTTTGTTATTGCTCCATTGAAGGAGCGCAGGCTGCAGTGGTTTAATATATGGTTATTAGTTTGGATTTTATGGCCTTTTACCTGGATAATTGGTCGAGATAGAACGTCATTTTCAAGGGTTTCCAGGGCATCAGGTGCCACGTACGAGGAAAACATGGAATGAGACCCATATACAAACAGCACTGGACACGCCTCGCGAGAAATGAAGCTATATTTTGATTTAAAGCTTTCGTGACTGCAGTAATTCATATTCTTAGTTCTTTCGGTAAAGTCACGTTGAAGGGAAATAACAAAATAATAAATATATATAAAACAATAAAAATTCTCACGACGTTTCGACCATAACACAAACGGTTGTCTTCAGGTGTGTCGGTTTGCATAAATGTATTTATTTTTAAACGGTGTATTTATTTATTTATATAAAAACCCGTTTGCGCCACGCGCAGCAATTTGGCAGTTTATTTAGACGGACTAGTCCATCTATGTTCTGAAAAGAGGAGGGGGGAGACGAAATTTTTTTTTTTAATGTATGCTGTCTGAAAGCCACTGTAAGCGTGAACAATCAATTAAGACCTGAAATGGTTTTTCAAATCTTTCCAATGATTGCTAAACCAGAATCCATCTTCTCGGTTGAAATTGTCTCTGTGCTTGTATATGTGGATAGCCTCATGAACGAATCTCTCATGGTAGCCAGATGGCTTACAAAGAACCTCTGTCTTGGAAAAGTCAATGTCATGTGAGCCTACTGAATTATAACAATGATCTGCCACGGCCGAGGTGTTGGTCCTACCGTGTTTAAGGTCTGCTTTGTGTTCATGAATGCGGTCCGAGACATGGCGTTTGGTTTCTCCAATGTAACTACTACCACAGAGGCAACTTAGTTTATAGACACCAGGGTATTGTATGTCCGGAATCACATCTTTTACAGACGGAACCAGATCACGGATTTTATGTAATGTGTTGAAACGGACCTGGATCTTGTGTTTATTCAAGATTTTGGAGATCTTTTTTGTGATCCCCGCAATGTAGGGTAAAGTGATGGTTTTGAAAGGCTCCTCAAGAGGGTCCTTCTTCATGGTTTGAGTGATAGCTTTGCTGATTGTATAGTCGGAGTAACCATTAGCCTTAAGAGCTTGGTGTACGTGATTGAGTTCACTGCCTATGTGTTCCTGGTCGGATATGCATTGGGCTCTATGATACAGAGTCTTGATGAGAGAATTCTTCTGTGATGGATGGTGGTGGGAATCCGGTTTCAGATAAGCATCCATATGGGTAGCTTTCCTGTAGACAGAGTGGCTCATTGAACCATCAGGTCTCTTTTTAATTAGGACATCCAAAAAAGGTAGCTTGCCATCTATTTCGACTTCCATGGTAAATCTGATGGCTGGGTGTATGGAATTGATGTGGTCGAAGAATTGGTCTAGAGCAGGCCGGCCATGTGGCCAGATGACAGCATACATTAAAAAAAAAATTTCGTCTCCCCCCTCCTCTTTTCAGAACATAGATGGACTAGTCCGTCTAAATAAACTGGTAAATCGCTGCGCGTGGCGCTAACGTTTTATAAATAAATAAATACACCGTTTAAAAATAAATACATTTATGCAAACCGACACACCTGAAGACGCCCGTTTGTGCTATGGTCGAAACGTCGTGAGAATTTTTATTGTTTTATATATATTTTATTATTTTGTTGTTTCCCTTCAACGTGACTTTACCGAAAGAACTAAGAAAATGAAGCTATTTCAGATCTCACAAAAATATAAAATGAGTCACAGCTAATGTCGTGGCTGTAATGGGAATATTGCAGATTGTAGCTATGCAGCCTTAGAAACGCATTTGGCAATTCCTGGAAAAGGCAAAATGAACTTTACAACTGAGCAAGACCTGATCCTCTTTTGAGAATTGGCATCCGCTAATTGCTGGACACGGCCACGCCTAACATGAAACATGCCACTAAAGAATGCGGTTGTGGTCGTTGCTTTCATTAGCTTATTATGATGGATCATTTTCCCATCACGTGGAGTGGCAGAAGAAGCGTTATCTCTTCATCGTATACAATGCAGAGATGTGTTCTTTTGCAACCATGCGGTAGCGTATGGAAGAGAATGACACGTGCCACCGTAAATGTACCTGAGGATGTGACGGTGGTCTGAGCACAAATTACTTGCTTGAGTTACATTGGTAAATTATTCTGCTCTTCGTCAAACAAGTAAAAGTGTTTTCTTGCTCAAATGGCGGTGCTCATTTCCTGATAACAGCCCTTAGGCAGTGGTGAAAATTGTCATGTTCTTATGGCAGGGGCGAATCCATCCATAGGACAACCACTGTTAGATTTCCCCACAAAGTGGTATATATTTTATCGACCCTGGAAGCAGGATGGGTGAGTCAAGAATCTAAATCACTAACTTTGCAGGCTTAATTTGACTAGAACAATGGGGCAGATGCCATGTTATGGAAATGTCTCTTGATTTGTTGGCTTACAATGATGGGTCTGTGTAATACACCATAACGGGAACAGTTCCCGAGTTGTCCTCGCCGCTATAGGTCACACCTTTTTTTCACGGTTCTAACGTTGACGGAAATGAAAATCTAATTTGGTGTGACCAACAAGGCGGTTTGAATTACTGCATGCTTGAGAACGCATACATTTTCAGAAAATGGTGATTTAGCAACCCGTTTTAACCCCCTGCATTTCTTGCAAATCTATACACCGCATATGGTTACAGGTATTTGTCCCTTTGAAGGGATGCTATGTTAAAACTAACCGCTTTAACAAAAAAAATCCTACATTATTGATCTAACAGTAATGGCCAAAAGAGTCAATACCTTTTTAAAATTGCTGCATGTTCCTGTTGCGAAAGTTTAGAGTATGATATATATATAAAACAAGACATCTCTTGCAAAAGGGAAGGTGCGTCTCAACAGTGGGCTACCAACTTAACCAAATTCATTTATGAACTCTCTCATCCCTTGAGGCCGCCTTCACCGACATCGATTTTGCGCCGCGTTGTAAAGGGGGGGAAGATAAAACGCGCTCACCCGCCATGGGGTCGGCTCCGGGCGAGAGCACGAATATCAGCGGGGCGCAGCAACTCGAGTCGCTGAAGCTGCCCGCGAGGTCAAAGGTGGGCGGCTCGACGAACGTGCGGCCCACGCTCTTGACGATGAAGTCCTGGGCCGCGGGGACGATCTTGTCGGGACGGAAGCAGCGCAGCACGGCCATGCGGTCGAGCCCCGCCAGGAGGCCCCAGCCCTCGGGCAGCTCCTCCTCGTGCGGGCTCGCCGAGTCGTACAGCCTCTTCCAGCGGCCCGCGTTGGCCTTCACGTCGTCCATCAGGCCGCGCAGGCTCGCGAGCGACGAGGCGCGCACCACCTCCGACCACGACTTGTCCGAGAGCCACTCGGGCGCGGGGTTCGGGTGCGGGTTCTCCAGCGCGACGCCGCCCGTCAGCAGGAACCGCCACGTGTCCTCGTCCACCTCGCCGCGGCCCTTGAGGAGGCCGATGGTGAGCAGCAGCGAGAAGAGCAGCTTGTCCTTCTCGAAGAGCGAGCGGCACACGTTGTTGTAGATGCTCGCGGTGAAGTGCTCCACGATGTTCGCGATGCGCTCCCGCAGGTCCTCCGACTGCTTGCTGTGCGAGATCGAGGTCACGTAGAGGTTGATGTACCAGGTGAGCGAGTACTGGTACATCGGCTCGATGTTTGCCATGTCCGAGATGCAGAAGAAGATGATGGAAGAGTGCTCGGCGACTGGCCTGTAGCCCATCCGCGTGTCGTCGATTTCCTTCTCGGTGGCCGTGGCGATGGTCTGCTTCTCTGAAATCTCCTCCGACAGCAGCTTGGAGGACGACAGGATTTCGATGGCCGTCTCGTCCTCCAAAATATTTCCCCGCGAGCTCGACAAAACCTCCAGGATCTTGTCTTCGATCTCCTTTAGCTGCTTTTTGTTGGCGGCGCCCTCCAGAATCAGCTGGTTCTTTTTCTCCTCCAACTCCGGCTTCTCCTTGGCTGCCACGATCCCGAGCAGCTGATCTTCCAGCCCCATGGGCGTGATGACAAAGTTGAGGAGGCACACCTTGACGGCCACCTCGGGCAGGTAGTGCGGGTTGCGCAGGCGCGTCGTGATGTAGAATCGGAAGTCGCGCGAGTACTCGATGACGCTCTCGCCGAGCCTGATGTACTCGACGCCCTGCTGCTTGAACGTCTGCTTGAGCAGGATGGGCTCCAGGACCGGGTCCAGCTCCTCGCCCACGTTCTCCAGGAGCACGGGCGTGCCGAACTGCACCGCGTTCTCCAGGGCGCGCACGTACGCGGCGTCCGACGGCTTGATGACCGACAGGTTGTTGCCCCGCTCCATGTTCCTGATCCACTTGTTGGCCTGCCCCTGCGGGTCGATGGCCAGCGGCCACCGCCGCGAGTTGGTCACGATGATGCCGTTGTCGACGGAGAACGAATCAACGGGCAGCCCCGCGATCTGCCACGCGCGCACCGTCGTCGGGTCGCCCAGCGTGCCGCTCAGCGAGAACTCCTCCGAGCAGGGCACCTGCCGTCGCGCGCACAGCGCCTGCCACTCCCGCCGGCACTCGAGGCGGAAGTCGACGGCGAAGGCGCCGAGGTACGCGACGGTGCCGGCCGAGAGGAGCACGTCGCCCGTGAGGCTCGTGTGGCGCTCGCCTAGGAGGCGCGCCGCCTCCGTCCAGCGGTCCTTCTCGCCGCCCAGGCCGCCGATGAGCTTCTCGGCGCGCTCCAGCTTGCACGAGCACAGCTTGATGTTGGCCTCCAGCTCGCCCTTCTTGCGGTTCATGGCGTCGAACGTGTCGTTGAGGGCCTGCAGCTTGTCCTGCACCGCCTTGAGCTCGGCGCGCTTGCCGTTCAGCTTGGTCATCTGCACGCTCAGCTCCGACTCGGCCTCGCGCAACCGCTGCTTCTTGGGCGCCACCACCTGCGCGCGTCGGTGAGAAAGTCGGCGTCATCGTCACTCTATCCGCTGCTGGTGCCGGCTTGGCATTTGTCTAATTTGGTCTGTTTTGCGTCAGGCAATCGTTTGATATTGTGCATTAGAAGTGTGTTTTGTCACTGCAACGTGGCGCTGACGTTCCTTGTGAATATAAAAATATTTCCTGCATGGTATCCATGCCATAGTCTGTTCCCCACCCCCCTGGTTGAAAACCGCTGCTCTGGACTGTGATAGGGCCAAGGCTCTGGGAGAGTCAAATGCTTAACCGCAGCACCACCCAGCCAGCTTCTTCAACGTGCACATCATCATCATTGCTACGTCAAATCTCGGTTGTCTCACCTTGGCCACGCGGTCGTATACCTCCATCGCCCGCACCCACTTGCAGAGTCCCTCGCAGGCGGAGGACACGTTCTTGATGATGGACGGCTGGAAATCCGGGTGGTCCACAAACTTCTCGCGGATGCGTTTCATGGCGGCCGCCGGGATGTTGTCCTTGTCGAAGGCCTTGAGGCTTTCCAGGAACTTCATGTCACCCAGAAGCTTCTTCGACGGACCCCAGAAGTCCTCGAGCATCTTGCCTAGTGGGACAGAGAGCGACGCGGGCAAGTGAGCCGAGCATGCGTGGGTTTGGCGCCTGACCGATTTGTGAACCTCCCAAACACACTGTGCCGCAAGGTGGCCAGGATAGGGTGAATCGGTTTATGACCCAGAGCCTTGTGCAGGAATTTTAGCGTTATCCTCTACAAAAGACTCTTGTAGCACCTCTAGTGGCTGCAGGGGTCACGTGAGCAGATTACATACAACACCAAATTCCAATGAAAATTATTCAATCTTATACACATGCACACACAGAATTCAATGCATATATCACAAGTAAAAATAATAATTTAAGTCTATAAATAGATGCATCATAATATACCTACTGAGTAATGTTTCAAGCTAGAAAGTGGCCTTTTATACCCGAAAAGACAAAGATCCCCTGTATAGCCTTAAAAGACTGTTGGGGCAAGTGCTGTTAGCAAGCACCTATGAAGGCTAATACGGTACACAAGGAGATGGGAGGCCAACACCACTCCCCAGCCGCCTTTGTCTCCCAAGTGGTGATGTTCAAACACTGCACCATTTGAGGTTGAGTCGACCTAGGGGAGGGCGAGGACCGGTTCAGATAATCATCACTGGTGTTGGCCATGAGCGAGAATCGAACTCAGGTCGCCAGGTTCGTAGCGCAGCGCGGTAACCGCTACACTGCCACCCCATTCACAATTGCACATCAGAGACAAGCCAGCACAGGGCCGGCACAGCAGTGGTGGTTTGCTCTGGTATTCTACAGAGCTGAGCTGGTCTCACAAAACATCAGAATTTAGCCCGGGGGTCAAGCCGTGCTGGGAGCGGGGCTAACGACACAACGTGACGGCATTATGTGCATGCATCTTGACGTCGCTCGCGAACGTCAAGCGGCACGGATAGGGCTTTTTGTGCACTAGAAAAGCAACCCGCGCCTCTTGACCTGTGCTGCACTGGCTCGGAACAGCCCTAGCGCAGCTCAGATGTGCAAGTGGAATTTTTTTTTTACCTCCTCTCCTTTATGTGGTCCAGTTGCGTCGGGACTATCCTTCGTGAATTGTGACACCCGGTTCTGCGAGCCGTGCGACAATTTTTTTTTTAGTAAAAACAAATTTCAAAAAGCGAAAAAAGACGTGCTACATAACCAAACCACGGCCTCCCGACGGCACCGAGGCTGCGGTCGGCCCTCACCGGAGCCGCTGGGGTCGGGCTTGCGCTCCGCCTTGATGTTCTTCATGACGCAGATGCTCTCCATGACGAGCTTGACGGGGCCCGGCGGGTTCTGCATGGCCTTCACGACGGTGATGTCGGCCGGCTTGAGCGTGTTCAGGGCGGCCAGGGCGGACTCCAGCGCCGGCATGGCCTCCGCCAGGTCGCTCTCGCACTCGTCCTGCAACGGCGACCCCCCACGCCACACTGGGAACTCGCGGAAAACTTTTCTGGGCGAGTTTTATTCATCGGCAGTCAAGCGTTGTGTGTCCCGCGGTGGCGAACCACAAAGTTAAGATCTCACCACAGTGGGGAGATTAGCAAGATACAATTAATGCCCAAATAGGTCAACGGGCAATTTTGCACCTCCTTAGTTGACCTGCCTCCTTGCTTGAGATGTCTTTAAAACACTGTCTCTTTGTGATCATTCATAAATCGACCGATCGAACATACAACCTCCCGAATGCAAGTCGAGCACAATACGTACGACCTCTGTTATGCATATTCTCAGATGCTGGGCGTATTTCATTTAACATCTGATTGAATATTTCATGAAATATTTCATATGAAGTCCTGTGGTCCCACCCGTGGCTCACCTTGATGGCCTTCGCCGCGGCCGCCGCCTCGTTTGCCACGGCCTCGTCGGCCGCCACCAGCTCCTTCTTGGCATCCACCTCCACCGTGTCCTGCTCAATCTTCACCATCATCTTCTCGGTCTCGGCCGAGGTCTTGATGAGCTCTGGCTGCAAATCGGTCAGCTCCTTCTGCATCACCGACACCTGTGCGCGTGCGTGTGCAAGCACACGCATGCGACCACCGATAGGTTCATCAGCGTCAACAGCTGCGATCGATCCATTGCTGGATGAAGGTCTCCTGCTAGCCGCTGCCATCTGTCATGATCCTGCGATGTAGTGATAGCACCCGAGATGATGTACGCACGGAGATGGAGCGATGAAATCAGTTTATTTGCAGGGGTGAGATGGATTGTGCCGTTGCAGGACCATGAAGAATGGCAATGGCATGGAGATGCCTTCACCTAGCAGTGGATAATGCACTTAGCGTTTACCCACACAATTAATTAATCACTCCATCTCCATGATGGACGTTCTCTCGGACACATTCCACTCCTTGGTTGCCACTCTGTTAATAATTCTGACAATCGGCCAGCATTCCTCTAGCAACGTATCCTGCTCAAGCCACGTAACTTTTATTAACAGCTATGAGGAGGTCAATAACAAACTCAACTAAACTATTTTTTTTATTTTACCAGGTAAGGCCCACTGAGTCATTAGCTCATTTTTCCATAAGCGACATGGCCGCCAACGACAGCTCAATGAAGTGGCTCATCATCGCCGTCGCGTGGACATTAGTCATTTACAGCGGGAGTCGTGCGGCGGACCTGCGATGCGGCGAACTCCAGCTTGTCGAGGCCCACAACGTAGCGGTTGCGCATGAGGGACACCTCCTGCCGCTTGGAGTTGAGCAGAGCCTTAAAGGTGAGGATGAGCTCCAGGTAGGACGTGGGCGTCACGTAGTTGTGCCGCCGCATCACTGAGAAGTACCTCTCCGACAGCTGCGACACGCTCTCGTGGAAGTACTTGCACATCCACACGACCCTGGCGCACGGGAGAGGGCGGCAGGGTCAGCGAGGGCTGCCGTGGCGGGGGACGAGATCGGAGATTCTTACCAGCGCACCATGCGTCGATCGGACGGTGCGCTGGTAAGATGCAGTCGTGTAATAATGACCACATCGTCAGCTCAGGGGGTGCGGCAATTGGTCAGGTGGGGCCCCCAAATATTTCATTTGTCTTGCATGGTGGATTTGAAGGGGTACCCCAACTCGTAGCTTTGGCCACCAGGGGAGGGGGGAAAGGTACCCCCTGCCCCCACGCTCGTTACGCCACTGCTGCCGTGGTGTCACGGTGGTTGGCACGCAGCACTGGTTCGATTGTATATCTCGTTGCGGCAGCTAAAACGATGGGGAAAGTCTCTCAAATCCATACCCCAACCCCCCCCACCTCCCGCCACTTCTGTCCACCAAGCAGGACAAATGGGTTGCGCTGCAATTCTACGCCTATGGTGGGGGGTAAAGTGTGGGTATTCCCACCTTTCTTTTTTTTACTTACCAGGTAAGACCTACCGAGCTGTATAGCTAATTTTCAGAAGCGACCTGGCCACAAATGATAGCTCAACGAAGTGGCTTATCACGTGGAAAATTATCGCATCCAAATTGTCCTCACGCACGTCGTTGATTCTAAACGTGGCCGGAAACACCGGAGGACATCGGAGAAAAATCCGCGTGACCACGGGGAGAGACATGCAAACTTCAAATATACAGGCGTCAGGGTCGGGATCGAACCCACGACCTCCTTTATTTCTTCCAAGACGTCTGGCCAGCCTGGAAGAGTAGGCTAAATATCCTGTAGAGGTTCTGCCTAGAACTCCCCCCAGTGGAGGACCTTCCACTAGCAGTGCCATGAGCCAGCAGTTGGGAGGGCTGTACCTTTACCTCCAACACTGAGCGCACGACTCGCTCACGAGTGATGTAGGTTCAAGTTTAACTTTTGGTCCAGACGATCACAAAGAAAGATCGTGGTGGAAAGTCCGTGGAGTGGCAGTGGCAACATCTGGTAACTCCTGTGTGAAGTAAACCTACAGTTGTGCAAAGCAGTCTGGGTATTTACATAATTTTCCATGGAGCAACACAAAACAGGTGGTTGGGTATGACAGTAAATTAAATGAACCAACACAGCCAGTCAGAGTTAATCCTCATGATCCATGGGAGATATAGGCTGTGAATAAAGGTTGAACATTTACTGATTAATATATTGTAAGGATGTATGTTGAACTTCTTTCGCACCGTATGCAGCCAACCGTGCTAAACCTAGCCAACCGTGCTAATGGTAGTATCTAGGCATATTTACTTCTGATTTTTATTCGATCCAGACTTCATGGAATGCATAGATTAACCTCCCGATAGCATGCTCCATCCAATTAGAATATTTGCCATGAAAACAGTGGAAAAAAATATGTACAGCCCATATCTATGTATATACAATTCAGCATTGTTCAATGCATTATCTTCACAGGCAAAAATCCCTTTCGTTTTTTGGCGTGCAAAAACCAAAACCCTGACGTCAATGACAATTGGATTGCCAGATGATGGACACTAGATTAAGGTCACAGAGAAGATGCCATCAAAATTAATTTATCACTGCAATTTTCATGAAATAAGTGCTTTTTTGACACAATGCATTAAAAAAAGGACATGGCCATTTTCCCGTTGTTATTGTCAACCGATAACTCGTGTTTGACCCACGCACGAGGGCACGAGTGCAGATCGAGCAGTGATGCTGCATTCTGCCTGCTGTTCAGCACACCCGTGCTGGTGAGAGAGGCCTGCTGTACAGCACACCCGTGCTGGTGAGAGGGGCCTGCTGTTCATCACACCCGTGTTGGTGAGAGGGGCCTGCTGTTCAACACACCCGTGCTGGTGAGAGAGGCCTACTGTTCATCACACCCGTGCTGGTGAGAGGGGCCTGCTGTTCATCTCACCCGTGTTGGTGAGAGAGGCCTGCTGTTCAGCACACCTGTGCTGGTGAGAGGGGCCTGCTGTTCATCACACCTGTGCTGGTGAGAGGGGCCTGCTGTTCATCACACCTGTGCTGGTGAGAGGGGCCTGCTGTTCAGCACACCCGTGCTGGTGAGAAGATGGCGCCGATGATGGTAGCCTCAGCCGGTCGGTGCGCCCTGTTTTATCTTGTTTTGTCTGTTAATTCAGTGTTTTGCCAAGATTTTCGGAGTTCTCTAACAAGAGACGAACTTTTAAATATCAGGCAAACAACTCCTGTGGATTTAATTCCTACTTTTCTGCTTCCAGCGGCAGAATTAGTAGGCATTCTAGTCAATGCCGCGCTAGGCTTTGCTCAACCAGCGAAACGCCGCCCAAGGGGTAAACGGTCGGGGGCTCTCGTACGGCTACGCAGACGCGGGATCCAAACAGTGCTTCAGAGCTTTTTCCTCTCCAACGTACGTTCACTGTACAACAAATTGGATGAACTTCAGCTACTGATGGTAAAAAACAAAGACTTTCTTTCATCTTCTGTTTTGTGCTTCACGGAGACATGGCTGTGTGATTTGATTCCGGACACTGCGTTACAACTGGCAGGATTCCATCTTGTAAGATCGGATCGTGACATAGCACTCTCCGGCAAGACGAAAGGCGGTGGTATTTGTTTTTACATTAACAGTGGCTGGTGTGTAGATGTCACAGTGATTCTGCAACATTGTTCTCCACTCCTTGAATCAATTTTTATAACCTGTAAACCGTTTTACTCGCCTCGCGAGTTCGCGTCGCTCATTTTGATCGGAGTTTATTTGCCACCGTGTCCTCAGGTTAAAGAGGCCCAACGCATGCTCGCCGATCAGATTCTGAGTGTGGAGCGAGCAAATCCAGATTCGTTGGTTATCGTACTTGGCGACTTTAACAAAGGTAATCTCAGCCACGAACTCCCCAAATACATACAATTCATTAAATGCCCAACCAGAGAATGGAACACTCTGGATCACTGCTACACTACAGTCAGTAGAGCCTACCACGCCGTCCCCTGAGCAGCACTGGGACACTCTGACCATGCCATGGTCCACCTGATTCCTGCATACAGGCAGAAACTAAAACTCTGTAAACCTGCTGTGAGGACATCTAAACAGTGGACCAGTGAGGCTGTGGAAGATTTGCGGGCGTGCTTAGACTGTACTGACTGGGATATGTTCACGACTGCTACCAATAGTCTGGATGAACTCACAGAGGCTGTGACGTCCTACATCAGCTTCTGTGAGGACTGCTGTATCCCAACACGTACCAGGGTAAACTTTAACAACAACAACAAGCCCTGGTTCTCAGCAAAGCTCAGACGGTTGAGGTTGGAGAAGGAGGAAGCGTTTAGGAGTGGGGATAGAGACAGATTCAAGGAGTCGAAGAACAGGTTTAGCAAAGCGGTGAGAGAGGCTAAACGACTGTACTCAGAGAGACTAAAACACCAGTTCTCTACTAACGACTCTGCTTCTGTCTGGAGAGGGCTCAGGCAGATCACCAACTACAAACCCAGAGCCCCCCACACCACTAACGACTCCCGCCTAGCCAACGACCTGAACGAGTTCTACTGCAGATTTGAAAGACAATTGGACAGTCCTGAACTGCCCTTCCCACCCAAGAGGCCCCATCCCCCACCCATACTACAGAGACGACTCTCTCCTTTCAGGAGGGAGAAGTTAATAGACTTTTCAAGAGGCAGAATCCACGCAAAGCAGCCGGGCCGGACTCTGTCTCTCCAGCCACCCTCAGGCACTGCGCTGACCAGCTGTCTCCGGTGTTCACCAATATCTTTAACACCTCCCTGGAGGCATGCCATGTACCAGCCTGTCTCAAGTCCTCCACCATCATCCCTGTGCCCAAGAAGCTAAGGCCAACAGGAATAAATTATTACAGACCGGTCGCCCTTACATCTGTGGTAATGAGGTATTTTGAGCACCTGGTCCTGGCACACCTCAAAGCCATCACAGACCCTCTACTGGACCCCCTTCAGTTTGCCTACAGAGCCAACAGGTCTATGGACGACGCAATTAACATGGCCCTCCACTTCACCCTACAGCATCTGGACGCCCCAGCATCCTACGCTAGGATCCTGTTTGTGGACTTCAGCTCTGCCTTCAACACCATCATCCCTGCCCTGCTTCAGGACAAGCTCTTCCAGCTGAACGTGCCCTACTCCACCTGCAGGTGGTTCACAGACTTCCTGTCTGACAGGTAGCAGTGCGTTAAGCTGGGAACACAAGTCTCTGACTCCAGGTCCATCAGCACCGGAACTCCTCAGGGCTGCGTCCTTTCCCCACTGCTCTTCTCCCTGTATACCAAGAGCTGCACCTCCAATCATCTGTCCGTCAAACTCTTGAAGTTTGCGGACGACACCACCCTCATTGGGCTGATCTCTGGTGGGGATGAGTCTGACTATAGGTGGGAAGCTGACAACCTGGTAACCTGGTGTAGCCAGAACAACTTAGAGCTAAATGCTCTAAAGACAGTTGAGATGGTTGTGGACTTCAGGAAGAATACAGCCCCACTCACCCCCATCACCCTGTTAGACTCCCCAGTCAAAATTGTAGAGTCCTTCCGCTTCCTGGGCACTATTCTCTCCCAGGACCTCAAGTGGGAACTGAACATCAGCTCCCTCACCAAGAGAGCTCAACAGAGGATGTACTTTCTACGGCAGCTGAAGAAATTCAACCTGCCAAAGACAATGATGGTACAATTCTATACAGCAATCATTGAATCCATCCTCACCTCCTCCATAACCATCTGGTACGCTGCTGCCACTGCCAAGGACAAGAGCAGACTGGCGTATCATCCACACTGCTGAGAAGGTAATTGCCTGCAATCTACCAACCCTCGAGGACCTGCACACGACAAGGACCATGAGGCGAGCGAGGAAGATTAAGGCCGATTCCTCCCACCCTGGACACTCTCTGTTTCAGCTACTCCCCTCTGGCAGAAGGCTTCAGTCCATCAGGACCAAAACCTCACGCCATAAAAACAGTTTCTTCCCATCTGCTGCTGGCCTGTTAAACAAGGCCAAGGGCTTACACTGATTTTCAAATTTTAATATTTTATCCACATGACACCTTGCCGATATTAACTGTTAACCTATTTGTATTTTTTATTTTTAAATTATATCTTACAACTATTTTATATTCGATATTTATTCAATTTTATATACTTCAGCCCCTTGGTATTAGTTAGACTTCTAACCCTTATTATAGTAAGACTTGTTTTAAACTTATTTAAGATTTTAGATTCCTATATGTTGAATTATGCACCATCCTGCCAAAGTAAATTCCGTGTCGGCGTGAACTTTCATGGCGAATAAAACCCTTTCTGATTCTGATTCCCGAAAAAGAGATTAATGCTGGGCACAGTATTGCTGATAGTGTCTTTGTCTCGTTTGACAAGTCTACAGTTTCCCATATATTAACCAGCATTAGCCAGTGCTAAGCTCCTACAGTGGTCCTTAGCCAGTGGTACAACGTCCACGTTATTATGACGGGGACTAGTAGCTAACTTCCTACAAAAGTATTCATTTTGCAGACCCTGGAAGTATGACCTCGATGAGCACGGTTGGCTGCGTACAGTGCGAAAGAAGTTCAACATACCATACCTGTCAACCCCTGATCAGTGCCTACCTTATTACAGACCAATTCAGGCCTTATTGGTCACCCCGTGCCCTTATAAATCTCAACGTTCATCCTACAAAGTCCCATCACAAGGGAGAAACACAACCAAATAGACACAACAAAAATGTGCCCATACATTGAGAGTCAATACTGTGCCACGACCTTCTACCTGCAGTGAATTGCAATGCGGCACTGCCTCGACTTGGTGTATAAGCTGGAGAGGCTTCAAAGTCTGAGCAGCCATACTGTATAGAGGCACCCATACCAGTCAGTTACGCAGCGAGAGGTGAGACAAAATGTGCTCCTTTCACCAACCTGCACCGACCAGCGTGGTGAAGTACGGTCAACCAACTCTGCATCCCCCATGGTTGACACAACCCGTCCCGCCCACGTATACATATGTAGTGATGTTAAATGGATCATTACGGCGCGCAGCGCCAAGTGGCGTAGAAATGGGCAGAGGTTAACACACCGTGCAGTACCATACAGTAGGCCACTAGGGGCATAGTACTGGGTGCGAGCAGAAGAAAGCCAGATGAGTCCTATCGACAGAGTAGGGGATAACAGCCTCCGCTAGCGCCGCAGGCCATCGCCACGGAGTCGGCCACTGGGGGAGTGTGGTGGGAGCGGCTGGCGGTAGGGGGCATTGGAGGACGAGTCACCCCGGCACCGGGTTAAGCACGTGATGGGCCGGGGTGAAGAATGTGGGCCAAAGGTGAACGAGGGGACACGGGAAGAGTAGCTGAGAACGGCTGGAGAGTTCCCGTTAAGGGCGGAGCCAGAAAGGGAACAGGTGTGGTGTAGTCTGGAACCGTCGGGAATATTCCAGAAGTAGGCGCGGCCGAGTGGGCCAGGCCGCGCCGAGAGAGATAAAAGGGAAGCCCCGATCTGTGATCGAGGATGTCTGCAGGTGAAGTGGAACCCAAGTGCTACGTCTACGTCTTCGTCCCCGTCTTCGACATCGTGGCTCAGGCAGCACGTTGGCTGCTCTGACCCGATTGTAGTTATCCCGTATGCGAGAGAGATAGGTGTATTGTGGTCCTATGCGTAACAAGAGTGAGAATAGGTGTATTTAGTCCCTGTGTAATGGTGTTGCATAAAGTGTATAATAAACGTTGTTGCCTCCTAAATAGTGTCTCTGAATGACTCACTACACATATACAACAACAGCAACAACCGCCATTCGCCACTAAGTGGCAGTGATGTGTCACCACGGCGCTTGCGCCAGGCTAAGTGCACTTTGAGGCAATGTGAAGGGTCGATTGGCTCGCGAACAGGAGGTCACGGCACGGACCCACGTGTTATGGGCTGCCTGACTGGGAAGACTGGCAGACACATATGTAAGGGTGTTATAAAGCACCCTGAGCAAAACAGCATGAAACAGCAGAGCTTTGACATGGACAGGGGGTGGGAACATGTCAGAGGGAGGAGGGGAGGCAAGTACGGATCAGTTGAGAGCAGGGGCAAGGGGGAGAGAGAGAGGAGGGGGAAGCAGGACAAGATGGCGGCCGAGACTGGGAGCTGGACATGTCAACAAAGAGAGCCCTTCCCCCATGTGCTGAGCCCCTGTGTTCCTTTTTACACATATATACACAATATGCACACAAGATGAACACGGCGTATGAATGAATGATGCGGGGCCTTCACTCTTTGCGCACGCCGTCCTCCAGCTCCACGTCCCGCAGGAACTTGTGGGCCACCATCTCCAGGGCGTCCGCGGGCCACGCCTGGAACCAGTCGATGGTGCAGCAGTTGATGAGCGACGGGAACATGCGCAGCCGGTTCCGGAAGGCGTCGCCAATCGGGCTCATCGCTGTGGGGGGACAGTGACGAGAGTGTGACCCGAGCGCGCGCGTGGCCTCGGTTCGACATCTCGGCTCGTAGGGTTATGCAGCTGTCGCCGCGTCGTACGCAATGAGGCACCGCTGCTTCTCTCGTCTGGGAAAAGGGGCCACTGGGATAGCTCCACTTCTTGGAAATGTTTGGCGTTACATCAGCCAGGGTAGGCTGGAGGTAGTGGTTGGCACGGTGGTGGGTGCGCTGCGCTGCGCTCGACACCCAGTGAGCCGAGTTGAAAACCCCGCCAAATTCTAGGCTTCCCATTCGCCAACACGCACTGCCTAGTGGAATGATGTATTGGTTCACACAACAACCAGTATGTCAAGGGGAGGCCTTTGTCCAGCAGTGCACTGACGCAGGACTGTTAACTATAAGTAATCACTTTTTTTTACATGTTGGGCAGTAACACAACATTCAATCAAGACACTATGAATTGCGTTGCGTTTTGCTACAGCCGCGCAATTTAAAGGCACAATGTGCCGAGATTATATTGTAAATTAGTTATCAAATTTTGGAGATCCTAATCCCGTGCAGTGTTGCATTGCACATTGAAATTGGTGAGAATTAATTTGGTAACGGGATGGAAAGCTGCTTCTGGAAGACATGCTTGTCAGTGAAAAAACATTTTAAAGTCAATGAATAGATTTCTTTTTTCACATACATTTTTATTAAAGTGAGGAGCGTTAGTGTCGTGGTTAGTCTGACGACTTGAGTTCGATTCCCACTCACGGCCGACATCGGTGACGAATATCTGACCTGGTTCTGGGCCTCCCCTGAGGTCGACTCAACCTTAAATGAGTACCAGTTGTGGTGTGTAAACATCAGCACTGGGGAAACAATGCTGGCCGGGTATGGTGCTGGCCACCCTCCTCCTTGTGTACCATGTTTGTCCTTCCTAGGTGCTCGCTGTTGAGGCTATAGGGGGGATCTTTTTATTTGTTGCAGTCAAGGGGCTTTCTAGATGGGAAACAGAGGGTAATGACATGACCTTGCGGAAGCGCGTTCGACGCCAAATGCAAAGGTTCAATTTTCGAATCCATCGGCCCACTGAGCTACGTAGCTATTTTTTTAGAAATGACCAGGCCACAAATTATAACTTGACAAAGTGGCTTATGATGTGGAAATTTATTGCAGCCAAATACTCTAAACGCACGCTTCAAAATGGGAAGAGAAAAACCTGAGGACCCGTGGAAAAATCCACACGACCACGTGGAGAGAGAACATGCAAACTAGGTAGGTGTCAGGTTTGGGATCGAGCCCACGACCTCCTGTACACCGGGCGAGGTCGTTAAGATCTCGCTACCGTGGTGCCTCGAAAGCCAGACCATCTGGCTTTGGAGAGAGCGAGGGGGGCCGCTTACCCAGCACGATGTGCAGGTTGGCGCGCACGCGCTCGACGAAGTAGTTGTACATGGCGAGCGGCGTCGCGTCCACCTTGCGTCCCTCGAGCCGCGCCACCGCCTGCATGCGCTCCACGATCTCGGCGCGCTCGTCCGCCGCGAGCATGTTGGGTACGTCGCCCGCGTTGAGCAGCATGTTCACGTCCTCCACGAAGCCCTCGTCCTTGATTTGCGTGTCACTGCGGAACGCGAGCGAGCGACGGACAGTCTGTGTGTGTGTCGGTCTGTGTATGTGTGTCGATATGTGTGTGTGTTGATCTCTTTGTGTGTGTCGGTCTTTGTGTGTGTGTCGGTCTTTGTGTGTCTGTGTCAATATGTCTTTGTGTGTCGGACTCTGTTTGTGTGTCGGTTTGTGTGTTTGTATCGATCTCAGCGCTTACTTGAATCACTTCTTTCTCTCAAAGTCAAGCAAGGGCTCGTGCTGACTAGAATACACTGGGCAGTATGGTATTGATGATGGGCGATGTATAACGTTTGACCCGTGGCTGAGGTAAAACATATATACACTCAGCTGCCCCTGCCCAGTCACTATCCTAACCACCTCTCTCATTCAGCGCCACGGCGCAAGATGGAACCGCAGCCCCACCGCCACCCCACTTTCATGCCACCACATAACCCCACCGCCCCGCCACCACCACGGACACCAACACCAGATAACACTGCCATGCCACCATCATGGCTCCCTGCCACCAATTAACTCGACTGCCCCGCCACCACCACGGACACCAACACCAGATAACACTGCCATGCCACCATCATGGCTCCCTGCCACCACTTAACTCCACTGCCACGCCACCACCATGGACACCAACTCCAGATAACACTGCCATGCCACCATCATGGCTCCCTGCCACCACTTAACTCCACTGCCACGCCACCACCACCAACATCAGGACATGTATTTATACTGGAGGAATCCGATGAGCTATAAAGCTCTTTTTGACGGATGTCCAGTCCGGGCAGATAAGAACGTTGCAACTACAAACAGTACAACAACACGATAAGAGTGCAAAGTACAATAAATGTAAACAAATCACCCAAACGCATACAAATACAACACGAAACCATCCGCATCCTACAAGGCAAAGCCCACTGAGGTATGAACTTATTTTTCAAGAGACCTGGCCACAAATGATAGCTCAACAAAGTGGCTTATCATTTGGACATTTATAGCAGTTAATTAATCTAAATAGTCTAAACACATGTTTCCAAATGTGGACGGAAAAACCAGAGGACCTGGAGAAAAAAATCCATGCGACCCCGGGGAGGACATCCAAACTCCAAATATACATAGCCCTGCCACCCCATCACCCCACCACTCCTCCACCATCACCACATAACCCGGCCACCCAAGGCCACCCCTCGACTCCACACCGTCGCCGCACCTGAAGAGGAAGACGGTGGGCTTGCCGTCGACGCCGGCCTTGCGCGTGACGCGCTTCAGGTCCTCCCTCCATTCGGCGGCGCCGTACCCGCGCGTTAACTCGATCTGGAAGAGATCCTGGCCGGCCATGAAGGCGGCGAGGCGCGCCACGCTCCGCCGTCCGCTCCCCCCGATGCCGACGAGCAGCGCGTGGCCGCCGTCCTGGGCGAGCACGCGCGACACGCGCGACACGTGCTCGATGGCGAACTTGAACAGGACGAGCGGCATGGGCGCCTTGCTCACGTTGTTGTACTCCTGCGGCGGGGCGGGGGAGAGGGGGTGCCAGACGGGCGGTGAGTATGTGCGGTGGACAAACCCAGCAGTGCGTGTTGCTGCTGTTGTTGAGCACGTCTGTTGACAGGGTGTTCCGTTGCTGTTCGCGAACTCGCTGTCCGCGAGTCTGGCTATCCGCGAATAGAATCTGGGAATCTTGATTTGAAGCTTTCGTGACTGCAGGAATCCATACTCTTTGGTTATGTCGGTAAAGTCAGGTAGGTAGAAAAAATAATAATAGAATATGACGTTTCGATCGCAACACAAGCGGTCGTCCTCAGGCGGAAACAAATAATCCAGCAGTGGAACTGCTGAGTATAGAATCTGGGACTCTACACGAAGACTGCATCGAGAGAGAGACAAAAATAAAGTGATGAGCTAAAGTCATGAGAGGTAAAGCGATGAGATGAAGGTGAGTTCATTCAGAAACAATTATTTAATACTTTCTTATTTATTTATTTCATGTTTATTAGAACCAATTTATATTTTTTAATTATTATGGTCATTTTCATATATTTATAACTGATGTATTTATTTAAGGAAATTCATTAAAAAGATATGTTTCCATAGGCCAATATAATTATCCACGAAATTTCATGAGCATCTCCGGTACGTATCTCTCGCGAATAGCGAGGGAATACTGCATAGCATATATAACACACATCTCCATTCTGTGTCTCTATGAAATCAAAAATGTTTTGGTCGTCAGCCAATTGTCTATTCCAGACCAATATTATCCAGCAGAATTTGTTTAAGTGAGCAAACTTTGTACAGTTCAGATTATAATAATTCATTTCAGCTTGTTGTCCTTCCCCCGCACCTCCGATTAGCACGGTCGGCTATGTACGGTGCGAAATAAGTCAAACATACATACATATGAAAAATAAGAATAGGTTTTACCCTTTCTGGCAATAAAATAGGTCTTTGTACTGTTCGCGTTTTGGCGTTCTCTGGTCGGACACTGGTGAGACTAGGCCATTAAGAAGGCTCCTGTCTCTGGTGTAGGTCAATCAGTTTCCAAGACAATGCAAATGATACTGGTAGGAACCTCCTGGTTACAATAGCCCACAGGAGATTATTGCGTCCGTCCGTCCGTCGTACATCCAAAAATGGGAGGGGCTGGGTGGGGAGGGAAGGGCTGGGTGGGGAGGGAGGGGCTGGGTGGGGAGGGGAGGGTGGGGCTGGGTGGGGAGGGGAGGGTGGGGAGGGCAGGGTGGGGAGGGTGGGTAGGGGCTGGTTGGGGAGGGTGGGGCTGGGTGGGGGGGTGGGAGGGGTGGGGCTGGGTGGGGAGGGGCTGGTCACCCCGTGGTGCCCTTATAAAACTCAACGTTTAACCTACTCACGCCGGCTTGTGCCCGCCCTCACAGTCGGGCATATTTGCGGAATACACCACGTGGTGCCGCCGTTGACGCTGGCCATTGACCGAGCAACCCAACGTTCCTACCAGCTCCCTCCGCAGGAATGTGTTATTATCAGAGCATGTTTTGTTTGCATGTTCACCACTTGTACATGTGGTTAATGCAGACTTGTTTCCTTTCAAAATGGTAAGTATTTGAATATCTTAACACCTGTTTTATTTCCAGAAATGGTAAAACCTATTCTTATTTTTCATACTGTGATACTGGCAAAAAAGGTCCCATGTTATACATACATACATTGTGACCTTCCGATTGTGAGTAAATATTGTGCCACAGCTCTCAACCTGCAGTGGATTGACAAAGGGCTGCCCATGTGCACATGGTTCTGCAATGCGGCACTGCCTTGAATTGGTCAAGAGGTTCTGGAGCCTTCAAAATCTCAGCAGCCGTACTGCATAGGGGCACCCATACCAGTCAGGTACGCAGCGAGAGGCGAGCCAAAATGTGCTCCGTTCACCAACTTGTACCGACCAGCGTAGTGAAGTACGGTCAACCAACTCTCTCTTCCCCATGATCGACGCAACCCACCCACGGAAACCTGTCCAGGAGTAACGACACGTCACAACCGGTCAGGATCGCTCCCCCCCCCCGCCCCCCCAGCGCACCTCCAGGTAGTGCTCCATGAGGGATGTGAGCTTCTTGAGGTCGGCGATCTCCTGGTAGGGCCGCGGGTCGGCGTCCGGCTGAGCGTAGTCGCCGAAGAAGAGGCCCCGCACGTGCTCGTCGGCCAGCTTGCCCGTCGGCGTCAGGTGGCTCAGCACCTTGTCCACGCTCTGCTTGAAGTAGCTGGACGTGGTCTCGCGGACGACGTCGAAGAACGTGGCGCGATCGCCGCCGTCGATGAGACGGTCGTAGAAGACGCGGTAAACCTCGTGGATCCAGAGGCGCACCAGCCTCTCTCCGTCCTGCGACGCACGCGCCGATCGGTCATGAGACCACGCCGTGTTCCTCGGAGTTCAGCCCTTTCCCGTTCCGGGACGTATGCAAGTCGCAGGATGGTTCCCCCCCCCTTCACCGCCGAATCTCGGAGCGTCGCAAGCAGCTCGGTGTGAATTTTATTTAGAGAGGCGCAGCGCCGCTGCTTTTATAGACATTGTGCTCACCGCAGAGAACCGTAGCGACACGGCCGCACTCTACGATCGCTGGCGCCAAACTGTACCACACACCCTCCCCGCATGGCCTTTTACTTCTGATTTTGTTCCGATGACGCACACAGACGTCGTCGGAAAGCAATCGGAAGAAAAACCGATGACATACACGTACGTCATTGCAATAGGAAGGGGTTAACAGCTCGGAGCTTCCCCGTGTCGCTTAGCGGGCAACAGAGCTTCGTCGCAACTTCTGGTCTTCAGCCAGCTGAGCCACGTCAACGCACGTGACTGCAATGACTTCTACAGCTGACAATTCGATTTTATTTCCATCTGAAGTAAACAATACAACGGTTTATTTTCCACCATGTAAAGAGCAAATATAAGCAGAATCAATTAATAACAGATTTTTGGGTAAAGCTACGCTACGTAGTGATCTGGCCAGATTTGTGTCGTGTAACCATCCACCGCCTGACATAGCAAAACAACTTAAACTGTCAAAAAATGTTGGGCAGATCATTACGTGGCCTCAACCAAAAAATAATTATTGATCAGATTGGCTGTGAAAACCTGCACATTAAGATAAACGGAATGCTATTCTTTCTCTACACATAAAGCATGGTTGGCTACGTATGGTGCGAAACATACATACACTAAAACCTTGGATTGCGAGCATAATTCGTTCCGGAAACGTGTTTGTAATCTAAAGCACTCGTATCTCAAAGCACTCGTATATCAGTTGTGATCACGTGACGCTCGGCAGACAAAGCGTATACGTATTACTCGTATTGCAAGACCTCGCTCGTTTATCAAATATTGATTTTAAATTTTTGCTCGTCTTGCAAAACACTAGCAATCCAAGGTTTTACTGTAATGTTCTTTTTCATTCCACATCAGCCTTATTGGTTATCCACAGTAATGTTATCAAAGCAAGCAAAATGTGGAACTTGGTCGACCCTGCCCTCTGGGTCTCATCATCAGAACTAGGCCTGTCGAACAAACGCTTCTAGACTACAAGATGCCAGGTCATTTCGTTAACGAGGAGTGAATTGAGCTAACTCAGTGCTGTATTTGGCTGCTTTCAATTTCCACATAGTGAGTAACTTTGTTGATTTATCATCTGTGGCCAGATCGATTCTGAAAAATAATCTAATAGCTCAGTGGGCTTTACCTGGTAAAACAAAAAGTTTATTTTGAAAGCGAGTTGCTTAGATTTCCTATACATTGCACTCCTGTCAGTTTGCTGGTGATTACAACCAGCTCACAATTCTGGCTAATCGCCTGATTAAGCTGGTTGTAATCACGAGCAAAACGTTAACTCTAATTGTAAATGTTGTGGGTTTACACCCCAACACACCGGTGTGCTAAAGTAGTAACTAATTGTCACGTTTTGTTTACGTGACTAACCTTGCGAATTGGTTGTGTTGGGTGGTGGCAGGTTTAAAGACATTTTTATATGTATGCGATCTAACCCAAAGAAAACTTGATTATGAATAAATGCACCATGACAATCTCGGTGAACGGCGCTCAGAATTCTATCACAGGACAGCTGTGATCGAATTCTGATATTGGTCGCAAAAGCCTACGTATGTGTTAAACGGATTCCTCCAGTATAACTAAAGATTCTATCTTACCTGCAGGTGTGTCTGCGGGCAGAGGAGCACCCCACGGATGACCCGCGCGAAATCGCGCAGGTTGAACACGTAGTGGGACTTGGATGGGGTCGGGAGGAAGTTCTCCACCGCGGCCTTGTAAACCCCCATGGTGGCTTGCACCATCATCCTCCCCAGTCTGCAATGCAAGCGGGTAGGCTTGACAAAGCACAATACGCTTATCCGCTATTACGCTCCAGCCATGCTGTCGAGTGTCGTTAACACGAAATGAAGAAACGTCGTCTGGAGCTCACATGGCGAGCGGTGCATTGCGTGGCATCGGGGCGGGGAGCCAAAGGAGACGTTATTACAGAACCACGGGAATATATTTCTGAAGTCGCTTCAATAGGCTTCTTCTCACACTATGCGGGATACCTTTATGCACTGCAAAGATGTTCGCAACATGGCAATCAAGCCAAAATTGTAGTATTTGAAGCTTCTGTACATGATCTGGTAGGTAACCATGGCAAGTAGCATTTAAGAGGTTATGTTTTCGCAGCTGTAGAAATTAAATTGGCATAACAGTCAACACACATTGAAAGTTTGATTAACAAAGTATTAAATCAATAGGCTTTCCGGACGATTTGCTTTCCAGCAGCATTTAATTCTGTTTCCATGACCGCTAAGTCCAAGCTGGCCCAGTGGAGAAGTGGGGTAGCAAAGCCCACAGTTGGTGTTGTGCTGGCTTGTGCCGGTAATGCTGCTGCTGTGAGAATTGGGGAATCTGGACCACGTCCACTTTCCCGAATCATGAAATTGGACCGGGCCACTTTGACGTGGTTGTGAGAATGTGAAATGAGTCTCATCCGGGCGATGTGGCCCATGGAACAAATGCCCCTAAAACAATTTAATGTCATGAGTCTAATCAAGCTCATTCTATTTGAAAAACAACAACAATTGGGCCTCTCACTTAGGCCTCGGCAAGGTAAGGTAAAAGGTAAAAACAACGAGCCTACCTTTACCCTACCTTTTACCTTACCACAATACAATCACTCTACCCTACCTTTTACCCTTCAGCAGGTAAGGTAAAAGGTTCAAAGCAACGAGCCTCCCTTTACCCTACCTTTTACCCTTACCCCATACAAATTACCCGCTTACAGGGTAATTACTGGGGTACTACACATGAAAAAGGTTTATAACAGGTAAATGCTAGGTAGAGCGCTTTATTCATATAGAATACTCTTAATGATTCCAATTTTACACGCCTTCTTTTAACTCACTGTCTGTTGTTGTTGTCGGTGTTGTATCCTCAAATCTTGTAACTTAATTTTAACCAACTTCCCAATGTGGTATCGACTGCAAACTTGGTATACTGTACTTATATCATACTGATGACAATACTATATTCTATCATAAAAAATAAAATACAAATATTTTTAAACATTTTTTTATATGTTATGTTTCGGCTTGGGTCTAATTGTCCACTGTCAACTGACGTTGGCTCTAATTGGCCACGGTCCCTTACGTTGTGGCAAGCTTCGGGGCCACTTCCTGGAGTCGTGGACTCGTGGAGTTCTGCCATTACTAGTAGGGTACATGTCATAACAGCGTGTTTTTAATAAAAGTTTTGTTTAAAATATTACTCATTAAATGGAGGCCACGGACTGCGCCAGGGAGCTTTTAGCGTTAAACAAGGCACCGTATTTACCGGGTTAATACTTCGTGCTACCTTTACCCTACCGGGTAATTCTTCCGAGCTACCTTTACCCTACCCTTTACCTTACCCCTTGGCATGTCGGCACCTTTACCCTTTACCTTTACCCTTTTACCCGGTAAAAAAGGTAAATTACCTTACCTTGCCGAGGCCTACTCTCACTGATGTGCAACGGCGTCCATGGCACTCACCTGAGAAAAGATGCTTCGAAGCCCTTTCCGAAGTGCCAGTCGACAATGGAGTTGAATATTTTCGTCATGGTCTCATCGTCAAACGAATCGATGGAGAGAATGTTGAGGTGACGGGTGAAGCGCCCTAAAGGTGGGTAATAAAAAATATATATATATATAACCACGGGTATAGATGGATTCTGCCAATGCAACCACATGAGCTGTAGTAACTCAGGAAAGCATGCCCTTAAAACAAACATTTGAACACAAGGTTTTTTTTTGGGTTAGATCGTGTAAATATAAATGTGTCGTTAAACCCGCCACCACCCTACACAGCTAATTCAAGTATATATGGATTCTGTCAATGCAGCCACATTAGTTGCAGTAACTCAGGAAAACATGCCGTGAAAACAAACATTTGAACATAATCAAGGTTTTTTTTGGGTTAGATCAGCCACCTGCAACCCTGAGCAGGAGCAGTAGAAAATGGATGGATGGATTAAAATGCATGAGAATGTTTTATATTTTAAACGTTATTTTTAACACTGTGATTTCTGTAATGTTTTACTTTAATGTCAGCGGAATTATTCATTGCTTATCATGTTAAGAAATGTCAGCTAAGATTTATTTGCGAGCCAGATGCAGTCATCAAAAGAGCCACATCTGGCTCACGAGCCATAGGTTGCCGACCCCTGGGTTAGATTGTGTAAATATATAAATGTGCCGTTAAAACCGCCACCACCCGACACAGCCAACTAGTAAGGGTTGTCACGTAAACAGAACGTGGCCAATTCGTCACTAGTACAGCACACCGGTGTGTTGGAGAGCCACACCACAACATTTACAATCTGAGTACAACGTTTCGCCAGCAATTACAACCAGCTTCATCAGGCGACAGCCAGATTTGTGGAGAAGTCCACCTGTTTCATTCCTTATCTAGAGGGGTAGATGTGGTGACCACGCTTCTGCGCTTTGCGCAAAGTGACGGGGGGGGGGGGGGATTACTGAGTCAACGTTCATTATGCATGCACATTATGCGAGACCTTTGATCTTGTCTTCCTGTCCATTGTGTGTATTAAAATAGCCGTACCAATGGTAATCCCTACTGAAGTATGGTGGCCTGTATAGGCATGCATTTAAACAATGTGTTATTTGATGATTCGTTTCCACGCACGGGTTAAAATTATTTTTATTTCTTTAAATTCGATAGATTCTCTAATTAGTCTTGGCCAATAGCAGCTAGCTTTGCACAAAATTTCAACATAATCAATGTGTCGTTAAACCCGCCAAAACCCTACACAGATACTTTGTAAGGTTGCCACGTAAACAAAACAATCAGCGCACGGATGTGTTGGAGAATTTTGTTTTCGTGACAAACCTTACTAATTGGCTGTTGGGTGGTGGCGGATTTAACGACACATTTATATTTACGCTATCTTACCCAAAAAGAATAAACTTTATTATGAACAATATTGGTCGAATGCTTATTTGTTAAACAAACATTTGAACTTCAGAAACTGCACAGTGCATATTCTTGGTTCTTTCGGTAAAGTCACGTAGAAGGGAAACAATAAAATAATAAAAATATAAAACAATAAAATTCTCACGACATTTCGACTTTACCGAAAGAACCAAGAATATGAATCCCTGCAGTCACGAAAGCTTTAAATCAAAATTTGCACAGTGCATGTCTTAGCGTTTCTAAATACAATTGTTTTTTACCGCATGACAGAACAAACCATAGCTGAATGTCAAATGTCAGCAATCAGCATATTGGCTTATAATCCATGCATTTGGAGATAATGTAGTCATAATGACCAATGGAGGTAGGGTTGGTGGATCACACAAACATCAATTGTGAGTTGATGACCGACCTACGATGACCTTGAGTTGTTATCCACTCGTGTGTAAAAAAAAAGTAACTGGCTAGACATCACAAGCTTGACCTTCCCCACCCCACTGCCAAATAAAAGATGGGTGGTGTCCTGTGAACATCTATGTCATATCGAATACATCGATATATTTACTTTAAAAACAACAATGTTCAAAGGGACAGCGACGGAAGGGGTGGCTTTCATTCATCAGTTCATACACAGTGGATGATGATGATGCTGTATCTCTCCACTTGGCATGATCATTATGTTTATACACGTACAATATGGTGTGTTAAAGCATTCCTGTAATTCCAGATAGCCTTCCAGAATACACAAAGATCATCCGTATAGACTTAACAGACTGTTGGGACAAGTGCTGTTAGGGAGTAGCACCTACGAAGGCCGACATGGCACTGGAAGGGGTCGGTGACCAGCATCACGAGTTGCCTTGTCTCCCGAGTGGCGATGTTTACACAATGCACCAGGTACTCATTTGAGGCTGAGTCAACCACACATGCATGTGTGTGTGTGGAAGGCACATGTGTGTGTGTGTGTGAATGATGGAAAGATCCATCGTGCTGATAATAATAATAATCGGTTTCTTCACACTACAAAAGGTTTAATTAAACAGACTCATTGATCTCATTGCTAAGCTCCTGCATCGCTTTCAAAACCCTTACGCTTTGAAAACTCAATATACTTAATTCGGGTCAATCTGCTCCATATCAACCTTTGTATTGCTTTCAGAATGCTTTAAATGAGACTGATAACAACTATTATTGTCTGCGAACTGCTTTTTATCAATGCTACCTGCGATGTGCAGAAGGGTTCAAGCTCTCTTGACTCTAAACAATGTTCTTATTTTGTCCAAGAGAAAATCACCGAAACTTACACAACCATATTTTCCCATTGCCAGTAAACCATTCTGTATTATGTATTGTTTTTTTTAAATTCGCATTTCCCGATGCATGGTCCACTTCCAACAAGAAACAAACTGCCCATATGCGTCCATAATTGCAGAGTCTATCGTTGAAATTCTACAGGATTGGGCATTCTTTTAGCTAACGGACATTAGAGGGGTGGGTAGGGGAGGGAGGAGGAGGGGGCACAGTGACTGACAGATGAGAGAGTAAAGAACTGTCCATGTGTGGAAATGTATAGCAGCCAATTACTCTAACCGCAAGTTGATTCTAAATGTTGAGGGAAAAACCGGAGGACCCAGAGGAAAATGCAGATGACCACGGGGAAAACATGCAAACTCCAAATATACAGCGGGCGTAAGGGTCGGGGTCGAACCTACAACCTCCTGTATACCAGGCGAGGGAGTTAACATCTCGCCACCGTGTTGGTTGAGGGGATCTCATGCGATTAACAATGCAGGTGGTCCCAGGGCTGTTCTAATTTTTAATGAACCTGATGTGAAATGTTATTCAATGAAGTTACTTGAAGAATCTTATATAAACTGCCCTGTATCTTTTACCTTTTTAAAATTAAATACGACACGAATGTTGTTCAGGAACAAAACAGCATGAGTCATTATTTATAAATGAGTTGTTGTTCTTTTGATTTAAAGCTTTCGTGACTGCAGGGATTAATATTCTTGTTTCTTTCGGAAAAGTCACATAGAAGGGAAACAATAAAATAATAAAAATATAAAACAATACAATTATCACGACGTCTCGACTGCAACACAAGCAATCATGATCAGGTGTGAAAACCACAGCAAGAAAATTTGAAAAAAGTGGTGTTTTTTTAACGTTAGCACCACGGAGAGCAATTTGGCAGTTATTCAGGTGGACGAGTCCATCTATGTTCGGAAAAGAGGAGGGGGGAGACGAAAATAATGGATGCGGTCTGAAAGCCACCGTAAGCGTGAACAATCAATTAAGACCCGAAATGGTTTATCAAATCCTTCCAATGATTGCTAAGCCAGAATCCATCTTCTCAGTTGAAATTGTCTCTGTGTTTGTATATGTGGATAGCCTCATGAACGAATCTCTCATGGTAGCCAGATGGCTTGCAAAGAACCTCTGTCTTGGAGAAGTCAATGTCATGTGAGCCTACTGAATTATAACAGTGATCTGCCAAGGCCGAGGTGTTGGTCCTACCGTGTTTTAGGTCTGCTTTGTGTTCACGAATGCAGTCCAAGACATGTCGTTTGGTTTCTCCAATGTAACTACTACCACGGAGGTAACTTAGTTTGTAGACGCCAGGGTACTGTATGTCCGGAATCACATATTTTACAGACGGAACCAGATCACGGATTTTATGTAATGTGTTGAATCGGACCTGGATCTTGTGTTTATTCAAGATTTTGGAGATCTTTTTTGTGATCCCCGCAATGTAAGGTAAAGTTATGGTTTTGAAAGGCTCCTCAAGAGGGTCCTTCTTCATGGTTGGAGTGATAGCTTTGCGGATTGTGTAGTCGGAGTAACCATTAGCCTTAAGAGCTTGGTGAACGTGCTTGAGTTCACTGGCTATGTGTTCCTGGTCGGATATGCATTGGGCTCTATGGTGCAGAGTCTTGATGAGGGAATTCTTCTGGGATGGATGGTGGTGGGAATCTGGTTTCAGGTAAGCATCCGTATGGGTAGCTTTCCTGTAGACAGAGTGGCTCATTGAACCATCAGGTCTCTTTTTTATTAGGACATCCAAAAAAGGTAGCTTGCCATCTTTTTCGACTTCCATGGTAAATCTGATGTCATGTGGCTACGAGGGCCCGGGCTGCTCTAGACCAATTATTCGACCACATCAATTCCATACACCCAGCAAACCCAAAACACGGTAGGACCAACACCTCGGCCGTGGCAGATCACTTTTATAATTCAGTAGGCTCACATGACATTGACTTCTCCAAGACAGAGGTTCTTTGGAAGCCATCTGGCTACCATGAGAGATTCGTTCATGAGGCTATCCACATATACAAACAATTTCAACCGAGAAGATGGATTCTGGCTTAGCAATCATTGGAAGGATTTGATAAACCATTTCGGGTCTTAATTGATTATTCACGCTTACGGTGGCTTTCAGACCGCATCCATTATTTTCGTCTCCCCCCTCCTCTTTTCCGAACATAGATGGACTCGTCCACCTGAATAACTGCCAAATCGCTCTCGTGGTGCTAACATTAAAAAAACGCCACTTTTTTCAAAATTTCTTGCTGTGGCTTTCACACCTGATGATGATTGCTTGTGTTGCAGTCGAAACGTCGTGATAATTTTATTGTTTTATATATACTTTTTTTATTGTTTCCCTTCTACGTGACTTTACCGAAAGAACCAAGAATGAGTTGTTGTTCTTTACATATAATTTTATTATATAGGCTTTTTTACTTTTGGCTGCTCTGACATTTTAAAAATAATGCTTCCCTTTCATTTTCCTTCCCTCTGCTATGCCCGTGGATTTTACTAAGTAACACAACTCTTTCAATAAAGTTTCAGCTGTCAACCTTTGCGGGTGGCAGTGGAAGGAACTATTGTAGTGCCTCACGGGGGCCTGGGCTTGATTCCCGACTCAGGAACCTTTCTACGTGCAGTTTGTATATTTTCCCCCTGATGTGAATGGGTTCCTCCAAATTCCCTGGTTTCCTTCCAAAACTAAACCCCCCTCCTCCAACAAAATGTAACTGGTATTTGCCAAACATCTCATAAAAAGACCTGCAAGTTACTCAATTGAGATAACACAAGGCAGCATCGGCCCCCCTCCTGCGACAACTTGACTATTTTTGTATTGTTTGTTTTTTGTTACTTTCTGACCCAACCTCTACTGGACATCTGTGAAAAAAAGCTTCATAGCTCATCGGAGTCCTCCAGTCTAAATAAAGATTCTCCTGATTCAGAACTTGGCCAGGACACCCTCCTGAAATAGGGTCTTGACACTCGGCGAGGATTGTCTGCGTAAACACAAGCACAGCAAATAATTGCCACGACAGTAAAACAAAATGAACCTACATTGGTCACCATCAAACCGCACTCGAGATACTTGGTGCTGAGCCTGACCACTGCCCCCTCACCCCCCACCTCCATGTGGGCGTGGGCCCTGAGCCGGAACCTCACCTGTGATGTCGTTCCGCCCTCCGCCCGGGGGTCCCATGGCCGACACGAAGAGCACGTCGACGATGTCGAGGCGCGACGTGTCCTTCTTGTCGTACCAGTGGCCGTGGTCGATCCACTGGCGCAGCAGCTCGATGGGAGGCTGCGCCCCGTACACCTCCTTGGCCGGCATGTTGAGGTCGTCTGCACAGAAAGGAAGCCCGGGGGGAGCGGGGGCGGTGGTGGGTGGGGGCCATACTGACGCACGGGAGAGGCGACTTCTCGACAGCGTTGGGATCCTATCGTGATCACTGCCAATGGAGCCTTGCCCTTTTAAATATAGATTTGAAAATTAATTTCTTCAGAACTGCTGTTCGTGTTTAGTTTGTTGTCCTTCCCCCGCACCTCCAACGAGCACGGTTGGCTTAGACCAGTGTTCTTCGCTAATTTTCAGAGGAGGGCCGCTTTCGCCGGTAAGACATCAGTGTGAGGACCGCCACATTGGGTTTGACAGCATGATGGGGTCTTTCACATGTCGTGTATTGTCGGGGGCCGCACGCCAGGGGCCAAATTAAAGGTCACCAGGGGCCGCCAGTGGGCCCATGGGCCTTGCAATGAAGAACACCGACTTAGACCGACCAATGGAAATCAACACTCTTTTTCTTACAGAGACACTCGAATACCACCATTGCACCCGCTCCCTAAAGGCACCACTCGCGTGTCGCGCCTCCTTTTAAAAAAGCAAAGAGGCACCTCGGCCCTGCGCGGGGCGCGGGCACGGCTCACCAACAAACAGCACGGCCCTCTTGCCGATGGGCGGCCCGAAGATGCCCTTCCGGCGGCGGTCCAGCTTGGCCATGACGATGTCCTGCGTCTGCGCGGCCGAGGTGCGCGCTGAGAAGTTCACCACCGTGGGGATGAAGCTTTCCTTCGGTAGGCCCAGGAGGTAGCTGCCGGCGATGGCCGACTTTCCCGTGCCCGTGGGGCCCACGAAGAGCGAGGCGACTCCGTGCTCCACGTACGTCTTCAGGAAGTAGGTCTGCCTCGCCGTCTCCATCGTGGGGATGATGAGGTCCGACACCTGGCGGGAAGCACGGTGATGGGTGGTGGTGTTAACCCGGAGAGGGCTCGCTCATGCGGGGACGGGGGGGAAGGGCCTGGTAACAGCTGCGTGGGGTTTTTGTTCGGCGGTTGCTAAAAGTGCGACGTGCGTGGCACAATGCGAGGGACACATCAGGGGGGGCCGGGTCTTTAGCCACCCCCTCACAACAGTGCACGTGTCAGCCTGGATGTGAACGTGCACGTACATGCTTATGCACATTGCACGTGTGACTGGGTGAGATTTCCTGGTTGGGACAGAGTTGGGTGCTCAATGTCATGACGAGGAAAGTTGTTACTTGCGGTGCTTGTCGGGGGTCCGTTCTGAACCTGGATACATCAGTGATTCCCAGTCACGGCTAACGTCAAGTCAATTATGAATTCGTTCTGGGACCACCACTTCACCAATCCGCATTGACCAGAGTGGTGAAGTATGGTCAAACAACTCCAATGACAGAGTGTAAGAGACATTCATTCCAGCAACCAATTATGATGCACGGTTGGCTACGGATGGTGTGAAGAAGTTCAACATACATACATACATACAACTCACTACAATGTAAGACACCCATGTTATGCAGTACATGTATGGAAGATATACCCCGGCTAACCACTGCCATCCACTTATCTCACATTCAGATCTAAAAATAGGAGCAGCATATGTCGAAGCAATGGAATATTTTCCTTTTGAGGCTCAGGAGCAGCATGTGGCTCTCAAAGGGCTACTTCGAAGTACTACTTCGAATGACTGACTACTTCATGACGAACGCTTGTGTTGCGATCGAAACGTCGTAGTTTTTTGTCATTTTTTGTTATTTTTCTTTGAACCTATCTACGTGACGTCACCAAAAGACCCAAGAATATGAATTCCTGCAGTCATGAAAGCTTTAAGTCAAGATGGCTCTTCTTTGTTATTTTTGTTGGTGACCCTTGGGCCTGGGGAATAAGGAATAATTCACCTTGGCCCCAGGCGGGATGACCAGCTGGTCCGCTTGGATGGAATCGGTCCACACGTTCCACTGGCCATTTCCCTGCTTCAGGAAATAGTAGTCGTACACCGTTCCTGCAGAGGGACGACACGTAGAGACGTACGCACAGTTTTAGTCCAATGAGGAGTCGCTTTTCGTAGTATTGCTCGACGTGTCCTATTCGTGGCATTCAAAAATCATGATTAAAGAATTGATAGGGCATCGGTTACTTGGTTCTGATAAACCTGCAAAAAGGTCAAAATGTCTCTATTCCCAAACGAAGGGTAGAACAGGCTTGAGCTTTGGCATTTTCATGTGACATTTACCTCGCACATTGAGTTTTGATCTAAACACCTTCCTGTCAGTCAAGCACTGTGCCACGAGCTATCTGCCTGGTCCAAGCACACCGAAATAATGCCATCATTGTCAATCGCGTTTGATTTGACATTGTAATGGCACCCACTGATGCCTTAAAGAATATTTCCTTTTTCGTGTTCCCCTGCTCTTAATAATAAGGAATTTACTTATAAAGCGCCTTTCATCAAATATCTCAAAGCACCGTACAAGACACAGCAGACACTTGGCATGACAGTAAGTTATGAATTCGCCAAAAGTTGAACAAACGGAAGTGTGTAGATACGTTTTTAGACGAGCTTTCAAAATGTTCACAGACTTAACGATCCTAATATCTCATTGGAGAGACAGTTCCAGAGTCTGGGTGCCATGTGGGAAAAAGCTCGTTCAACCATAGGCCAAAGCCTCTATGACCTGGGAATGCAGAGACGATCAGCATCTGCAGATCTTAGAGGCCTTGGTGTCACCATTAGTAGCCACTAGTAATCCAAGTGTGGCTTCTGCACGTTCAGCTGTGTTTTTAGTTTCTTCTCTCAATTCAACGCCTGAAGGTGCCCGCCGCAGTAGCGCATGGCAAAAGCCTCAGAGCATAAATGCTCAACACGCAGCCCAACCTGGAAAATATTCACTTGGATTCTCACACTTGAATTTGGTCATCAATCGCCACTCTTCGACAACACTCATAGTTACAGCTTTTTGGGGCAGACCAAGCTTTGGGAGCCAAACTGCACTTCGGGTTTTTATATTTTAGTTTTCCATGCGAATGCAGGTGGAGTTATTGCCGTAACTGGAATGTCAAGGCCGTGTGTGTGGCGGGCAGAACTACTACAGACTGCGCCTGTTGAACAAAGGCACCTTCGTGGTAGTCTTGCACTATAAGAATAGCGCGAAAGCCAAATGTACTAATGGAAATTCAATTCGTCGCTGTTCCAAAAATCAGCCGCTCATCTCTGCAACGAGACCATATGACAAAAAGGAGATCACCGATCCAGCCACAGCCACTGCGTTCCCGCCGCGCCGACCGTCCCATGCCACCCTCACCTCGCTCGGGAAAGACGCTGTTCTTGGTGAGCTTGACGCTCTTGGGACGAGGGTGGCTGTCGTCCTGGCCCATGAGCAGGTTGCGGTAGAAGGCGTCAAACTTCCTGCGGCTCTCGCCGTTGATGGTGCCGCCCACGGTCCACACGAGGGCGAAGAGGAAGAGGCCCTGCAGCCACATGGTCACCTGCTGGCTCGAAAGGGCTTCCTTGCTGCCCTCTCGCGGTGCCGACAGCTCGTCTGCAAATACAGCGGAGGCAGTGCCACAAGTTGGTTGGGCGCCATGGTGGCGAGATGTTGACTGCCTCACCTGGTACACAGGAGGTCGTGGGTTCGATCCCGACCCTGACGATGCCTGTTGTATATTTGCAGTTTTCATGTTGCATGGATTTTTCTCCGGGTCTTCTGGTTTTTCCCTCCACGTTTATCATGAACATGCATTTAGAATATTTGGCTGCTATAAATATCCACATGATAAGCCACATCACGTGCTGTCATTTGTGGCCAGGTCGCTTCTGAAAAAGAGCCATATAGCTCAGTGGGCCTTACCTGGTAAAATGAAAAAGTTTAGTTTAGTTTGTACAACGTCAAAGCCCAATTCGGTGACGTCACAATCAAAACGTCAAAATCATCTTCATAGTACACGATGAGACGCCAATCCGTAGGTCACTACTTCGTTGTCCTTGTACGGCAGGTACGGAGGCAATCACAAACCAAACACATTCAAGCAGATGCTGGGTGCGCTTAATTAAAATACTGGAAGTTCCTGGCATGGCAGCTGAACCAACGGTGCAAGTTTCTTAAATCCCCCCCCCCCACCGCCTTCCCCCGTCTCTGTCCACTCAATATTATAAATGGGTGCATGACAATTGGTCGATCAGCAGCAATGTGTATGGTGGAGTAAGTGTGGGTACTACTCCCACCTCTTCCAGGTCACCTGGCCGGCAAGGAGCCCCTGTCGTGGGGCTCTCTCGAGCTCCAAGCGCCATCTCGCGGAAGCCCTTCTGCCAGCAGTGACGTGAGTAAGCAATTGCGGGGCTCCGTCTTTACATACACATTTTGTATGTATGCATGTATGTTGAACGTCTTTTTCACTGTACGTTACCAACCATGCTAATCGGAGGTGTGGGGGAATAACAAACAAACTGAACACAAAAAGCAGTTATAAAGAAATACATTTTCTATATAGTTTTAAAAGCGCATAGCTCCAGTGGCTTCCTAATGAGCGTTCCAGACGGCCGCAGAAGCGCATCTGAAATCGCGCGATGCAGTGACCGTCTTTTGTTCGATAGCTTGCCAAAAGCCGCTGCGAGGATGAATCGACAAGCCCAGTAAAACGGAACTAAAACTGCTGAAATACCGGACGTTACTGCATTGACAAGCGGTGTGTGAGGTGTGTGAGACACGGTGGCGGCTGGCAGTACCGAGCAGACAGCTGTAGAGCCTCATGAGGGAGTAGGCGAGGTGAATGGGCGACGTCTGCACGAGGAAGCGACAGTCCGAGCGGATGAAGTCCAAGCACGGCTGCACCAGCCACTCAAAGAGGTCGCCCACCTGAAGATGGAAGCAACTTTTAACGCCACTGTGCACCACGCGCGGCATTCGCGGGAGGGCCACGGATGAGTAGCGCGAATGTACTCTACCAGCAACAACTTTGTAGCTAAGTGAAAAATACGCAGCAGCGTGTTGACGAATGCATGCACGCGCGCGTGCACCAGCGCGCAAAGAAGCAAGGGAGAGATGAACGCTTGCAATTACGCTGACAGACAGAAACTGGGAACACAGATCGTGCTTGGGAAGTCAAGTAACTTCACTATTGAGCATATGCGTGGCATTTGCATGCCATTTTACGTGCTATCACCTAATGTGTGATAACGTTTAACGCTTTCCAACGAAGGTTGAAGTTATTAATGCATTAGCTCTGTCTATCATTGGGGTCACAATAACTCTATTAGAGATAATCGATATAAATGTGTATATATTTTTTAATTTAAAGTGTGTTGGTATTAGGCACTTAGCCCATAGAAAACTGGTCAAATTAATTAAAAGGTTACCCATAACTTGACAACAGAAAATACGTCACGAACGCTCTGGCCGCACCATCACGTGACTATGCGTGACATCGTCTTGTGACATCACACGTCACGCACCGTGTGACGCCATCTCACTACGCGACTCGGAGGGTAACGTTCCCATCACTAATTATAGACTTGTGATCACAAATGCAAGTTAGAATCCATGAAATAATCCATGCATGTGCCTGACGTTTCTTCCTCGTTTACGGATACTCCGGTTTTCACCCAGCATGCAAAGCATTCATCAAAGCAAGGGCAAAACATCTCAACCAAATGCAGTTCGTGAAAGAGAGTCTGGTGATTCAGTGCGACGTCCCTTGACAAAGAAAGGACCATGAGATCGATTTGCAGAAGGGCCATGCCCACGGTAGGGCATAAAGGTACGCACCAGCTCTCGGTGCTCATCCGTGAGACTGCTGGGCAGGGTTTCCATGTAGGAATCCTTCAGAGGCCTCCAGCCCAGCTGATGGGGCTCCATATAAATCATACCGCACCTGTCCGCGCAAAAGGGGCACGGCACGCATTGCAAGAAACGACTTATCGTGGAGAACAAATACGCGGCGCCATTAGCACGTCCGTACACGCAGGCAAGAAGCGTTTGCACAGAAGTGCGGAGGGGTGGCGCGCTGGGAATTACACTGACAGACAGAAAGGGGATTAGGGAAGAAACGCAACACTGAGACGCCACACCTTCAACCTTTAAGCACGGCAAGCGTGCTTGCAGGAGGCCACGTTGCTAAAAAGGAATGCTGGCCAATGAACAAGAGCGGTGGCGCCATGGTGGCGAGACGTTAGCTACCTTGGCTAGCATACATGAGGTTGTGGGTTTGATCCCAACCCTGACTCCTGTATAATTGGGCTTTGCTCTGCACGTTCTCCCCGAGGTCGCGTGGATTTTTCTCCGGGCCCTCCGGTTTCTCCCCTCACACTTAGAATCCACGTGCATTTAGCGTATTTGGCTGCTATACATTTACACGTGATAAGCCGCTTCGCTGAGCTATCATTTGTGATAGCCAGGTCGCTTGTGAAAAAAGAGCTATATAGTTCAATGGCCCTTATCTGGTCAAATAAAAATATATAGTTTAGTCATAGTTTAATAGTTTTAATGGAATGGCCGTCCAAGTGTAGAACACAGCGAGAGGGTAACCACCATAGAGATGGGAGTGAGACAGATTCTGACATCACACGACTCTTAGGGGTGGTGAAGGCATGGGGAGGTCTTTGTCCAGCAGTGGATAAACGATATCTCATGATGATGATAATGATGGATGCATGTGGGGGAAGTTCCTCCTCTCCTGAAAGCAGACTGCAGGGCTAAGTGCTGTTAGCGAGCATCGATTGAGAGGGGAAGGCAGCTCGATGCAATGTAACCTCTGTGCTGGTATGGACACACTCCACTGTGTATTTAAAACTACTAAACGATTATATCTTGACTTAAAGCTTTCACGACTGCAGGAATTCATACTCTATTATATTTACAGATAAAGTCCACTGAGCTGTTAACTAGTTTTCAGAGGCTACCTGGCCACACACAATAGCTCATTGAAGAGGCTTATATCATCATAAGTGGGAATTTATGGTTAGTGGCCAAGGAATCTAAACGTCGAGGGCCAAACTGATTATCCCGGATAAAAATCCACGTGACCACCAGGAGAGAAAAAAATGCAAACTCCAGATATACAGCCGTCAGGGTCGGGATCGAACCCACGACCGACGCTGGTTACATGGGAAGGAATCCTGAGCGCATGGCACACGAGGTGCACTGGTACCATTCCACACATTGGCGTAGCCACGTGTCTCAGTCGCAGGAACGGGGCCGACCATGCTAATTGGAGCTATGGGGGAAGGACTACAAACTAAACACATAAAGCAGAGATCTGAAGAAATTAGTTTTCAATTTAGATGTAAAAGTACATAGCTCCAGTGGCTTCCTAATATTGGAAGGAAGAGAGTTACAGACGGCCACAGCAGCACATGTGAAAGCGCACGATGCGGTGACCGTCTTTGTTCGAATGTTAGCCTAAAGCCACTGCGAGGATGACAGGAGTTCACGTGATGGTTTATGTTCCTTGTCGAGATCAGCAAAGTATTGTGGTTCATTTGTGGCAAGCACTTTAATACAATCAATGCACGATCCGCATCTCGGTCTCCAGCCAATGCCTCCCCCACCCCTGCTCAACACTCGCCATGAACCCACTGACCTGCTCGCTCTCTCTCTCTCTGCTACGCCTGTGTTTGACTTTGCCAAATATATTGGGGGCATTATATGTACACATTTACTTTGGGAGAATTGGGAACACGTCAAGGAATGATGGAAGTCATATCAAGGTGGTATGGGGGCTATTATCCAGCTGTTATGTATGCAATTTGAATTTTAAACTATAGTTGTTTGCATATATATTTTTTTCCTGCGATGCATATAAAGGTGACATAATTCTAAACAAAATGAATTACCACAGTAGACCCACCTATTCCCATCTCCCAGGATAAGTAAGTATATCTGAAAGATAAATATAAAAGGGTAAAAGGTAAATGGTGCAGCGCGGGCAGAAAAAGAAGTGGATCTAGAAACATCCCAGGGTGGGGCGGTCCAGAAAAATTCAAGGTTTTTAAACAAGGAATCTACGTTAATAATACAAAACTCTACCTATTTTCTCTGTTAAATATCAACAAAATAACAATTTACAGGGTCTCATGGGAGGGAGGGTGGGGGGGGGGGGTGGGCATGGGTTCGATCGCTCAGCAAAGCCCCCCCAAGAATTGCCACCAAGCTCTGAAATCTCTCGCCGTGCTTGCGGAAGGTTCTCCACTACTAGACTACACAGCCCCGGTGGGCAATATTTGACCTGGTCGACTGTCACGGGTGGACAGAATCCTGTGGGCAGGCAGGGGGCGGGGTGTTTAATAAACTGCACCTATATTGATTCCGATGCCATGCCAGAATTTGCCATGCTCGTAATCAAGGGCACCCACCCAGCATATGCTTGAACGTGTACGCTCAAGTGGCATTGCCTCTGCACCTGCTGACTGTAGCTGGAGACGCCTGCTCCAAATCCGCCGGCTCGAAGATGAGGTTCATCTTTTGGCTCATTTGGATGATCTCTCCGCTCATCAAGCACAGCTGCGAAAGGCAAACAAATCGACGACAAGAAATCAATTAATTAATGCTTTAACGCACCACTCCACCTAGTTTGAGCTCTCATCTGGAAGGGTGAAACATTTCCGCTGGTTGAAACGCGTCGTCAAAAAATTTCAACTCTGCATTTTACATCGCGTGCAGTGAAAACAATGAAGGAGCTCTATTGAAATTCAAGTCCTATGTGAAAGTCCACGCACTTCCACAGACGTTTCTAAGCCAGCACGACGATCGAACTGTGGAGCTCAAAAGGTTCACGTAATGTTTTCAAGTTTCATTTATTAGGTATAGCCCCCGTGAGCCATGCGGCTCTTAAGTCGGGTGCAACCGCAACAAACAAAATACGAATCTACATTGCAGAAAACTATTACACCACAACCAGACCAAAATAGAGCTACAAAAACAATGTAACAACAGTAATGAGCACAATGCGAAATATTTCATCCGTTCAACTTATGAAAGAACAGCAGGCAACACTTGACATGCAGAGCTTGAAGGTAAATTGCTTCTAGGAGAAAGAAAAAGCATTCCACGGGGTACGTGCACTTGATAATGCAATATATAACGAGTGTGTTTGATTTTTCTTTCGTTTTATATGCATTGTTGTTTCCCCCCCCCCCCTATTGAAATGGTGCAGGTGGCTCAGTGGTGGAACGATTAGTTTGCGATTGGAAGGTTGCGAGTTCAAATCCCGGTTGGGGGTTGACTCAGCTCCACGTCATCCTTTTGGCGTTGATAAAACGAGCACCACTGCGGGGAAGTCCACAATATAATAATACTAAGTCCACAATGGTTGTCATTTTGGCGGGACTCCGTCCCCATCGTAGGAACGTGCCATGTCCATCCACCGGCTCGATGCTCACTTGAGTAAGAAATAACGTTTGACCTGACGACAACTTCTGTTGCTGTGAACTCAACGCGAGTTTGGGAGGGTGAATGACGCACGGTCACCGTCATGTATATTTAACTTCTTTCGCACCATACGTAGCCAACCGTGGTAATTGGAGGTGCGGGGGAAGGACAACAAACTAAACACAAAAGGCAGTTCTTAAAAAATGAGTTTTCAATCTAGATTTAAAAGTGCATAGCTCCAGTGGCTCCTAACATCGGAAGGAAGAGCGTTCCAGACGGTTGCAGAAGCGTATCTGAAAGCGCACGATGCGGTGACCGAATTTGTTCAATGGTCAGCCAAAAGCCACTTCTAGGATGACTGGAGTTGACGTGATGGTTTGCTTTCCTTGACGACATTAGCAAGGTATCGTGGTTCAATTGTGGCAAGCACTTTGTCTGTAACGAATGCGACATATATAATGCATTAGTTCGGCCCACCAGTAAACCAATGCAGCTCGTGGAATGACACGGTACGGATCTTACAGTATTCGTCACGACATGTGCCCAGGGAATCTTGTACACGCCGCAGCTTGGTAACGTTTTTACCAGACGTCCCGTAGTTGCAATGAATGGAGCCCTTAGGCGTCGACACACCTACGCTGCACGCCACACACGGTTACCTTCTTGTTATCGTCGAGCACCGTGTTCATGTTCTCGATCCACACGGCGTCCACGGGCCCATCGAACACGATCCACCGCCTTTCGGGCCCCGTGGCCGACGCCTGCTCGCGAAACGCGTTGGCCAGCACGCCGTCCGTCCACTCGTGGCTCGCGGGGTCGAAGCAGCCGTACAACTGCCCCATGGTGATGGACTTGGGGTTGATCACACGGTACTCCACCGCAAATTCGTCCATCGCGCCCTCTGGCAGCGGACCGTTCGTGGGGCGAGGGGGCGTTCGCCGAGTTAGCGTCAGGAGGGGCTGTGGGGGCACTGCGTAGGGTTCAGCTCTCCTGTGACCTAATGCTGAGTGCTGCTCGCCTGATGAAGCTGGTTGTAATCACCAGTGGGTCTATCGCCACATGGGCCTATCGCTCGCCGCTGCTGTTGCAGTTTGGTAGGAGGTACCGCATATTGGGGAAGGCAAAGAGAGAACACTGGACTGTGGGCTGCCTGGGAAAACTGGAGGGTGACGTTTGATCTGCAGCGTCGCGGTCACTCGCCTGCAAAGAGGTCCCCGAGTGCGCCCGCCAGCACCTTGTAGGCAGACGTTTTCCCCGCGAGAGGGTCTCCGACGATCATGAACCCGTGACGCACCAGCATCATCTCGTAAATCTACACGAGGATCACGATACATTTTTTTTCATATTCAACATCTGGGAATTGTTATCTTTGCGCTATTCTTACAGCGCAAGGCCACCACGAGGTGGGCGATGTTTCAACGTGGTTTTACTCAACTAAGTAATCAGAAGCATTATAAGCATTACGTCATTGACAGCGATGCGCATTTAATATTCACTGGCGCCGTGTATACGGTAGAGTCGTGGAGGTGGCTCATTTGTCTAAGTCCACACAATAAACGAGTGTTTTTTTTTTGTCTAGGACACAGGTGTTCAAAGTGCCGACTGCCCCACCACCCCATTGGCTAACGGTCTAATGGTCTAACGATGTTGTACGGAAAGGGTTGCGACGTGGCCTGTCCAGCCACTACACGACACATCTGCAGCGATAATTATTTTGAGAACCATTGTTAACCCATCGCCGAATGAAGGCCTTGCCCACTGATCATCGTGGGTTAGTAAAAAGGTGGGGGGGGGGAATTTCAGTTTGTAGCCACTGGCAAGGAATCGAACTCAGGCTGCTGGGTAAATAGCCGAGTGCGCTAATATGCTGCAACTACTGCTTCAGAATTATGTGTGGAGATAGACAAAAAAAAGTCTGAGATGAGAAATGTGGGGACAAATTTTACAAGCCGCTCAACGACTCCAACTCTAAATAAACCGGTGCAGAGTTTTGTTGCTGATATTATGCACGGTTGGCTACATGTGGTGCGAAAAAAGTTCAACACACATACATAAACATCGCCTGCGCATGTTATAAGAATCCTTCAGATTGACACAGACTACTAATGCTCCCGTCAAAATGTCTACAGCATACAGACTGGAATGCTACCACTAAAGTGCTGTTACGAGTGGACCTCTTAATTGGTGTAAGTTGCCACGCTTATGACAAGTGGCATCAAAGAGCCAGATGTAAACCCCAACCACCAGAGGCTTAACTGTCTAAATTGATTTGGAAAATGCTAAAATGAGCTTTCATGGAAAGCTCTGGGTAGCATATTAATGAAGAAGAAAAACATCTAAACCATGAATGTTAATGCAATAAAATGTAAGCTGTCCAACCAAACATCGCTGCACCTTGTATTATGGAAATGAAAGGAGTAGAATGCTACCCACAATTATTGCTCTGCCGCTCAAAGACAATTTACTGAGCGAGATGACACGTGGCTTGTAATCCAGCTCTTGGAAGCTGTGGTTGGTGAATTATATACAATCCATCAAGGTCCTTATCTACTGGGCTTTGAGGTTTGCTAGATGGCGGTACAGAGTATAGGTTTATTACCTGCGCATATGGATATTGTATCTCCTCATATAAATACTTTTTTTGTCCAGGCACTCTTTTTTTCCACCCACATGCAAAAAAGACTCAAGGCTTAGCTAAACTCGCATCGCCAGGTTCGTAGCGCAGCGCGCTAACTGCTACGCCACTGCTGCTGTCAGCACACACAGAAAAATAATCCCTGTATAGCTTTAACATACTGTTGGGGAAAGTAATGTTAGCGAGCACCTATGAAGGCCGATACGGGGCATGATTGGGTGGGTGGCCAGCACCACGCCCGACCGCCTTTGTCTCCCCAGTGGCAATGTTTACACAATGCACCATGTACTCATTTGAGGCTGAGTCGACCTAGTGGAAGGCCCAGCACCGGTTCAGATAATCATCACTGGTGTTGACCATTGAGTGGGAATCGAACCTAGTTCGTATTCCAGCGTGCTAACTCCTGCACCACTGCATACACGCGCATACACAAATACAAAGATTCCCCATAAAGCCTAAACAGACTGTTAGGGCAAGTGCTGTTAGCGAGCACCTATCAAGGCCGGCACAGCACATGAGGGGGTGGGTGGCCAGCACCACGCCCGGCCGCCTTTCCCACCCTAGTGGCGATGTTTATACACCTCACCAGGTACTGATTTGAGGCTGAGTCGACCTAACGGAGGCCCAGGACTGATTCAGATAATCGTCACTGGTGTTGGCCGTGAGCGGGAATCGAACTCGGGACGGCAGGTAGCGCAGCACGCTAACCGCTATACTACCGCTCCCTCACGCATACACACACGCGCACAGGGTTGGCAGATGAGAGCTCACCTGGATTATCTTCTCTATGAACCAGGGCACGGGCTGAAGGTTCAGCTTGGCGATGTTCTCATTGAGAGCACGGACGAACACGTCATAGTCTGGCTTTGGGAGCACGACCCCCGGGAACAGGTCGGAGATGATGCCCTGCGCAGGCCCATCAAGACAACACACGGAAGAGGCACCGGTACTCAAACAGTCCTGCGCTAATAGTGGTGATGTGTGCGTGTGTGAAATAGATGTTTGAGAGTACATTGATTCGTCGATTAATATTGCTTGTTATATCATAATGAATGTATGTTGAACTTCTTCCGGACTGTACGTAGCCAACCGTGCTAATCGGAGGCAGTAAGTAAAGGTAAAGCCCTGCAATGTCTTGCTCACACCACTGCTGGTGGAAGGATTTTCGCCAGAGGGACTTCTACAGAGGCCCTCTACATGGTATTTGGTCTTCATTTCCAAGCCTTGGAAGATGTAGGAGTAGCCACACTTGAGCCCATCGCACGTGATATGCCGATAGACCAACTGCGGCATACCCATTTATATTGCTGAGTCGACGGAGGTGGGTGGCAGTGGGGGGAGGGAGATCTGGCGAATTCTGGAATGCAAGTCCAGTGTGCTCGCCATTGCACCATGGCAGCACCCCCCAAGCTCACGATGCAGGCATTGAATCCACGTGTGCGAGAATCGATGTTTGTCGATCCTTTTAAGCCGTAAGTAATGGGTTCACATCACCCTTGCAGCCACCAGAGGTGCACGCGTTCATCGTCACGTAAAACCAATGTAATCTATTCTCGAATGAAATCATGACGCTGAATTGTGATCATTCAGCACACCCAATATTTAACGAACATTAGCATTGTCATTGATGGTCCGGTAGCCTTGAAAGCCTTAATGTAACCGCACGATTACCACACAGATATAAATGTGTTATTATAACACAAAAAACATGCGTTCAGATTTTTTGGCTGCGATACATTTCTTACATGATAAGCCACTTAGTTGGGCTACCTGGTAAAAATAAAAAAAAATTGGTTTTAGTTTACTTATTTACTTTAGTAATTTGCTTACCTTTCCTATACTTTCTACTCCTATTGTTTTTGTTGTTGTAACTTTCTGACTTACTCCCTACAAAACATCTGTGAAAAAGAGCTTCAAAGCTCATCGGATTTCTCCAGGATTCTGATTATCTTGTGGTAGCAGGCTCGTGACCAATGACAGCACAATTATTAATCACATTGAGTCAGAGCCTGGTTATGTGGACATATGAAAAATGCGTAAGAGAGAGAAAGCAAGTGACCCTTAGCATAGCCAAAATACACACTTTCTGGGAAAAGGACAATACAGGTATTTTAAAAGACACCTGGGCAGGCATGCAGTGATTCACTCTTGGGGCTCTCCTCCATCCCGTTCTTTCTCTTCTCATAATGGAACAGAGAGAATGGCTCTCTTGCTCATATATGTGGGCCAACAATACAGTGCTCCCTCGATGTAAACCGTTTCTCAGAATGTTTCAAAGTGTTTTCGCATAAACACGGTTTGGAGAATGAAAATGATTACCGATGCAGTTTCATGGTATCCTTTTGTCAATTGAAGACGATGGGCTTTCAGCTCTCACTTTTTAGAGAGGATTCAGATTTAAAACACGGCGGAACGAATTCTTCGGCCGTGGCTGATCATTGTTTCAACACAGCGGGTTCTCATGACATTATTTTCTCCGATACCAAAGTACTATGCAAACCTCCCGGTTATTACCAGAGATTTGTCCATGAAGCCATCCAGATATATACAAACATAGACACAACTTCAACCGAGAGGACGGTTTTAAATTGAGCAACTTCTGGAAAGATGTCATCAACCAAGTCAAACTTTAGCTGGCTTATAATTATACAGCCATTTCCGTTTCTACCAGGATTGTACTCGCTCTCGTGCAGCACGCCATCACACTCCCCCAGAACCTCCTGCAGAATAACAAAAGGCGGCTTAACTAAGCCCCCCACTCCCCACTCACGTCTCTTCCTGGCTCCTCCCCCCCCCCCTTAACCTGTATATAATCTCGTGTGTCCCAGAGCTGTTCACTTGATACAGCTAATTTTGCTGTGTCTGTTCCACCTGAAGACGGAAGCTTGTGTTGCCTCCGAAACGTCGTGATTTAATTTAGTTGTTTCCATTTATTTTATTTTACCTATGTGACTTTACCGAAAAAAAAACAAAGAGTAGGATTGAAATGATTTGATCATTTCCTGTCACGACTGAAAATAACTCAGCCTCAAATGAGTACCTGGTGAGGTGTATAAACATCGCCACTAGAGAGACAAAGGCACCCGGGCGTGGTGCTGGCCACCCACCCCCTCGTGTGCTGTACCAGCCTTGATAGGTGCTCGCTAACAGCACTTGCCCTAAGAGTCTGTTCAGGCTATATGGGCGATCTTTGTATTTGGGTATGCGTGTGTGTATGCGTATGTGCGTGTATGCAGTGGTGCAGCGGTTAGCACGCTGGAATACGAACTAGGTTCAATTCCCACTCAATGGTCAACACCAGTGATGATTATCTGACAGAGTCAGCTGCTGCAGCTGTCGAATCTGTGGCTGTGGTCATGGCTGCTGACATTCTGATTGGCAGGACGAGTGCCCTCCTCTGTATGAACAAAGACGGTCACCGCATCATGCGCTTTCAGAAGCACTTCTGCCGCCATCTGGAATGCTCTTCCTCCTGATATTAGGAAGCCACTAGGAGCTGTGCACTTTTAAATCAGCATCTACAGTAAACATCCAGGCATACGCTGAAAAGTAGGTCCTCACATTTTGGACATTTGACCGATTGGCATAAACAAGTGTCGTGACGTTTTGGTCACTCCACCGCCTCTCCTCCTGTGAAGGTTTCCTGGCTTGGTTGGAAGTTGGGGTTGTGGTCTGGGATGAGAGACCCAATGGACTCATTTCTCTGTAGTGATAACTTGTTTGTTGTTTGTGACTTTCATTTTGATGCCATTTCTTCATTTGTTTATTCATTTGTAATGTTGCTTTTGTCGTATGGTTTTCATTTGCTTGGTAGTAACTGCATATAGGATTTGGTCCGTTATATATAATGAATGTACATCATTATGGGATGCAATTAGCGTGAATGACGCCAAATGAAATTAAAATATGATTATTCAAGCATTGGCGTGGCACAATGGCATCAACGGCTTGGGCCGTGATGACTTTTTGATCTCGATCTTAAATTACGAACGTAGTTACGTTTTTTTATTATTATTACTTACACTATGGCACTAGACGTGTCATGCATGTGTGCATGTTCAACTTCTTTCGCACCGTACGTAGCCAACCACACTAATCGGAGGTGTCAGACATCTCATTAAGTGCTTTCCCCGCCCCCCCTGACCACCCCCCACCCTCCTCCCCCCGCACAATCGGGGGGGGGGGGGGGGCGCACGGCACCTGGAAGAGGGGCACGTCCTGAGCGAGGAACTTGGCCAGGTTGACGTCGATGAGGGCGCGGAGGAGCAGCACGCTCTCGCTCTCCTCGGGGTAGCGCAGCTTGAGGCTGCCGGCGGCCGTCAGCACCGACTTGACGGCGCGCATTCCATAGTCGTAGTGGTGCTGGGAGGACAGCTGCTCCGAGCACAGGCGGTACGTCGCCACGATCTTGTGGGACAGGCTGCACGGGGCGGGGAGGGGGGGGCCCAGAGCGTCGAGCCGAATTCACGATTGAGTCACAGGCTTGGTAGTAAGCGTGCGCGTCTGTGAACACTGCCGTGGTAGGGGGGTTTTTTTTCGCGGTTGTGCTGCACCGCTGTCGGAATGCGTTTTGACGTGCCGTGTCAGCGCGTTCGGATCGGAACTGTTGGACGTCGCGCCGAAACAACGCACGGTACAGCTCGCAAACGCAATTTCGGATATGCCAAACACATCTGGTTATTGTGTTTATATTTCTAAGAAGATGACTGCTGTGTCACGTTTTATCTGCGTCATGCATGAGCACTGTTGGCTACGTACGGTGCGAAAGAAGTTCGACATACATACATAATCGCAAGGGATTTTCTGTTGGCGAATTGTGCTCCTGTTTATACAACCTTGAATTCCTGCCAGGTCTCTCTTGAACATGATATATTTATCTCAATGATATGGCCAAGTGGTAGCGCATTCGCCGCTTGTTGCAGAGGTTCGCAGTTTGTGCCCGACGGCCGCCCTGATTAATACTGCGGGTAGAATAATCGTAAAATATGTGGCGTCTGCTTCACAGTGAACGTAACAGATCCTGTGATGTCATTCACAAAAGTAGACCAGCGTCATGTAACTATGTGTTGAACTTCGTTTCACACACCGTGCGTAGCCAACCGTGCTATTCGGAGGTGCGGGGGAAGGACAACAAACTAAACACAAAAAGCAATTCTCAAGACACGAGTCCTCAATCGAGATTTAAAAGTGCATAACGATACAAAGTTGCTAAATTCTAAAAATTACTTGCGAATTACTAAAGTAAGCTTACCACAGCAATCATCACCCTCTACTGACAGGCAAATGCTCCATAATACAGGTTTTTTGGGTGAGATCGCGTAAATATATAAATGTTTTGTTAAACCCGCCACCACCCGACACAGCCAATTAGTAAGGTTTGTCCCGTGAACAGAACACGCCGATTCATTACAAGTACAGCACACCGGTGTGTTGGAGAGCAAAGCCACAACATTTGCACTCTGAAAGCCTACGTGTTAAACAGTATAGAAAGAACCAAAGAGTAGGCTAATGCTCGTTTACAGGCCAGAAGCAGAGCCACGTTATGGTGCACAGCTGCCACTCAGGGAGTGCCCTTTCAAATGTGCTGGGATGAGATGTGATGCAGGTCATTGATCGCGTGTAAAGCACTACAAAACACAGTTTCGTCATCATCATAATTATTGTTATCGTCAATTCGTAAAAATACTAATTTATTAACAAAAGACGAGATGTCAAAAAGCTGAGATTAAACACTGAAACAATTACAAAGCTTGAGAGGTAATCACGGCCAATGCCATCTATGAAACGACTAAAAAACATCAGCTTGAAATACCATGGAAAAAAGCTTAGCACTGGAAAATGTATTAAAATTGCAGTGAGCTGATGACTCATCAACTGTGTTTGTAGAAATTACAATGGCCAATGGGAAACACATTTACCACTTATATGTGTGTGATAGCAAGAGTTGATTAAATTGAATTTAAAGCTACATTTACCCACTGTGACATTGTGCAATGATACACCCGTGCTCTTAGTGAATGTAGCGGTGGGCTTATGGTACGTCTCGCCTACTTGGAGACAAAGTAAAAATGCGCTTGATAGATATGTACCTGCGAGAGTCGATGAATCCCATGGAGTAGAGGGAGATCTCTCCAATCAAGGCGTAGTCCGGCACCATCATGGCCACGGTACGAAACAGCACCTGATGGTGAAAAACAATTTAAAAATTTCCTACGTTTAGCCTGAGAGACTCAAATGACGATTCATCAATCAAAAACGCGACGTGGACAAATCGTGTCTAAGGATTTTGGTCAGTGGGGTGGCTAGGACTAGTGGCTGGTTGGCCAGTTGATTAGGTTAATTTTAAATCAGTTTAACACGTAGGCTTTCGCAAACAAGATTACTTACAAAAAATATTTTTTGGGTTAGCTTGCGCAAATATAAATGTGTTATATCGCGGTCGGTAAAAGCAGCGGCCCAAATGCCCAATCGCCAAAGCGGTATGTGGGCGTAGCATGTGCTGGGCTAGTGTGGTCCAACTCCAAACCGTCTCGTCCCTCCATCTACCCACTGCAACGTATGGGGCTCTTCAAACAGTGGCCGCCGTTCGTGATTTGGATGCTTTCCACCGATTTGCCCACAGGGGGCGGAGGCACCTTCAGGTTGTCGGGCAGCTCGGCCCGCCCGGCGTAGCCCGGGTTCATGGTGATGAAGACGGCGCACGTGGCGTTGAGCGACAGCTCGGTGCCCTCGAAGATGAAGCGCTTGAGGTTGCGCACGATCGCCTGCTGAATGCTCAGGATCTGCTGGGCCACCACCGACAGCACCTCCACCTGGACAGCGCCGCGCAACATCGATTCCCTGTCTATTCTGAGAGAATCACTGGACAGTCGTTTCCTCTGTTGCAAGGAAGACGACCACTATTAATAGTGAAAATAAATTACAATAGTTTAAAGCTCCTGTGTGAATCCACTGCTCGATGGAGGCCTCCCCATGCCGTGTTCGTGAAGGTTTATTTTTATTATTTTACTTGTCTATGTGATCTCCCAAGCCATGTCAATGTGATCTCCCAACCCATGTCTACGTGATCTCCCAAGCCATGTCTATGTGATCTCCCAACCCATGTCAATGTGATCTCCCAACCCATGTCTACGTGATCTCCCAACCCATGTCTATGTGATCTCCCAAGCCATGTCAATGTGATCTCCCAACCCATGTCTACGTGATCTCCCAAGCCATGTCTATGTGATCCTCCAAGCCATGTCAATGTGATCTCCCAAGCCATGTCTATGTGATCTCCCAAGCCATGTCTATGTGATCTCCCAAGCCATGTCTATGTGATCTCCCAAGCCATGTCTATGTAATCTCCCAACCCATGTCTATGTGATCTCCCAACCCATGTCTATGTGATCTCCCAAGCCATGTCTATGTGATCTCCCAAGCCATGTCTATGTGATCTCCCAACCCATGTCTATGTGATCTCCCAAGCCATGTCTACGTGATCTCCCAAGCCATGTCTATGTGATCTCCCAAGCCATGTCTATGTGATCTCCCAAGCCATGTCTATGTGATCTCCCAAGCCACGTCTACGTGATCTCCCAACCCATGTCTATATGATCTCCCAAGCCATATCTATGTGATCTCCCAAGCCATGTCTATGTGATCTCCCAAGCCATGTCTATATGATCTCCCAAGCCATGTCTATATGATCTCCCAAGCCATGTCTATGTGATCTCCCAACCCATGTCTATGTGATCTCCCAAGCCATGTCTATGTGATCTCCCAAGCCATGTCTATGTGATCTCCCAAGCCATGTCTATGTGATCTCCTAACCCATGTCAATGTGATCTCCCAACCCATGTCTACGTGACGTCCCAAGCCATGTCTATGTGATCTCCCAAGCCATGTCTATGTGATCTCCCAACCCATGTCTATGTGATCTCCCAACCCATGTCTATGTGATCTCCCAAGCCATGTCTATGTGATCTCCCAACCCATGTCAATGTGATCTCCCAACCCATGTCTATGTGATCTCCCAAGCCATGTCTATGTGATCTCTCAAGCCATGTCTATGTGATCTCCCAAGCCATGTCTACATGATCTCCCAAGCTATGTCAATGTGATCTCCCAAGCCATGTCTACGTGATCTCCCAACCCATGTCTATGTAATCTCCCAAGCCATGTCTATATGATCTCCTAACCCATGTCAATGTGATCTCCCAAGCCATGTCTATGTGATCTCCCAACCCATGTCTATGTGATCTCCCATGCCATGTCTATGTGATCTCCCAAGCCATGTCTATGTGATCTCCCAAGCCATGTCTATGTGATCTCCCAAGCCATGTCTATGTGATCTCCCAAGCCATGTCTATGTGATCTCCTAACCCATGTCAATGTGATCTCCCAAGCCATGTCTACGTGATGTCCCAAGCCATGTCAATGTGATCTCCCAACCCATGTCTATATGATCTCCCAAGCCATGTCTATGTGATCTCCCAACCCATGTCTACATGATCTCCCAAGCCATGTCTATGTGATCTCTCAAGCCATGTCTACGTGATCTCCCAAGCCATGTCTATGTGATCTCTCAAGCCATGTCTATATAATCTCCCAACCCATGTCTATGTGATCTCCAAACCCACGTCTCCAAAGCATCAGATTACAAGCAAGAGGCTGCAAAACAGCACTCTGCACATGGACATGACCAAGTGCATAGATGTAGTTATTGTGGTTGAGTACTTTAGTAGCAGGTAACATTATACATCTACATTTAAATGATGATGCTGCTGCACAATGAACAACTATTGAAAATAGGGTAAATTAGGGTTTTTTGCACATTCAACTTCATGCAGACTGTTCGCTTCGGCAATTTCCCAGAGATATTGCTGTGCAGCTGTAAGCAGAGGTGGGAGTTTTACTGTAATTAAACTTGGATCAATAACAAGCGAGAAAGTCACTAGGACTCCCAATTAGACATTTAGAAATTGCGTTTCAAATAAAATACCAGTCGGAACAAAGTTAAACAAATCATTGCCTCTATTAGCCTTAAGAAGATAATTTGCAAAAGAAACATTTAACTCAACACGTGAATTATAACCGTGGAATGCTGATCAAAGCCTGAACAAGAAAGGAATCCTTGATTATAGCAAAGGCTCCTCACACACTGATGGTGTTGCGTAATCAATGCACTTTTTAACTCGATCCTCAAATACAGTCAATGCGAGCTACAAAAGTGGCGTAGAATGTCACCCTCGCGATTTTATTCTTGCGAATAGGCGATGTTCAGGAGCTAAATGCCAATGTCGAGGTCTGCTAGCAAACGAAGAGAGTCCTTTAGGAGAGAGTTTGTGTATTTCTGCTATTCCTCTTCTGTTGACGGGGTGCAGCCTACAGTGGTTTACCATATGTACGTATGTGTGTTGAACTTATTTCGCATCGTACGTAGCCGACCATACTACTTTGGGTTGCATGGCCACAATCACACTCCTGTGGCTCGTGCTTTTAATTTTCCATGAATTGACGAATCTGTTGCGTGCTGCGTGAGAATACCTCGATCCGGTTGAATTCATCAAAGCAGGCCCAGGCTCCGGCTTGGGCGAGCCCTTTGAAGAACTTGCCCATAGCCTGATAATCCAGGCCATCAGAGCAGTTGAACACCACACACTTGGGGATGAACATAGAAACCACGCATTAAGTAAGAAAACTGCACTTGAGAGTAATCCCATCTGTGACCGTATCAGAATCACAATATATATTTATACTGGAGGAATCCGATGACTCGGAAGCACGGGCAACCACAGCCAAGCAGAAAGGCAGCCACGCGGTGAGCCCACGCCAACAATTGCCAAAGTTCTGCGGTCCTCTGTTTATAAAGATGCTATCTTTTCACAGATGTCCAGTAGGGGTTGGTTATAATGTTACAAAAACAAACAGTACACAAACACGACAGGAGTGCAAAATATAGGAGAGGTATTCCATCCGGCCGTCGCTCAACCTTCGTACACGTACAACTGTAAGTGTACAACAGGTGCTGAGCAGATTCGGCAAGGCACGCAAATCACGTCCAAACTTAATGAATAGAAAATAAGAGGGATGTCAGGTTTCTGCCTTCATCAAAGCATGCCGTAATTGCTCAATCGGAATATAGACGGCAACCTTCGCGAAAGCTTGAGATGACCCCTCCTCAAGAAAAAGTCACGAGACCCAGTGAGGCTTTCTTGTGTAAACAATAATGCTACAAAGCAGCAGTGTTCACCATTACCATGTAAATCACCATCGCCAGTCTACCTGCTTTGCGAGCGCTTTGGCCAAGTCCTTGGTTGTTTCTGTTTTCCCGGTCCCTGCCGGCCCTTCCGGAGCCCCTCCCAGGTTCAGCTTGAGAGCTCCCATGAGGGTTCTGTTTGATGACAAAAAAATTGCAGAACATCCCACAGCTTACAGACAACAAGCTTCGAATGAACAGCAGCTGAGCTGAATTCCAATGAGGCTGAGAGCACTTCACCACCACCCTCTCTCCCAACGCCACGTGCAGACAAATTTATCTGGCGATAACTTTCCAAGCGATGACCCCCAATCTTCAGAGCAACGGGGCGATCTTTGTAGACTCGATTTTGCAATTGTACCCACTTGTTATAATTTCAGTCACGAAGTAGTCATTGTTCATGGACTTGGTTGGAAAATATGCCTAACGATCGTTTGGCAATGTCTGTTACCTATGCACCACTCAATTCCATTGCTGCTTATGGATGTATTTTACACTTGTGCAAGACGCAATATCAATGAATAAGTAAATGATAAGTAGACGCCCATTTTGTATAATCAATGTCTGTTATCTGACAAAGGGAAGTGAACACAGAGAGCACAGATCCATGATTAGCAAGGATTTCACAGAAAATCAATTATTGACGTTTAGGAGGGCATTAAAGCTTTACCATTAGGAGACGGAGGCTGGACACATTTTGAATGTGCAATTTGGAATTCACGCTGTCACCAGATAATATTATTGAAACAAACAGGGCAAAAAAGACAAAGATCCCCCGTATAGCCTTTAACAGACTGTTGGGGCAAGTGCTATTCGCGAGCACCTATAAAGGCCTAAACAACACTCGGAAGGATGGGTGGCCAGCACCAGGCCCGACCACCTTTGTCTTCATAGTGGCAATTTTTACACATCGCTTTAGGTACTCATTTGAGGCTGAGTCGACCTAGGGGGAGGCCCAGGACCGGTTCAGATGGTCGCCACTGGTGTTGGCCGTGAGCAGGAATCGAACTCGGCATGCAGGGTTCGTAGCACAGGGCGCTAACCGCTACACTACTGCTCCCCACACACACCAGTAGTAGAAGCGCTCGCGTTATAGCTTACAAGTCCGTGATGTACGGCACATAGGGATCCCTCCACGCTAAGTCGCTGCGTTAGGCACTTCAGACAAAACTTAAATTATGCAGTAATGGGATAAATCAGCAGTTCCCTAACGTAATGGTGCCTCTGCCGGCTTTCAGGAGATTTTGTTGCATAAGAATTTAGCAGCTGCCTGAGAGCTGAGCCTGGGGGAGAGATACAAATTCATCCTCACTGTGGAATAAATAAAAGCTATTCCATTCCAATCATCCCTGTATTAAACCCATAAGCCCCTAAGCTATGTGATGTGGCAAGGACTTACACACATATTAAATATTCTAGTCCTGCTTACAAGACACGTAAGGGTATAAAGTGCAGCACAGCAATTGCTTGCTCACGGCACTGCTCACAGAAGGGCCTCCATAAGAGATGAGATGGCCCATTTAGAGGGTGCCCCATGGCATGCATCCTGGCGACCAACAAACTGTGGTACACCCATTCACACTGATGGCTGCACAGGGGCAGGCAGGATTTAAGAAACCTGCACCATTGTTTCAACCGCCGCGCCAGGTCGATCGATCTGGTGAACTTCTGGCTTGCAAGTCGTTTGCGGTCACCGCCATCCACCGGGCACGTGACGACGCGCGAATCCCGTCGATTACAAAGAATAAAAAAAAATCGATTCTCACTATTTCATGATGCGCGCTCGCGAGCAAAGACCGTCACGTGCCTGTAGCAGCGGTCGGTGAGCGGCGTGATGACGAGGCGGGGGGAGTTGCCCAGGTACTCGTAGCCGTACTTGAGCTCGGTGGTGATCATGCGCACCATCACGTCGTCCTGCTCCCAGTAGTAGCGCAGCTGCGACAGCCACTGGAAGTCGTCGGTGCTCGCGATGCCGATCTCCGCCAACTTGGCCACGACGTCGCGCGCTTCGCACGGTGCGGCGTCCGGACGTTCACGAGCGCGGGGAGCACGGTGGGGGGGGGGGGGTGGAAAAGACTTCGGATCGCAAAAAAAGCTAAAGGTGCAGCCCAGAAACTGCTTGCTCAACACCACTGCTTGGATAAATGGGCCTCGACTAAAACGGAGCTCTCGAGATAACCCCTCTGGAGAGAGGGTATTTGGCCTACTCTTACAAGTTGGCCAAATGACTTGGAAGAAGTGGGAGCAGTACAAATACAAAGATCCCCCGTATAGCCTGAACAGACTGTTGGGGCAAGTGGCATTAGCGAACACCACGCCCTGCCGCCTTTGTCTCCCAAGTGGCGCTGTTTACACACCGCACCAGGCACTCATTTGAGGTTGAGTCATCCTAGGGGAGGCCCATAACCAGGTCAGATAATCGTCACTGGTGTTGACCACGAGAGGGTCGTCTGGTTCGCTGCGCAACGTGCTAAATGCTGCACTACTGCTCCCCAGTACATATAGACACACACAACCTGCTGAACCACCGACTGTTGTGTACCCATTTAAACTGTTGGGATGGACATAGCTGGTGGGGCTTTAAGAAACTTGCATCGTTGTTTCAACTGCTACGCCGGCAGATAGAATGTAATCGGCGACCGCATAATTGCAAGTCCAGCGTGCTAACAATCGCACTGCCGGAATGTCCCTGACGCTCAATTTAACGACAATAAATGAGCGGCAGAACAAAAGCAACCATAAACGTAATGTATACGGCAATCATGGAACGATGTCTCAATCGATTCCATATTTGGAAACATTAAAGCTGACCTGATGAACTACAGACCTGTTAGTCTCTTGTCCCATGAATATAAATGATTCAGGATAATCATTGGGTAATGGTAAATGCTGTTTTTTTTGTAACCTTTCCAAATCCCCATGCAATATTCAAATAAGGGGTGAAATGATGAAAGAAAGACCTCTCCTGAAAATTTTACATTGATCATAAGCAAATGAATAAAGCACTGCCCTTGACAGGTAACAACAGGCTTGAAAGCCACTCAACAGGGAGTCTATCGGCAGGTGGCGTGTGGTGGGGTAATGTGTGGGTACTTCCACTTCTTCCAAGACGTTCGGACAAAATATCCTCCAGAGGTAGTTTCCCTTGAGCTCCCTCTAGTGGAGGGCCTTCCATCAGCAGCGTAGTGAGGAAGTAATTGCAGGGCTGCACCTGTACCTCTATTACTGGGGTTGAGGTACACATGGTTTGTGTTTAGTCTGTTGTCCTTTCCCTCCGCACACCCGATTGGCACGGTTGGCTACGTGCGGTGCGAAAGAAGTTTAACGTACGTGCATACCATGAACATCGATGACGGTGAGAGCCCCCAGAGTGGAGCGAGCCCCACCGGACAGCTTTCCTCTCACCAGCTCCACAATCTCATTGATCTGCTCGTTGCTCTTCCCGAGGTACGCCTGTACCACCCACACACCGACCGCAAACACGCGTGCATTGCCCGCTGTAACCACGGCAACACTCGCGCTCGCCGTCAAAACCATCCGACGACTATTTTGAACTCAAAGCTGAGACCACAGTATGTTTTATTTTACCAGGTAAGGCCCACCGAGCTAGGTCGTTCGTTTTTTTTTTTCCAGCAGCAACTTAGCCAACGAAGTGGCTTATCATCACGTGTAAGTGTACAGCATGGCATTTCTAATGTGGAGGAAAAAAGCCGAGGACCTGGAGAAAAATCCACGCGACCGCTGGGAGAACATGCAAACTCACAAATATACCGGCGTCAGGGTCAGGATCGAACCCAGGACCTCCTGTACACCAGGCGAGGTGATTAACTATATTCATGGGTTTAAAGCTTTCGTGACTGCAGGAATTAATATTCTTTGGGTCTTTCGGTAGCCACATAGATAGAAAAAATAATAAAAAATTATACAAATATCACGATGTTTCGATCGCAACGTAAGCAATCGTCATCAGGTGAAAAAAATAGCGGTGGCTGTTTGGCTGGTGACGGTTAGGAAACGGACTAGTACTCGTGTCTGATTGGCTGGTGACCAGTTGTTACAGGACGAGTACTCGTGCAGAGCTGGTCGGGGTTGCAGTTTGGGCTCTTTGTGAGTTTTTATGCGCAGACATTCGCGTATTATGGATAGGGTTCTTTGCGTGTTTTTTTTTCACCTGATGACGATTGCTTGCGTTGCGATCGAAACGTCGTGATATTTTCATTATTTTTCATATCGACGTGGCTTTACCGTAAGACCCAAAGAATGTATATTCATGGGATCGATGGGGTCCGTTCAGTCCATCATCATCCCTCCAATGTTCATTAAAGTACTGCTTTATACTCTTTGGTTATTTCAGTAAAGTCACGTAGGTATAACGTAAAGTAAATTAAATCACGACGTTTCAATTGCAACACAAGCAATCGTCATCAGGTGGGAAAACCACAGCAATATATTTTTTTCTGAAGTGGGAGAGAGATGCCATAGTAAGAGGGGGGAGGGGCAAGGGGGGAGAGAGAGGGGGTAGGGGGAGGGGAGCGATGCGTGGACACTAGGAGAAGGACGTGAAGCTGGACGGGGGGAAGTGAACAGGGCTGGAAGTGGGAGGCTGAGAGCGCTGGGGATGCGCGGGGGGAAGATGCAACAACAACGCCACTGCAGCAACAATGCCAATGAAGCAACAATGCCCAAACGCTGGGGATGCAATTAACTCGGCAAAATAAACTAGTGCCCGGCAAATATGATGGAACAACCATAAACAGTTAAGGTTTTACCTGGTTAATAACATCCTTCCAATGATTGCTCAATTTGTATCCATCTTCTTGGTTGACGTTATGTCTATGTTTATATATTTGGATGGCTTCATGAACAAACCTTTGATAGTAGCCCGAAGGTTTGCAGAGTACCTTGGTCTCGGAAAAAAACAACATCGTGAGAGCCCACAGTGTTATAACAATGATCAGCCACAGCAGAGGTATTGGTTCTGCCATGTTCCAGATCTGCCTTGTGTTCGCGAACACGGTCCGAGAAGTCGTTTTGTTTCCCCAATGTAACAGCCACCACAGGTGCAACTTAGTTTGTAGACTCCAGGATATTGCATGTCAGGAATGACATCCTTCACAGATGGGATCACAGATTTTGTGTACTGTATTGAATCGGACATGGATCTTGTGTTTGTTTAAGATTTTGGAAATCTTTTTGGTAACGCCTGCTATGTATGGCAAGGTGATGGTTTTGATCGGCATCTCAGGGAGTTGTTCTCCATGGTTGGAGATAGCTTTGCAAATAATACGGTCCGAGTACCCATTCATCTTGAGGGCCTGGTGTACGTGTTCCAGTTCACTGGTTAGGTGGTGTTGGTCAGAAATGCAGTGGGCCCTATGGTGTAGTGTTTTGATGAGGGAATTCTTCTGTGCCGGGTGGTGGTAGGAATCAGGTTTCAGATAGGAATCTGTGTGGGTGGCTTTCCTGTAGACAGAGTGTCCCAACGAGCCGTCAGGCCTCCTCTCAAACAAACATCCAGGAATGGTAGTTTACCATCCTTCTCCACTTCCATGGTGAATTCGATGGATGGGTGTATGGAATTAATGTGGTTGAGAAATTGGTTTAATGCTGGCAGGCCATGTGGCCAAACGACGAAAGTGTCGTCTACATATCTCTTCCACATGGAAGGTCTGAGGGTGGATGTCAGGATGGCATCTGTTTCAAATTTCTCCATGAAAACATTCGCTATCACTGGTGATAAGGGGGAACCCATGGGGGTACCTTTATTTTGTTTGTAGAAAGTACCATTCCATTGGTAAGGCAGCGTCTAACCAGAGTCGGAACATCAGGATTCAGCCCATGTTGGACTAAATCTTAAATTATTGCTAAGGTGTCAGGCACAGGAACCTTGGTGAACAGGTTATATAGGTAAGAGAGGGGGGAGGGGCAAGTACCGCCTTGTCATATGCCAGCAGTGGTTGACATTAGAAGATAATGATCCCTCCACTCCAACCCCATCAAAGGAATTTCCATCACTGGCTTAGACCTGCTCACAAAGATGAATGAGCAGTTGAGTAAAGAGGGACATGGCAAACTGCACTGGATTGTCTTTGATTGTATTGATTACTATAATACCAGCGGGAAGGCCTTCATCCAGCAGTGGATTAATGAATGGATGACGTATTTATTTAATAATAATGATGATGGTGATGATGGGTGGGACAAACACCATTCCTCATGCATCACGAACGTACATTCACGGAGGATGCCAATGTATATCGCCTTTCAAATACAACTTCAGTTGGTGCACGCTGCACATGCCTGATGATTGATAAACATCCCATGCCATGTGGAGACAGCTGACTTACATTCGGATCATATCGAGCTTGCGCATACACGCACGTTGAACATGCTTACACAATCGTCGGGCACGATCACACAAACGGTCATTTGTATTCGAACGAGGGCCATTTGGTGACTTCAGAAAGAAGTGCCACATGTTGGTGAGTTAAAAAACTCTGGGCTCAATGATTGAGAATGAAGGTTAGGAGACTGCCAGCTATCAACCCAGAAAATTGCCTCAAATGTTTGGCCGTGTGTGCTGGATCATGGCCCTGCTCTATGTCCATATAAGACCAGAGAAACCTTAATCAGATTTATATATAATATGTTCATTGGATTAGCATGAAGATCGCTGTATAGTCCTTTATTTATGAGTGCTTTGACGTCAAAGCACAAATATTACATGAATGCGCTAATGCATTTCAAAAGGGCTACGATCCACTTAAATAATCATCATCAGTCTATGTTGGTATAATTAATTTAATCAGATCACAAGAGCACTTAAATTAAATCCCTTAAATTGCATTGATCATGAGTAGGGTAAAATTTATGAAGCTCAGTATTACGATACTGCCAAGCTGTTTATATTAAAAGTTTTTGCTTTAGGTTATTTCAATGAAATTTTTCTGATTGTACATTAATAGCAACATTCTGTAAAAGCATAAATTGAGCACGCGTGCAAATCCTAATTAGAAAGTTATGGCAAAAGTGAGATATTGTACAAGAGTAAATAACTTAATTAATGGTCACGTGACTATTTGCTACCATTACAGTTCGACACATTGGTACGATTCAGGGTTCACGTTTCGATTCAAGGATATATATGTTTTTATTATGAAACACTGTGGCGAATATTAGCACTTCTGGTGGCTGCAGGGGACCCTGCGAATCAATGACATGCAATCTCTACGGTGCATGCGAGACGCTCTTACGGACATCAACGTGATTTCATGCGTGTATTGTGAGCCTAAGGGGGTTAAATTTTAACTGTGGAGTTGATTCTTCACTGGATGCCTCCTCGTTGAGAGACGCTCTGGTAATATATGCATTGTCTTTGAAACTGATTCGCCTACACCGGAGAGAGCCTTCTTTAGGGCCTTGTGTCAGACCAGAGAACGCCAAAAGGCGAATAGCACAAAGACAATGCACTATGAGAGCATCTATAGCTTGGGGTGGGCAGCTACCAATTGGGACCTTTTTTTCCAGTATCAAAGTATGAATAAATAAGAATAGGTTTTAGCCTTTTGTCTGCATGTTCACCACACGTACATGTGATTAATGCAGACTTGGTTCCTTGAAAAAGGTTTCTATTTGGTGTTTGAACATCTTAACATCAATACTCTTTGGTTCTTTCGGTAAAGTCACGTAGATAGAAAAATAATAGATCACATCGACGTTTCAATCGCAACACAAGCAATCAGCTTTAGGTGGGACAACCGAAAGAACCAAAGAGTATGGATTCCTGCAGTCACGAAAGCTTTAAATCAAGATCTTAACACCTGTTTAATTTCCAGAAAGAACACATACTATTCTCATGTTTTCATGTTTTGAAACTGGGGTGCACGCAACCCCCTGGGGGGTGCGAGATGCCCTTTCTGGGGGTAGCGAGGCATGCCCAGATTTTTTTCAGACGGTAAATCGTCTAAAAGACAAATTAAGCACGGTCACGTAGGTTCAAGAACTTTGTTTCATCAAACCCTATGCATTTTTTTACTTTACAGATTTTTTTTAACGATTGACAAGCAAAGGGGTGCAAGGCATTAGTGATGGTTAAGAACCACTGCCTTAAACTAATAACATTACCTCGGAGAACCAAACATCGCACCTCGTGGCTTTGTCATTCCTCAAAGAGACTGGCACAGCCTATCAATCGCATCAGAACATCTTCAGGCTGATGCACACATCTCCTTCGTGAATGGAAAATTCAGAATCATCAGAATGTTAAGTTAGGCTGGAGGAGGAATCTGATGAGCGATGAAGCTCTTTTCCACATATGTCCAGTAGGGGTGGGTCAGCAAGTTACAACAAAAAATAAAGCCACAAGCCACAGTGCAGCGATTGTGGCCATGAAACTCAAACTATGGGCCATATTGTAAGCCCATAGAGACACATAGAGATGCGTAAAGGCTCACAGAGATACACAGGGACCCATAGAGACACATAGAGACCCATACATATACATTGAGACCCACAGACATACATCGTGATACATTAAAGACAAGCTACAGGTGTGAAACACTGTAGCCTACGCTCCGTCAATGGAGGAGGAACAGCAAAACTACACGAACTTTCTCCTGAAGCCCCTCTCGTCGTTGCTAGCAGACCTCGACATTTGCAATTCGCTCCTGAAAATATTGCTGCCATCATTCGCAAGAATATAATAGTTCCGGGTTCTTTCGGTAAAGTCACATAGAATGGAGATAAAATAATAAAAATAGTAATAACATAATTATTTCTATTATTTTATCTCCATTCTAAGTGACTTTACCGAAAGAACCCAGAAGATGAATGCCTGCAGTCACGAAAGCTTTAAATCGAAATATAATAGTTATGAGGTCAACTTGCATGCAGGTGCAAGGTGGATTGTTCCATTTCACAACTGTGAGGGATGACAGCTTGGGGAGGACTTCATCCAGCAGTGGATTGATCATGGCTTGCGATGATGATGATGACGACGATAAACAATCATACACTGAAATAACGTTGGTATTTATTTTGTGAGGGCTTTCCACGTAACAAGCGGTGCGGAGAAAGACTGCTCTTCATGGAATGTGCTAAAACCCACCATTTAGAGATTCAATTACAGGGACGAAAAGTCAGTGTAGTGTTGGCATCCTTATCACCGTAAATGCATTTTTAACAGTCCTATGGACAGAAGAGAGAAAAAAAAAACTACTTCTCTACAAAAGTAAAAAAAAAAAAATCCAAAAACGCTAAGTGAATAAATATCGAGTTTTGGTTGCTTAAATTAAGTCTACCTTGCTCGACCTTTCATTTCACAATTATTTTGCGATGACGATGGTGATACTGCTGCCGGGAGACACATTGAAGAACACACTGGGGTGGCACTGGGACAGAAGTCGTGTGCTCTGCAGGAATCCTACCGTGAGAGTGCCCGTCCGGATGGCTTCAGACACTTCGCTGGTCCAGTAGATGGTCGAGCTGCAGATCACCACCTGCCCAGGCCAGTCCAGCACCCACTTCCTCCGTGGAACCTGCAGGCACAGGCACATTCAGTTGCAATATATTGTCATAGTAATAACGTTCACTTGTAACGCGCCGCCGAACAGAATTCGCTTCACTCTCGCAGAGAGACGACTCGGAAGCACGGGCAACCACAGCCAAGCAGGAAGGCAGCCACGCGGTGAGCCCACGCCAACAATTGCCAAAGTTCTCCGGTCCTCTGCTTATAAAGATGTTATCAACCAATTAATAAGCATTTACATGGAGGAAGAAACCGGAGCACCCAGAGAAAACCATGCAAGCGAGGGGGAAACACTCTATCCCATACAGAGAGAAGACCACATTTGTAATGTACCGCATTCTAGCGAGCCAGGGTACGGCTCCTCCTCGGCGCCCACGGGAAGGAAGTTTCGCAACATCTGTGTGCAATCCACTAACCCCCACCTACACAGTGCTGGTTTACAGGGGTGTGTCACCATCAGCCATTGTCTATCCACTGCTAAATGAGGGCTTCCACTCCGTCGCCATCCCTCACAGTCCAGGGTGAGGGATGGCTTTCTCTCATGTGGCTGACACTCCGTTACCAGTCTCATCCATCGGCCATCATCCCATCTAGCAATCGCATCCTGCCCAAGCCCATTTACTTTCCTTAAATGTCAATTCAATGTCAAGGATTTGTGCTTGTTCCCTGATCCACGTGTCCCTTTGTTTATCACACATATGCTAAGCGTAATGGGATGGCTTTCTCTCATGCTAAGCGTAATGGGATGGCTTTCTCTCATGCTAAGTGTACAACTCCCCATACGTCTTTGTGTACTTTTCAGCTTTTGGTCCATTTTCTCAATTGCTTTGCCAGTGTCAATATTTCTCACATGATTAAAGTATGCATAAAAAGCCTCACGTCCCTTTATTATCTTGGTGTAATATCTCCAAACGACCGAGGAAGCACATCCATACATGAGTAGCCCTAAGGGGGAACTTTATCGTTCAAGCAACAGTAACACTTGCAGAGCACGGACACGATTGTGCACAACCAGCCTGTTCTTCTAGGCCCCTCCCCCCCCCTCCCTCCCCCTTCCCTGTTTTCTCTGCCCTTCCCATATATACCCTCTCCTCTTTTGCAACCAATGGATTTTTCCCCCAATCCCCTATCTCCCTTTGCCCACCTCCCTTGCCAGCACTCCTCTCTCATTATTTATATGGGATGTGGTCCCTTGTCCTCTTCGTGACCCCCACACTCAATCTCAACCACGCGCGCCACCCCCCCCAACGAACTCTACACATGCATGCACAACCACCGACAAGTGACAACGAAAGCAAATGCACACAGCCAATTTTATTGCGCTGAAAAATCGCATATACAGTAAGATATTGGGCATTGATGTGGCCCAGCGGTAGCGCGTTCGCCGCTTGATGCAGAGGTCCATGGGTCAGATCGGGAATGCAGCTCTGCTTAATACTGTGCGCATATTAACCATAACATACACACCGGATGATTCACAGTGGACGTTAAAGATCGCATTACGTCATTCGAAAAGAGTAGGCCATTGTGTATCGGCACCATAGTCCACATTTTCCATATTTGAAAATGTACCCACAAAATAATCAATTGGAATTACTCATAGCAACATCACCCGTGATTGAGAAATAAACTGCAGTCTGTGCCTGTTACATAAAACGACCTTGTGATAGAGCCTTTCGCTATAATAATGGCGCCAACACCAAATGCACTGATTTGATTTGATCTCGACAGAATGTGGCCTAAGGACCATAAATGAATCATGAAGTGTAATGGAGCAATGCATCATGCCTAACCTGATTGTAGGCATTCACAGCCTCCTTGATGACGCTTCTGATGCTGCTCAGCATGATGGTTTCCACCTGAAGCAGCCACTTTTCCACCATCCCCTGTCATGTCCAAAATCAGAGAGTGACATCGGTGACAGCAGCAACCAATGCAGCCACCGAGACAAGTTCACGTGTATTTGTTCAACCAGCTAATGAACCCAAAGGGACCAGGAGGAGTCCCAATTACAAGAGTGACCTGGGTCACCAACATGACAAAAGTTTTAATAAACTATGCACAGAACAGCAATAGCGCTAAGCAATCAGAACAAAAACACAACTCAATTACTTGAGGAATGAAAACATGATTCAAGGTAAAATCTAAAGTTACACAGTAAGTTCCCCGCACCGAAAATCAGCTTGGGTAGTTCACCCCCAGATTGATCACAGCATAAACTACCAAACTTAGCCACGGAAACATCACCTCCCTCGCCTGGTAAGCAGGAGGTCATGTGTTCGATTCCGACACTGACGCCTGTATATTTGTAGTTTGCATATTCTCCCTTTGGTCATTTGGATAATTCTCCGGGTCCTCTTTGATTTAGCTATCCACATTTTTTTCTTTTTTTTTGTTCTCTCCGATTGATGAAGACCGCTTGTGTTGCAATCGAAAACGTCGTGGGTTTTCTGCTTTTATTTTTAATTTTATTTCTAATTTTATTTTCTATCTACGTGACTTTACCGAAGGAACCAAAGAATATGAATTCCTGCAGTCGCAAATGTTTTAAGTCGAAAAATGCGGGCAGAAGGACTGCATACCTTAGCTTTGGCCGGATATATCTTCTTGTTGAAGGGCACGGTCTCGCGTTCGGAGCTGATCATGCCTGTGATCTCCATGTCTTCGGTGAACTCCAGCTTCGCGATGCCCTCAAAGCACTTCTTGAGGTGTGGCTGCACTCGCATGGGATCCTTTGTCTCGGACAAGATCTCAAGAAGCTCATCGTTGGACAAGAAGAAGAACCTGGATGAGCGTTGCACAGATGGCGCGTCACAAGAGTTGACAACACTGCACCAACCACTGTTGATTCTACTCTAGCACATGGCAATATGTTCAGGGGCCAAATGCCAATGTCGCGGTCTGCATGCAACGAGAGGGCTTCAGGAGAAAGTTTGCTCAAGATACAATGTTTCTTCTCACACAACTACACAGTGACTCGTCGATTTATTAGAAATTGCTTTAAATTCAGAACATTAATTTGTCAAATTATATCCGCACTGGGGGAGGGAGACACAACTTTGAACAGCCTGCAAGGCATCGCATGGTAATCAAACAGCAATTTAAAAGTCTCACAGCTGAAAGTTGCAAAATTAAGCGAAAAAGACCAAAATGTATTATTCATGTAGTTATTGATGACTCGGCTGAGAACATTAAATCGTTGCAGTTGAGAAATTGGTCTAATCATAAGTTGGTTAGCCTCGATTCAAACCCAAGTTCTCAATGGTGCCAGCTCTTTTCTGTGACCACTGAGCTACCCGACCACCCCGCATTATTTAATATGTTTACCTTGGGAAGAAGAGGCGTTTCTTCTCCAGGTAGCTGTTGAGGCCCTTCTGGATGTCCTCCAGCAGCACGTTGGACTCCTGGAGGCGTTCTAGCATCCTGGGCTGACTGGTAGCCACAAGGACGCCAGTGTCCTTCAACTGTGGGTCACAATAATGTCGCACTGAATGCATGCATACATGTTGAACTTCTTCTGCACCGTACGTAGCCAATCGTGCTAATATATTTTGCTGTTTTTTCATGCATTTTCTGTTTTCACAGTCACATAGTAACTTTAAGATGTTTTTCTTGTTCGTGTTTTTTTTTTGTTGTGGTTGCACCCGATTCAAGAGCCGAATGGCTCACAGGGCTATACCAAAATAAATAAATAAAATTAATAATCGGAGGTACATATATACTTGGTCCGAGCTGATTGGCTACTCGACGACCGCTTGCCTGATTGGCTAAGAAACGAGGCGTTTGAACCTGATTGGACAGCCAATTCGAAATGGAGAAACACGCCGCATTAATAATGATACTTAGAGTTTGGCTTGAGAACCGTGCATCAGGGGTCGTGGAATTTTATGGAAAGATGGTGGGAGAGTCCTGGAACATTCGAGAAGGTCGGGAAAAAAAGTTTGAAAGGCCCAGGGATGGGTATCTCGGGTAGTCTTCTGAAACAAGCTCCCTATGTGCACATGGTGTGTTTTTTGCCTTTGATAAACGACAACTTCCAGCACCTGCTTCGTCTGCAACTCCTTTACATATGCACGGACTCGCGCTCACTGTAGCAATGTTCTTCATTGCAAGACCCGCGGGCCACTGGCGGCCCCTGGTGGCTTTTTGTCCAGCCCCCGACAATACACAAATGTGAAAACATCGTGCCATCAAACCCCAATGGTTTCAAATGTGTGGCGGCCCTCATTAATGATGTCTTATCGGCGAAAGTGGCACCGCCTCTAAAAATTCGTGAAAAACACTGCACTATAGGAATGAGAAAATGTCACCACTGGCCCAGGGCTGTAAAACACAAAAGATGAGCACCACCTCAATGCTCATTTGAGCAGGAAATCACTCCGGCTGTGGTGAGTGACCATGCAGTACACGATTGTGACCGTCTAGAACAGGGGTCGGCAAACTGTGGCTCGGGAGCCGCGTGCGGCTCTTTAAGGGCTGCTGCTTCGTGACGTCATTTATTAAGGACCCACCGTCTCTTGTATTCACCAAGTGCATTGAGGCCCTTGACATATTGTTTGCTTTTACTGAATTTGGAAAAAAATGCCTCTTCTTGTTGTTTTAGCCTCGGGTATATAACTACACCACTCTGCTTGCTGTAAAGGACTAGAGTAAATGCAATTACAATACGTATTTCTTAATTTTTTATTTATTTTCTCTGTGATGATCATTTTCTTACGTGAATTTTTTCCTCGTTATTTACGTATACATTTTCTTCATTTTGGATTTGCTAAGTAGTGGGGTTTTGTTTTTTGTATCATCCGTGTGAGGGACGGGCTAATTGATGCGTGGCATTATGGGATGCATTTGCATGAATGAGGCTCTACGAAATGAAATTACATTATTACTGTTAACAACACAAGACCGACGTCCCAGGGGAAAGTCTCACGGCGCAAGTCATGATGTCTCGCCAGTTGGCGTCGACGATGCCAAACTTCCGTCCCTCTTCTGGCATCTGAGCGATAATGTCCTCGGAGCTGAAGATGGGCTCGAGGTAGAGCCACGTGGCCTGGCACTTGAGCCAGTTGTCCAGGATGCTCTGCATGAGCACCAGCTTCTCCTCCCAATGCTGTTCAGATCGACATGCAATGCGAGGCACGGTTTCATCAAACTGCCACCGGCACACGCGCACTGCCACTGGATATACATGCGATGGTTGGAAATATGACGACAACAATGTGAACTGAGTTGTTTACCCAAGGCAAGCCTCACTGAGGCTCCAGAATCTTTCAAAATGTTCCAGTTTGGGAAGTGTGGGCAATTCCTTCTCCTGAATATTTTTGCAAGTAGGGGGAAAGCGGACAAACCCGATGGGTATGCGGGAATCACACCGTCCCGTCTTTCTGCGTGCCTATGTCTCCTTGTCTGTCTCTGTCTTGTTCTCTCTATCTTTCTTTATCCCTCTGCCTCTCCCTTTGTGAGTCTATCAGCTCTCTCTTTGTCGCATTGTCTTTGTCACTATCTATCTCTATCCCCTCCTCAGTGTGTCTCTGCATTTCCCTCTATCTCCGTCGCTCTTGTTTCTCTCTCTATTTTCCTGGCTCTGTGTGTCCGTCGTTGTCTCGTTCTTCGTCTCTTTCTGTCCGTCTCTGTCTCGTCTCTCTCGGCTTCCCTCCAGTACGCTGTGCACATGGAGGGAGTTGCTGCTGCCACGTGACTATAGGATTCCACAGTGTTCAAAAGATTTCGCTGAAGTTTTCTTTAACGGCCTTGATTCGGCTGAACATAAATACCCGAAAAGAAGCCAAAATTCACAGGCGAATCAAACATTCGGAACATCCCGTACGTTTCACTCAAATTTTTAAGCCGAGGCCAAGTCGGCGGCACAAATACCTGACACTCCGTCTCGATTGCTTTTATGAAGGGGGACCCTCGCATGGTCTGTGTCTTGATGATATGATCGTCCATGAGCACTTGAATATCATCCACAGCCGACAGAATGCTCAGCCCCTGTAAGAAGACGCAACACAACATACGTATCCACGAATATGTATATCTCAACAATTTTTAATTTCAACAAAACGTATGTATGCATGTTGAACTTCTTTCGCAATTCTAGATTTGAAGCTTTCGTGACTGCAAGGATCCATACTCTTTGGTTCTATTCGGTAAAGTCACGTAAAAACAACAAAAAAACTTCACGACGTTTCGGCTACAACACAAGTGGCCTTCATCAGGTGAAGGGACCAGACTGTCTAGAGGACAGCGCTGGAGTTAACACAGCCAAGCTCAGACCGCGACCTTTAAGCTGTGTGAGAGGAAGCAGAGCGCCTTGACAAAGGAATTAGCATAAAAAATAGCATTTAATTGGCGGGCTCAGCAGCCAGCTATGCTAATTGGAGGTGTAGGGAAGGACAACAAACTAAACACAAAAAGCAGTTCTAAAGAAATTAGTTTTCAATCTAGATTTAAAAGTGCATAGCTCCAGTGGCTTCCTAGTAATACGAGAGTAAGTGCAGACTGCCCGTGTCAAAAAACAATCAACTAACATCACCAGTAGGCCGTTTCGCCTATTGTCATTCCAACATCATTTTTCTCACGAACACTTTGCGGAAATGCAAATGTTTTGGCTATATGGACAGACTGGTCTCCCACTTATGAGAATGTAGAATTTCTGCCACTGGTATAGGGCCATGAATATGATCACTGCCAAATTCTCAACTGAGCAAGGAGAAGTTTATACTTCATATTTCCTGATCAATTTTCTTCCATCTTATACATCCAGTACTTTAATCTTAATGTTTTATGACATGCCATCGTGACATCAGAGTTATCAAGAATTATTAAATATATGGATAGTGCAAAAAAACTATAATATATCAACCCAGTCCAGAAACGTGCAAATTAAAAAAGTATCAGTGACAATCACAAATTGTGTGGTGTCGGTAAAAAAAGGTCGTGTTTAAGCAATTTTAATAATTGGATGCAACTCGGTGTATCTAATGCAGCGTTCTTGGGTAAACGTCATGAGCAGAGCTAAACAGAAGGGCATGATCACCAACATCTTTAAGAAAAGACACAAGGCATATAGCGAGAGGGGGGGTATGTGCATCAATGCAAACTCAATAACTCTAGGAATAGGTTTTACCCTTTTAACTGGCACAAAAACTGACACCTTTATTCAAGGCATCATGTTTGCAATAACCACAACACAAGCAGTCAAAATGCAAAAAGAGACAACTCTGATAATAATATGCACTGCCCTTGAATTTGATTGGTCCACACCCGAGACGGCTTTTCTTAGAGCCTCGTCTCCACTGGTGTTGGACCAGAAGATGCCAAAAGGCGTACAACTCAAAAACAGCGCACTATCAGAGTATTGAGGGCTCGGGGTGAGCATTTACATTATGAGACCTCCTTTGCCAGTATCAAGATATAGGAATAGGTTTTACCCTTTTAACTGGCACAAAAACTGACACCTTTATTCAAGGCATCATGTTTGCAATAACCACAACACAAGCAGTCAAAATGCAAACGAAAAAGACAACTCTGATAATAATATGCACTGTCCTTGAATTTGATTGTGAGTGAGACATCCCTTCATCACCGGCAGGTAATATTAGCTCCTGACGGAGGCGAGCCATGCGGTCATGCGGAGAACGAGCGCGTGAATGAACTGCATGGTGCTCACGGTGTCCCTGTAGCTCGTGAAATTGAAGCTCGTTTCTTGCCACTCTGACTTCATCTTGCCCAGAGCCTTCTCCAGGGAATACTCCTTGCTGGCTGCCGCGCCAATCTCCTCCATCCTACAGAGAATAACAAAACAAAAATTTACATGCAATATAAAAATACAAAAACTAATATCACGGAATTAGTCATAGTTTCTTATTGATATATTTTGTTATTAATATTGCATGGTGAATCTCAGAGAACACGTCCTACCAGAGGACAACCCAGAAACATTGACACCATGGAATTATCCTGGTTCATCGGTTGTTGTAAAGGCCTCTTCATCTCCTTGTTCTTCAGGTCCTGGTCGTCTGCTCAGCAGCAACGATCGGTCTAAACGATGTCCCTCGGTCGGGATGTCTGCCACCTACCAGTTTCATGGCTGCGTTCATCGGCAATTTCCCACGTTCTACATTTTCATGTTAATGCCTTTATTTTTTGAAACCAAATTATGGAAAAAACATCTTCTGGGTGTGTAAATCACGTGGGTGTAAGTTTGACTTCCTTGCCTGACTCCTAATCCGATGTGCATTTTGCCACTTTCAGGAAATGACTGAAGAACTTGATAAATAAGGAGACACAGTCAATGCACGATAAATATGACCACAACAAAAGCCATGTAGGCGGCAGCCGACGACGAACACTACCCAGTGTCTCATTCAACGCAGACGTAAATTATGACAATTATTACACTTGTTTACCCAGGAAAGCCTCATTGAGTCTCATGACTCTCTCTCAGCAGGATCCTGCCAACTTTTTTTACAGTTGGGGGTGATGATTGCTGAGTATATTAAAATTATTAGCACGGTTGTCTATGTACGGCGCGAAAAGAAGTTCAACATACATACGTACAATTAAGCAAATTTGCACCATGATTTCGACACAATGGCGTACTCTTGCGAATGACATCGCAGCATCTTTTTTTTGTAATGTCTTTTTTTTAGATATACGTTGACAAAGAACCCAGTACATGGCACAAACCACAACAAAAGGGGAAAGGGGGTGGTACAGAAATTTGGCGGCCCGAAGCACCAACTCAATGCTCCTGGGTTGTGGGAAGGGGTGAAAGTTGGGCTCTCGTCGCAGCATCTTTAACGTCTACTCTGAAGCAGACGGCACGTATTCTTACGGTTAATACACCCGTAATATAAAACCAGGGCAGCCGTGAGGTCAAGCTTATATAGGGGTGCAACAATTCTCCCCCCATGGATGGGCAATTCGATGAATTGTCACAAATTCAGGGTAACGATTTAAATCAGAAATTGACTATGCATTTTTACCTTGTGGTGAATGTAGCGACCTCTAGATGCTGCAGACGTCACGTGAACTGACTGTATACACCATATATATAAACGAAGCACAAAGCATTCTTATAGAGGCGATTTGAGGCATGAAATATCACCTTGATAAACAATTTTAACATTTGCGAGGGAAGCAGTGGCCTCTACATCTGTACTTTGACCTCTCGCCAGCGAGCCTTCAAGGCTACATATGGCCTCAAAGTGCACCTAGCCAGGCACAAGAACTGTGTCGTGATATGTCGCCGCTACGTAGTGGCGAATGGCAGTCGTTGCTGTTGTTGTACGAGGGAGCGTTTTGTGGGGTTTACTTGTCGATGTATTTGGACAGTCCGTATTCCAACATGTTGGCAAGGGAGGTGTCCTCTCCGGGCTTCAGGTCGTATCCCACCAGTTCGCTGATCTGTCACAGGAAAAAAATAATGGTAAATTATATTATCAACAACAGCCGAAAGTCTTATTTATCCAAAATAATGTAGGCAACAAAATAAAAAAATAAAACACTGTGGGTACATATATAAGCTGCATGGATAGATAGACTACATTTATGGAAAATAATAATGATTGGATACATTTATACAAGAATAAGTCAAGCCAGAATTGATTTTCTCATAATCCAGCGAATGTTCTAAAGGTGATGCAGGTGAAAGGCTGGATTATGCTTAGTAGCCTGAAATGACATGTGACAAACAACAGGACAGACAAGCAGACAAACAGATTGATGTAATCAGATAATTCTAGATATTTTGCTTGTTTTACTAGAGAAGACCTCAGTGCATCCCATTACTCTCTTTCAGGAAGGTTCTGCCAAGTTTTCGTGGAAGGGGGAAAATGATTGCTCTTTCGATTCCTATTGAGTCAATTTGTCAATAACATTTTTTCAAATGTTGTAAATTTGAACCGTGACGTACTCCCATGTCAAAACCAAACACAAGAGATTTCCGTAATAACTTAACGTAATAATAATTTATACGTCAAAAGCGCCTTTCACCCGGAGGTCATAAGATGCTGTACTGAGAAAAAAAAACCCAATTAAACCGAGCAAGCTCCTAACCATCAAACCAACTCCCAAAATGAAATTACTAAATAAATACAAAGAGCAGTTAAAATAATGATGATGCTCGCTAGCACTTTAAACGTACGAAAGCAGGGGGGAGCCTTTTCCTTACCAAGCGCTGGACATAACTTTCAGACACCTTTGGCGGGCAACCACCCATTGGCACACAGCTAAGTGACTGGTGTCACCGCACGCACGAGGCTCCCCGCAATGGGCGTCCTTGTGCGGGCCGGTTCAAAGCTCGTACGGAATGGAAGTCGCCGGCCGCAGCATTATCCAACGCCCGTGCGTGACACCGTCGACCCCCCATCGCCGTCTACGGGCCAACTCGTCCTGTGAACGCTGCTGCCCTGACCTGGTCCCAGTGGCGATCCTTCATGCCCGGGTTGCAGATGGTGCTCAGGATGGGCAGGTGAGGCTTGAACTTGTCTATGCGAGACTTGACGGCGTCGGCGATGCGCCGAGGGCCCGGCAGGTCCGCAAAGGTCTTGGTGAGCTTGTACATGTTCCTCCACATGGTGCCCACCTCGTCCACAAGCTCCTCCGCATTCAAGCCCTGGAAGGACCCTGCCGAGTTCAGGGGGAGCAACGGCTTCAATTTTACGGGCGGCTGAGAGGCTGAGCGGTTATTGACTGGCCATAATCGGGGTGAAGACGTGCAAGGTTTTCGGCGGCTCAGACACCGTAACCGCACCATTATGATGTGCGCCAGTGTTATCAAAGATCCTGCACTCTCGTGTCGATGTTCAAGAGCCTGTGATATGAGTCTCAAGTGTAGACCTTTGAACTGCATAGATTTTCGCCGGTCGTGCTCTACAACCCTCCGTGGGCGCCGCGTTGGTGACATGTTGTCTCCCTCACCTGGTGAGCAGGAGGTCGTGGGTTCTATCACTACCCTGGCGCCTGTATGTTTGGAGTTTGCGTGCTTTCGCTCCCCCCGTGGTCACGTACGTGTTTCTCCGGGTCCTCCACATTTGTAAACATGTGTTTAGATTACTGGGCTGCTACTATAAATTCCCACTCACATGTGTGGCCAGGCAGCCTCTGAAAAAAAGCTAATAGCTCAGTGGGCTTTACCCGGTAAAAATGAATTGTTTAGTTCGTTTAGATGTGTTTTTGTGTTGTACTACCACGTGTCGCCCATCATAGAAATGAAGGAGCAGGGAACAAGCTCCCACAGCGTGCGAGAGAAACGACGAACGCGAGGTACAACCTGTACATTGTTACCGTGCATCCAGACGTCAGACTTGAGGTGGAAGTTGAGGGCGGTGGTCCAGAGCTGATCATAGGGCTGCTTGTTCGCCATGGTGGCCTGAAGAATGGGGAACTGACTTGCCTCCCACTCCAGCAGCTCTTCTTCCTTGTTAATGGCCTGAGGAGGAGAGCACATGGTGAGCCCTCATTATACTGGAACCCCAAGGTGCCACCACCTCTCATGGCCCTGCGATGCCACACTCTTCCTTGCTCCTGCACATGAACCGATCTCATGGCTCCATCTCTACAGAGTGGACATCCAACCGCTTGGATGCCCTATCTCCTTTGTTCACCCATTGTCACCAGTCTTGTCCATTTTTGATATTATCCATTCGAGTGACGTGTCCTGCCCAAGGCTAAGCCACCTCGAGCACCTGCACATCCGATTAGCAAGGTTGGCTACGTACGGTGCGAAAGAAGTTCAACATACATACACATGGTGAGCCCTACTCTTTGGTTCTTTCGGTAAAGTCACGTAGGTATATTTAATTTATTTTGTTTTATACCTACGTGACTTTACCAAAAGAACCAAAGAGTATGGATCCCTGCAGTCACGAAAACTTCAAATCTAGAATGGTGAGCCCTCATTACGCTGAAACCAAGCCACAAGAACACGTATTTAGTATCATCATCGTCGGCCATGGTCAATCCACTGCTGGATGGAGGCCTCCTCAAGGTGCCACCACCGTTCACAATCCTGAGATATAGTAATCCACATATAACACCCGCACCTCCGGTTAGCATGGCTGGCTATATACGGTGCGATAGAAGTTCAACTTTGCGCTCATACACAAACTGGTTTCATCGCTCCGTCTCCCCGGCAGACGTACTTGCCAACGCGCTGCATTCCTCGGTCGACCAATCTAATAAGGAGGTATTTAACAAAACAGCCACTACGGGTTTACCATCGTTATAAGTAAATTGCACCGAAGAGATGCTCATTGGCAGGCAATGTCACAATGTCACGATCATTTTTAATGCCATTTGTCTGGGTAATGAAGTTTGTAAAAAAAAACATTAAAAGGTTAGGTCGTTTTCTAAAGTACACGTTGAATAGAATAAAATGTTATTAGCAATCCCAATGGGTAGGGTCACTCAAGTCCAAGCGTTGCCATGCTCTAATTAACCATTCGGCAGTGGTTATACTGGGCCAAAATAAGTAATTAGAATTCATTGCTGCGCAGACTGGTCTGTAATAGAACCACCACAGATGACTTGCATGCAGTGTGACTTACTTGATTGACCATAACAGGATGATGGGGATGTGTTGACCACAGGATGGGATTTCAACTTGTAACCTTACAATTGGAGGGTCAATATACGCCGCTCAGCAGCAGCTGCATCACTTGCCGCTGATGTGAGCCATGGCCAGGAATTAAAACTCGGGTTGCAAGGTTCATAGCGTAAGTGTGCAAACCATTGCACACATCATTAACAATAAATATCCCACAAGGATTCAAATAAAAAGGTAACGCTTCACGTGAGAAATGAAAATTTAATTTCCGCAAATTGTATGAAATCCCTTTCATCATGTAAGCAGTAATGATGGCTATAAAATGGCCAATAAGCAAAAAAAACTATTAAAATAAATTCAGTTATTCCTAATAAAGGTTTTTGGATTAGGTCGCGTAAGTATAAATGTGTCGCAACCCTCCAACACCCGACACAGCCAATCAGTAAAAAATGTGTCACGTTAATAAAACGCCAATTAGTTACTTCTTCAGCCCACCGGTGTGTAAAGAAGAGTGAATCCACAACATTTAGAATTTTTGTACGACGTTTCGCTGGTAATTACATCCAGCATCTTCGGGCAATTTGCCAGAATAGTGAAGCCATCCACTGGCGTTCCTCAAAATGTGCAGAGATTCAAAGGTAATACCAAACGCAGTTAAAATAACACATCACGTAAAGTCTGTTAAAGCTAACCAAACACTACACAAAGCTAGCGAATTATTATTGCTAGAGAGAATACAGCACAACAGGAGTGAATTATCTCAAATTTCTGAGTCTCTGAAGCACTTGCATATCAGAAATAGTGTATCCATACATTATTGGAATATAATCGATACTACAACACAACAATCGGCTGATAATGTATTTAATCTAACTAAAACTAAGCAAATTAAGAAATTCTCCAGACTACATAACAAACAAGTCCCAAATAATAACGAACAATTTTAAAACAAAATTGTAATGAACTTAACTAACACTGATTTAACCAGCGACATGATTTCCGTCTTTCTAAAGGCCTTAACTTTGCCGTTGCCCCACGCACGATTCCAGTAGATGAGATAATTGCAGAGGTGGAATCAGCGATAATACATCTTCCATATAATGAGGCAGAGAAGACTAGACACGAGGTTGCCAAAATAATTGAGAATAGCAAAGTACCAAAAATAAATATTAGCAATGGCGAAGCAAAAGCCTTAAGAGAGCTTCGATTAACTAAAGATATTCAAATTCTGGCAGCTGATAAAGGCCGCGCTACTGTAGTGATGTCACAAGCAGATTATGATAATAAAATAAAAGATTTACTAGAGGAAAATACCTAAATTAAAATTAAACGAGATCCAACTCATCCTTTAGAACGCAAGACTACTGCAATCATTGCAAATTCATGAATCCCCAAGACTGAGCAATACCAAATTAAGCCAAGGGACTCAAAACCACCTAGACTGTATGGGCTACCAAAGAGTTTCCCATTACGAACCATAGTAAGTACAATTGGCTCTGCCACATATAAATTAGCAAAATATATAACTAAACAAATACAGCCCTACATCGATAGGACATCTACATTTTTAAGAAATTTAGAACATACTGTGAATCTGATTCAAAATATAAAACGTAACCCTAATGATATTCTGGTGAGTTTTGATGTGATTTCACTATTCACTAAGGTTCCAGTTAACGAGTCACTTAAATTACTTGATACACTAGTAAAGAAGACAGGTTTACCAGAAGATATTCCAAAAGGAGATGACCATTGTCTAAATAACTTGTTTATTATGGAGAGGAGATTTCTTTAAACAAAAGGAAGGAGCAGGAATGGGTTCTCCTTTATCTCCTGCTACAACGAATCTGTACATGGAAAACTTGCTTCAAGTACATTAAAACCATCTTTTTGGTTTAGATATGTCGATGACACTTTGGTTGTCAGGCCACATGGTAAAGATACACTTAATGAATTTTTAAATCATCTCAATTCACAAAACCCGGCCATCCAGTTCACCATGGAAATGGAGGTGAATAACACACTCCCTTTCTTAGATATTTTGCTTTGATGCGGCCTAAATGGTAAAATAACACACGCAGCGTTTACCGAAAGGGAACACACACTGATACCTATCTGAATGCAGATTCGCATCATCACCCAGCACAGAAATCCTCTCATCAAGACACTCATACATCGGGCAAAAACCGTGTCAGATGGTGAAAGTCTAAAGAGAGAGATTAAACATGTTAAGAAGCACTACGACTGAATGTCTACAATAATGCTCAAATTAACAGAGCATTGAATGCCAAACCAAGACCAAACAACAATAATGCTGAAAGTGATCAGATTAACAAAACAATTAAAATACCATATATCTCAGGAGAAACTGACAAATTAGCCCTTGTTTTGCAAAAGCAAAACATGAAAGTAAGATTTGATACAGTACACAAAATTCAAAAACTAGTGTCTTGTACTAAAGATGAATTACCTAAATTATCAACAGAAGGTGTATATCGGATCAATTGCTTATGCGGTAAATGCTATATTGGACAGACGGAACGTAACATTAGCGTAAGACTAAAATAACACCAAAGGAACATTAAATTATCTCAAACACAACTGTCAGCAGTGGCAGAACATGCTTGCCAACAAGAACACACAATTGATTTTGATAACATTGAAGTGTTATAAAAAAAACTAATGATTACTAGCCAAAACTAATGAGAGAATCCATCCAAATTGAGAAAAATACAAATAATTTTAGCCGCTCTGATTGCTACAGACTTAGCGCAGCCTGGAAGCGTATTACTAAGTAATACACAATACATATTACAATTCCTTATAGTGTAATCACATACTAATTAACTGATTACTAATCTATTATATAATTACAATACCCCCCTACCTCCGCCTCTGATCTCGAAACCTGATGGGGTTCAATGATGACGTCATCCTGCACTATTTAAGACCGGAAGCAGGTGGATGGCTTCACTATTCTGGCAAATCGCCCAAAGATGCTGGATGTAATTACCAGCGAAACGTCGTACTCAAATTCTAAATGTTGTGGATTCACTTTTATTCACACACCGGTGGGTTGAAGAAGAAACTAATTGGTGTTTTGTTAACGTGACACATTTTTTTACTGATTGGCCATGTCGGGTGGTGGAGGTTTGCGACTCATTTATACTTACGCGACCTCACCCAAAAACCTTCATTAAAAATTAATTCAACTTATAACGTGCAGAGTACTTTCTCACTCTTAAACAGAGAGAATGACTCAGAAGTGCGAGGAACCACACACAAGCAGGAAGGCAGCCACGCGGTGAGCCGACACCAATAATTGCCCAAGCTCTGCGGTCCTCTATATGTTAAGGCGTTATCAGACAATTAACGAGTGTTTACATGTGGGAGGAAACCGGAGCACTTGGAAAGAAAAAAAAACCCACACGTGCGAGGGGGAAACACTCTATCCCATACAGACGGAACGGATGGAGTCCACATATTTGTTGTACCGCATTCTCCTGGCGAGTCAGGGCATAAGCGCCTCTTCGACGCCCACAGTTAGGGAGTTTCACAGCATTTGTTGGGTCATCCAACAAACCCTCGCCTCCACAGTGCTGGATCACCGGTGTGCCTAGCCATCACCGACGAAACAATTTCTTTGCGTTCCCGTGTCAAGCCGTTACCGCCAGCTCTTCAGCGGCAGCGTCCAGGTGGGCCGCGAGCTCGCCGAGCTTCTCCACATTATTCTTCATCTCCTCCAGGTTCATGTTCTCGCGTTTCTTGAAGGCGTCCACCTCCTTGCTGTAGAGGTGCAGCTTCTTCTCGAACTCTCGGACCCTGCCGGGAGACACGGTGAAAGGTTTCGTGGGTAGGGGGGGGGGGGCGGGGGGAGCGTGGACGGAGATGAGATTTTACAATGGCGCCCCCCCCAGCACGTTTCACTCCGCAACCGACACATTTCTACAAAAGGCAATGAGGCCTCCATAGAGAATCAGAATCTTTAATTATACTGGAGGAATCTGATGAGCTATGAAGTCCAATAGGGGTGAGTAAGAAAGTTACAAACAACAACCAATACAAAAACTCAATAGGAGTGCAACGTAAAGGTAAGGTAAGCAAATCACTAAAATTATTTTTAAAAAAACCTATTTTTATTTTACCAAGTAAAGCCTACTCAGCTATTATTTAACTGAATTGCATTCATTATCATTATTTTATGTTTACGGAATTAATGTACTCCTGTATAGTGATGTTTTATTTACTGTATGTTTTTCGACTTTAGAACCAGTTATGAAATTGTGGACTAAACTAAACTTTTTATTTTAATAAGGTAAGGCCCACTGAGCCATATGGCTCTTTTCAGAAGCGACCTGGCCACAAATGAAAGCTCAACCAAGTGGCTTATCATGTGGCCATATAAAGCAGCCAAATACTACTAAACGCAAGGGCTGTAAATTATTATCATAATTATTATTATTATCGTTGTTGTTGCCGTCATCACACAAGGCAGCGGATCGTCCCTTACTTTGCGCGGAGCTCGTTCTCGGCCTGCTCGCGTCGCGTCTGCAGTCGGGTGACGCTCGCCTCGAACACGGAGCGGATGTGGTCGGGCCAGTGGAACACCTGGCCATTCAGCTTGATATCCTCGGCTGTTGCACGACGGGAAGGAACCATTGTCATTCATATCCATTCATTCATCGCCCCCCTCCCACTTCTCTCAAGAAGGGCTCACAAAGCGATGCCATCACATCTACCCCCGTCTATTTGAGGAACGACACCGGAGGATTTCTCCACAAATCTGGCTGTCGCCTGATGAAGCTAGCTGCAATTACTGGGGAAACGTCGAACTCAGATTGTGAACGTTGTGGCTTTGCTCTCCGACACACCGGAGTGCTGTACTAATAATGGATTGGCACATTCCGTTTACGTAACAAACCCTGTTACTAATTGGCTGTGTTTGGGTTGTGGTGGGTTTAACGACACACTTATATATTTACGTGATCTAAGCCAAAAAAAAAACCTGTATTATGGGAAGGAACTGTCACACGCAGCCGAGAGCACGCCACAATCGAAACGCCGTCATCGTAAATTCACCGCCCACCCCTTTTCCAAGTATAGCTTTGCAATAGGCTGATGTTCCGGCCCGCTGGCTCATTTGTGGAGCTCAAAGCATGCAATTGTAAGGTTGTAGATGTTGTAATGGATTTACTCTCCAACACACAACCGGTGCGCTGAACTTGTAACGACTTGGCACGTTTTTGTTTACGTGACAAACCTAAATAATTGGCTGCGTCCGGTGATGGCAGATTAACGACACATTTATATTTATGCAATCTAACGCAGAAAAACCTCTATCATGGAAGGTTGTGATAAAAATCCTGATTCAGGGGAGGGCTTGACCCAGCCCATCATCCCTCTGGGGTTTATACAATAGGTACAACTCTGTGGGGATATCAACGGTGGTTGTCCTGTGGATAAACTCGACCCTGTCATAGGAATGAGGAATGTTCAACATTGGCTCAGAGCTGCAAGCAGTAGATGAGCACCGATTGCTCAAAGCTTATTTGAGCAGGAAATCACTGAAGAGTGTTTTTTGAGCCCGATGTTAAAGCAGCATGAGTGGCTTAAAAACGGCATCACGGGTCAAGGGCGCAGAGTTTAGGTCGGTAAAGCAAAGCAAGAGGAGGCAATCACAACAACATGGCTCCTTCACAATAGCACACTGCAAAGGGCATTCAGCTGCAATGCAGAGCTAACAAACTTACATTATAACAGATTTCACCATCAAGTCAAACAGCGTGTCGACGGCATAATGTTAGTTCCACCTATAGGATAAAGCTATGCGGTTTTTAACAAAAGTTCAATATTTTAGGCAGTGATAAGACCATTCAAATACTATATTTTTGGTATGCACTATTTGTGAGCATAAATAATAATAGGAAACAGCAAAGCAAATTCCATAACCGCATTACTTTTACAGACCGGCGTCAAGATGGTAATAAAGAAGGGTTCTTCAACCCCATCCAATAGGCCCATCCGTGAACATCACAAGTAGCTAATACCCCCTCGCCGATGCGTGCGGGTGGCAGTCGTATATGTATGGCGAAATGTCCACTAGCTCGCCTGGTAAACAGGAGTTTGTGGGTTCGATCCGAACTCTTACGCCTATATATTTGGAGTTTGCATGTTCTCCCCGCGGTCGCGTGGATTTTTCTCCAGGTCCTCCGGTTTTTCCCTCCACATTTAGAAACATGCGTTGAGAGTATTTGGCTGCTGTAAATTTCCAAGTGGTAAGCCACTTCGTTGAGGTATCATTTGTGGCCAGGTCGCTTCTGAAAAAGAGCGATATAGCTAAGTTGGCCTTTCCAGGTCAAATAAAAATGGTTTATTTTCGTGTACGTATGTATGTTGAACTTTTTTTCACACCGTACGTAGCCAACCGCGCTTATTGGAGGTGCCATCAGCCCCGTTGGACGCTGCGCCGGCATGACCCTGCCCTGGCAACGGGGGGGGGGGGGGGGGGGCGGGTGGTAAGGGGTGGTAAGGGGGGGGGTTAGACCGCTCACGTGTGAATTCGGCGTGGTCGAGCAGGAAGCTGAGCCGCTCCACGGCGTCGCGCACCTCGTCGCGCAGGCGCCCCGTGGCGGCCTCGCCGTCCCTGCGCAGGAACTCGGTGAGCGTCACCAGCTCCTCCGTGCTGCCCGGCTGCCCGCAGGCCCGCTGGGCCAGCTCGTCGTAGCGCCTGCAGATGCTGCAATGCGGGGACAGCCCAAGCTTTCAGCGATCACCCGGGGGGGGGGGGGGAGGGGGGGGGGGGGCGGGGACGCCGCCAAGCGGCTGGCGCGTTTGCCGCCGGCTTGCACAGGATTGTGGTTCGAGGCGCGCGGCTGCCCCGGTTAATACTGTGTGCGGGTTGCATTGACTATAAAATACGGAACGTGTGCCACCCGGGGGGGCATGATTAAAAAAAAAGGTAGGCCGCCGAGCATTCCTCCCCCCACCTGTGCGTGGTCAAGTGCCGAAAGTCCACCCGCCCCTCGCGGTTTTTACGTCCCCTTCCCCAGAAACCATCGATGTGTCGTACCGGGCTTGTGCGCTTACCGTGATAAAAACGTTTTTTTTAAGTAGGCCGCGAGTGCTGTTATCACAGTTGAAATCTGTCAAATTTTAAAGCTGCTTGCAAATCACCCAAATGAGTACACCCACGTGGCAACAACATCCCCTACCGTGAAATACAGCAGCTTCATCTGTGATAGCCTTGCACTATAACAATGGCACGAATGCACAATGTACCTCATGATTTGATTTGAACATAGATCACGTAATGTCATTTTGTACTATTCCACCGTTCCCCACATGTGCAAAAATACAAAGATCCCTCGTATATAGCATTTTAGAGACTGTTGGGGCAAATTCTGTTCGCGAGCACCTAGGAACGCCAAACACGGTACACAAGGAGATGGGTGGCCAGCACCATGCTCAGCCATCTTTGTTTCCCTACTACTGATGTTTACACACCACTACTGGTACTCATTTAAGGTCGAGTCAACCTAAGGGAGGCCCAGGCCCAGTTCAAATATCCACCACTGCTGTTGGTCGTGAGCAGGAAACAAACTCGGGTCACTGGGTTCATAGCGCAGAACGCGAACTGCTACACTGCCACTCTCCATGTACAACAACAACAACAACTGCCATTCGCCACTAAGTGGTGGTTACGTCACCACAGCGCTTGTGCCAGGCTAGGTGCACTTTGAGGCCAAGTAAAGTGTCGAAGGTTTTCTGACAGGCGGTCGTGGGACAGACCCAACTGCCATGGGTTAACTGAGATGACTGGGCATGTACATCCACGCGCACACACACACCTGCTGTTCATCAGCCGATTCAAACTCGGGTCACTGGGTTCATAGCGCAGAACGCGAACTGCTACACTGCCACTCTCCATGTACAACAACAACAACAACTGCCATTCGCCACTAAGTGGTGGTTACGTCACCACAGCGCTTGTGCCAGGCTAGGTGCACTTTGAGGCCAAGTAAAGTGTCGAAGGTTTTCTGACAGGCGGTCGTGGGACAGACCCAACTGCCATGGGTTAACTGAGATGACTGGGCATGTACATCCACGCGCACGCACGCACGCACCTGCTGTTCATCAGCCGATTCTCCTCCATCTGGAAGAGCACGAGCCGCTCGCTCTGCCTCCGCACCCGTGCCGCCAGGTCCTGGTGCAGCTCCTCCGCGCTCAGGCACACGAGCGCCAGGTGCACCGTCACGGGCCTGCTGGCGACCTTGCTGTGCACGGCTTGCAACGCCTCCAGCTTCTGCTCCACGGCAGCCGGATGGAAGTAAGCACTCATTTCCGCTCTTTTTAAAACGTTCGTCAACGGTAAAATAAAAGGACGAGGCCTCTACGTTCAAAGCAAGCATCGGGTGGCGTTCATCTCACCCAGCTGTTGAAACTCCACATTCTCATAGTGGAAGCCAGTCTCCTGCCCATGGGGCAATCAGTGCCGACCACCCTCAGTCCGCTCAGCCCACCGTCCTTATTCACCCTCGACCAAGATTTGAATGCGCAACCTTCCCCATTGTAAATCGAGCGAGCTGCCATAACACCAACTCAAAGATGTCACCTGCCGCTCACTCAAGCATTTCCCGCTTCCAAAACCCCACGCGAAAAATCAGTCACGCGTTTGTTGGCAAAGTCCTTCAAAACGATACCTTATCAAAGGCCTGCAGGGAATGCCGCTCCTGCAAAAAGGCACTGATCTCCTGCCCTGCTTTGTTGTTCAAGAAGTCACTGTATTCCTTATAAATGTTCAGATACCTGAAATGAATAAATAAACAAACGCGATCAAATGAGATACTGCTATTCCTATGAATACATCAGGTGTATACTGATCCCGATACAAAAAAAGGGTAACCTGAAACACAAACAGTTAGAGTTACATTAAAAAATCCCCATTGTTTGTGTATGTATGTATGTATGTTGAACTTCTTTCACACTGTACGCAGCCAACCATGCTAATTGGAGGTGTCGGGGAAGGACAACAAACTAAACACAAGAAGCAGTTCTAAAGAAATTAGTTTTCAATCTAGATTTAAAAGTGCATAGCTCCAGTGGCTTCCTAATAATAGAAGAGCATTCCAGACGGCCGCAGAAGTGCATCTGAGAGCGCGCGATGCGGTAACCGTGTTTGTCCGATGTCTAGCCAAAAGCTGCTGCGAGGATGACCGGAGTTAGTATGATGGTTTACACTCCTTGAGGATATCGGCAAGGTGTTGTGGTTCATTTGTGGCCAGCACTTTTGTGTGTGTTGTTAACGAGTGCGACCTTTTAGCATCAACTCGCTTGAACCTGGCCACTTGTAAATACGTCAAAACACATCCTGGCCTGACGTTGAATAATTCCAACAGGTTCAGCTTACTTGAGCGGCCCAACGGTGTTCGAGTTAAATATCCGAGCGGCTTTGTTGAGAACGTCCGCGACGAGCGCCTCCTCCTGGTGGACCGAACGAAGCACCAGGTTCTCGTCTCTCAGGTCCACAAACAGCTCTCGCTCCACCTGCAACCGCAAGGCAGCGGGGTGAGGCCAACGTTCCAAAGGACCTCCGAAGATAAAATAAATAAATTCCGCCGTGAAAACTTGGCTCCGCAACAATTCGCCTCCCATCGGTAATGATTTGGTGCGCTCTTGCGATTGCACGATTCCTTTTCGAGTGATCAATCTTTGTAAAGTTGGGGTGACCGGTAGGGGTGACGTGACCACATTTACAAAAACCGAGCAGAACACGTGAATTCTGACGCACGCGATTTTCTGTGCGTATGGTGAGCTTAAGAATCGACAGGAGCCGGTGAATGGATGCACCGTTTCACCCTCACCAGTTACAACCCAATTTTATTCCCAAACAATTAATGGGAATTTATTGAGCAAATAATTACACCGGTCGACCTGCAAGCGACTCTGCCAGTGACGTGTGTCCAAGCGCTTCCTTTTGTCCTTCGCTCTCTGCCGCTTTCCTTTCCGCTTGCTTCTCTGCTGTGTCCTGGATCATAGCTAGGGGGCCTCCATTGTTACACGTGTTTTTGTATTGGTCGGCGGGACGCTGACATCGACCTGCACCTTTCACTGTTGTCGAAAATATAAAAAAAACGTCAAAGCGGGAATTTGACTGAATGTGCCTCACCCTTGAAATGCCCTCGGAGCTGCTGATGATCACGTGGAAACAGCGGAGGAGGAGTTGCCAGCACTCGTTGAAGTCTGGATCGAAGCTGATCTTGGGCTCCTCCACCTTGAGCTGCAGCGTGAGTACTGGGGTCGTCACGAACTGCAGGTGACCGTACGCCTCGCCAAAGTCATTGCCACCCTAAACAAAGACAAAGACTCCTCGTATAGCCTACGCAGGCTGTTTGGGCACGTGCTGTCAGCAAGCATATTTGGAAGGATGACACGGAGCACTAACGGACGGTGCAGTAGACACCACACTGGCCGGCTTTGTCTCCCCAGTGCTGATGTTTACGCATCACGGCCAACAGGCATTCGCCATGTATGCTGGCCGTGAGCAGGAGTCCAACTCACGTCGCAGGGTTCGTAGCACAGAAGTGCGCTAACCAGCAAACCGAACAAACAGACATGTACATGCGTAAGCACAGGCAATGTCCGAAGTGTATAAAAGAGTGGTAAACCAATTCTTATGATAATTATTATAAAACAGTGACGCCATTAATGGCATTTTGCTTGTCCTCGAATAACCAAGCAACAACTCAGGCGGGCCACCTCACCTGGTGCATCTTTAGGAACGAGAGGAGGTCCCCGAGAGACTCGGTCACCATCTGCCGGAGCTGCTGCGACATGAGCGTGGCGGCGCACGCAAAGAAGCCCTGCACCTGCTCCAATGGGCCGCTGTCGCTGTGCGGCACCAGCGGTGTCCAAAGCGCCTGGTGCTCCACGAACAGCTTGGCACAGGCGGGCACCCAGCTGCAAGCAGTGCAACGCACGAGACGGGCAGAGCTTAGTCCACTCGTTTTGACAGCCAGGGGGTCTCGACTAACCGGGGTAATGCGAGGACAGGTCGTCCGGATTATAACAACAGCACGGATATACTTTATTTTAAAAGAATAATTACATTTTACCAGGTAAGGCCTACTGAGCTATACAGCTCTTTTTCAGAAGAGAAACTGGCTATCACAAATGATAGCTCAACAAAATGCCTTATCACGTGGAAATGTATATAGTCGTCAAAAACCCAGAGGACCCGGGGGAAAATCCATCTGACCACCGGGAAAGAGACGGGTGAGGTAGTTAACATCTAGCAACCAGATGCATTTAGATTTGGTGTTAACAATGTACTGCTTAACCGTTTAGAAAAGTGGTGGCTACAAAACACGCATATGTTTTTATTGCTCAGTCCTTTGCGGTTACATGGCCACAGTCACGGACCTTCGACGATTGGTGAGTAGACAAAAACAATAATAATAATAGAAACACGCTCGTGTGTAAAAAAATATTCGACTGCTTTTTTTCTTCCGCAAGCACGGTTAATCCACAACCCAGGTAATCTGCCCACACTGCCTTTCTAACAGATGATTCGCGCAACGGGCTCCGCCACGCAATCCTCTGCTCGTGCGAACGGCGTCTTAAACGCCGTCTTCGCGTCCGAAACGGCCGTAGGCAAAGCGCAAGCTGGAGCTGTAGAGGGATGGATGTGGTGGCGCTCTGCGACCGGCACCTGGAGCAGAGGGTCTCGCGAGCCTCGCGACAGTGCGTCCGCACGAGCTCCTCGAACTCCAGCGGCGGGAGAGGCAGGGCGGCTGCGTGAAGGTCGGCCACTCGGACAAAGCGCAGCTCACTGAACCTAGCACGGGGTGCAGCAAAGACAAAGATCTCCCATATAGGCTTTAACCAACTCTTGAGGCAAGTGCTGTTAGTGAGCACCTATGAATGGTAAGGCACACACTTCAACGTTAATATAAAACTTGATCTGTCAATCAATCAAGGAGCTGTCTGCACTAATGATTCCACGTTGTACAAGACTTTTGTGGTCCAGGCACGGGCATGTTGGAATTTGGCATCAGTGTTTGCTCTGTTCAAACAGCAATTGCTGGGAGACACTGGGATGGAATGTCTATTCTTCAATGTGCATGTTGTGTGCGTGTTTAAATGTGTAAATGCATTTGGTGGGAATTTGTCAAGTGAAATTGTCCAAATGCCCCGTCCCTTCTACGCTGGTTAGCGTGCAGCTTGGCGAAGGTGAAGAGTATGGACATAAAAGCAAAAGAAGTATAAAAACAACGTTTTCATTTCAAACGGCCGTACTGGTGCAGCCACAGCCAATGGATGTGCAGCATCATGGGGTGGATGCTGAAGAGGTCGGAGGCGGCCGAGGCCTGGGCCTGCTGGAAGGCGGCGCGCCACGGCACGGGAGCGCGCACGGTGCGCACGGCAAACGGCCGCGGCACGCTCGCCACGCGCAGCCTGCGCCGCTCTGCGGGGTCCTCCAGGATGTAGTCCACTGGCGGACGGGGCGGGAGCAAGGGGCCGAGCACCATGGACACAGCACAGCGGAGGGTGCAAACGCAGGGGAGGCGGCGGTCAGTAGCAACGGCGATAGCGCAAACAGTTATAACTATCCAGGTAGGGCCCACTGAGCTGTATGGCCGTTATTAATTCGGCAACCGGAAGCGAGCGGATGGACGGATGGACATATGATGTCAGCTTGCATGTAGGTGCTCAGTGGATTGTTGCGTCACAGGGACGTGAGACATGGCAACGGATTGGAGAGGCCTTCAATCGAACAAGAGACAGGTCATGGCTGATGATTAAGAGACGTTCGTTAATAAAGGAATACACATCATGGGATCTCCTTTGCCATACCAAAATATGATAATAGGTTTTTCCCATATTTCTGGCAACAAAACAGGTGTTAAGATGTTAACATCGTTACACTGTTTTGTTGTCAGAAAAAGGGGAAAAACCTATTATCAAGGAATACACAATCACGTAAACTAAACTTTTTAGTCTCGCTGTTGATACACTTGGGCTACGCCCATTTTCAAACCTTTATAAACAGTTTGCCTATAGAGGCGAACCCCTTTTCCTGATGACGACCGCGTGTGTTGCGATCGAAACGTCGTGATATTTTTATTCACTTTATTTGTATTATAATTTTTTCTATCTACGTGACTTTACCGAAAGAAAGAAATAATAAAAACTTTTCTATTTTACCAGGTAAGGCCCACTGAACTATAAAGCTAATTTTCAGAAGCGACCTGGCCACAAATGATAGCTCAACGAAGTGGCTTATCATGTGGAAATGTATAGCAGCCAAATACTATAAAGGCACGTTTCTAAATGTGGAGGGAAAAACTGGAGGACTCGAAGAAAAATCAGTGCGACCATGGGGAGAACATGCAAACTCCAAATAAACAGACGTCAGGATCAGAATTGAGCCCACGATTTCCCGCATACCAGGCGAGATAGTTAACATCTCGCCACCATAGCGCGCAGAGCAGAGGCAACATAAATGGGAGCAGCCACAGCAGCATGAGCAGCAATATAAGCATCAGCGGCAGCTGTAACACAACCAGCAGCCACGACAGCAGCAGCAGCAGCAACATATTCAGCAGTAATATAAACAGTTGGGAGCATCCACTTTAGGATAACCTGCTAAATAGGCAGCAGCAACGGTCAACATATGCAGAAGCAGCATCGAGAGCACCAGTAATAAGTAGCAGGAACTAAAACAGCATTAAGAAACAGCATTGTAACTAGCAACCGAATTTATCAGCAGAAAAAAATCAACAGCGGCTCTTAACAATTGCAGCACACACCGATATACACAGACAAACATCCCCCGTATAGCATAAACACACTGTTGGGACAAGTGCTGTTAATGAGCACCTATGAAGGCCGGCACGCCACAACGAGGGGGTGGGTGGCCAGCACCACGCCCGACCGCCTTTATCTCCCCAGTGATGTTTTATTAATTTGAGGCTGAGTCGACCTAGAGGACACCTGGGACCGGTTCAGATAATCGCGACTGGTGTTGGCTGTGAGCGGGAATCGAACTCGGGATGCTGGTTACGTAGCGTAGCAAAGCGCTAACCGCTACACTACCGCTCCCAGCTATATACAAATAACAAAGACAAAGATCCCCCGTATAGCCTTGGCAGGCTGTAGGGGCAAGTGCTGTTAGTGAGCACCTACAAAGGCCTATATAAACACACACAAACACAAGCATGATTTTCTACGGATGTGAAGCCAGGTGCCGTGTGTCAATCCTCATCTCCATCGTCACTGTCGCAGTGTTCACCGATTCATTGCCCAAGGCAAAGCCCCGGTTACCGATCGCCCTGCGCAGGCTGAAGTCGTAGTCGCCGACGCTCTCGTCACGTAAATCCGGCAGCATCTTGGCGAGCGTGTGGTCCCCCACCAGCCGCTCCGGCAGGAGCCGGAGCACTCTCTCCCACTGCCCGCTCTCGGGGGGCGCCAGCATGTTCCCGTAAACGCCGTGCACGACGTAGTAATAATACCTCTGCGGCGAGACGAGCACGGAGCGCATCGCACCAATTCTGTAACGTCTTTGTTGCGATGAGAGCTCCCGAAGGGATTCGCGGAGTGCTCTGGCCCACGGCATCGGGAAACTTGTATGTATGATGTTGTTTAATTTATTTCGCACCGTATGTAGCCAACCGTGCTAACCGGAGGTGCGGGGGAAGGACAACGCATTAAACACAAAAATAAGTTGTAGAGAAGTGAGCTTTCAATCTAGATGATTTAAAAGTGCATAGCTCAAGTAGCTTCTTAATATCAAAAGGAAGAGCGTTCGAAACAGCTGATAAGCGCATCTGAAAGCGCGTGATGTAGTGACCATCTTTATTCGATGGATAGACAAAAGCCGCTGCGAGGATGACCATGTTAGTTTATAATCCTTAATGTTTGTAATCCTTTAATGTTAGTTTATAATCCTTAACGAGATCAACTTCCGACTACGACGCAAATCTGGAATGTTTGTTTAGCCTTGGTGCTGGTACTGATGGGACAGTACCTCTAGATCCTTGTCGGAAGGGATTCCTCGCCTTTCCACTTCCATCTGCTCCTGGCACATCATGATGCTGTGCTGCGCATCTGGGAACATCGGTGCGTCAATCTCCACATCCCTGGGCGCATTTTGAAAACGGAGGACCTCAGTTTTACCTTAATCAGTTTACAAATCAAGCATTCGACTCGCAATCAACACACTGGTTGTCCAGGGGATCGATAAAATCAATGCCGCTTTGTGTGAAGCTGACAGTGCGTGGTCTAAAGAGAGGGTTGGCTCCATTGACAGGAACGTAGAATTTCCACCACTGGCACAGAAGTGGCGATGGCAATGAGCATCGACCAAATGCCCGTTTGAGCATTAACTAGCACTCAGTTCCTTCCATGTTTCCGACGCATCGGGCAAACAAATGCCTCCGTCACCTCATGGTCTTGAGGAATCACTTAGGAGATTTTGCTATCCGAGCACGCAAACACTCTGAATTATTTCGTAAATTAAAGGTTGCCGACCACAATTGTGAATTAACGTGAATGCCCCGGAAAGCACGACACTCCTTTATATGCACTGTCCACTGTCTTCCGAACAAAACTCCGCGTGCAGATATACGTTCACCCGCTCGTGCCCCTTGCCTTAGAGACGGATCCTTCCTTCTGATGGCGGACCTGGTTTTGTCTCGAAGAGGAGCCACTTTCCTGGGGGAGAGTGGAGATCGAGTAGCTGTGTATTTTCGAAGGTTAGGGAAAAAAAAACGCCCCCATACAGAGCGTCGTATATCATCTTCTCCAAACTATGAGAAAATTCCCGCCCCCCCCCGCATTTTAAAACAAAGTTGGGGGATGTGGCATCTTTATTGACACCACGACCACTTCTGCCATCAATGCGTGGCCAGATGTGAATAACTTTATTTACGACGGGTACAGTGGACAACGTTCTTTGCCATCACAACGTTAGCGTATTTTATAGATTACGATGCACGTTTATTCCCAGCTTCCACTCTATATTTCCCTATCCTGGGATGTCATTATCAACATGACCCAAACGTTTAGAGTAAGTTTTCCCTCCCGTTGAGTGCTATAATTTGGAGAATGTCTTCTGCACATTGCATGTCTAATTCTACTTTAAATAGCATGAAAAGAGCTTTTTTGACCATCGATCGTGATTCGAACAGCCAATAATGATCGATGGTCTATTCGACCAGCGAGTGTGGGATTGGCTGGGGGAATTCAAATGAAAATGTGCGTGGGTTTTTCAAGACGTTAATGGCTTAAAGGAGGTTCAGGAAGGAGGGGTCGTGAGAGGATATACAGTGAGAGAAAAAAGTATTTGATCCCCTGCTGATTTTGTACGTTTGCCTATTGACAAAGAAATGATCAGTCTATAATTTTAATGGTAGGTTTATTTGAACAGTGAGAGACAGAATAACAACAAGAAAATCCGGAAAAAACGCATGTCAAAAATGTTATAAATTGATTTGCATTTTAATGAGGGAAATAAGTATTTGACCCCCTCTCAGTCAGAGAGATTTCTGGCTCCCAGGTGTCTTTTATACAGGTAACGAGCTGAGATTAGGAGCACACTCTTAAAGGGAGTGCTCCTAATATCAGCACACTCTTAAAGGGAGTGCTCCAAATCTCAGCTTGTTATATGTATAAAAGACACCTGTCCACAGAAGCAATCAATCAATCAGATTCCAAACGCTCCACCATGGCCAAGACCAAAGAGCTCTCCAAGGATGTCAGGGACAAGATTGTAGACCTACACAAGGCTGGAATGGGCTACAAGACCATTGCCAAGCAGCTTGGTGAGAAGGTGACAATAGTTAGTGCGATTATTCGCAAATGGAAGAAACACAAAAGAACTGTCAATCTCCCTCGGCCTGGGGCTCCATGCAAGATCTCACCTCGAGGAGTTGCAATGATCATGAGAACGGTGAGGAATCAGCCCAGAACTACACGGGAGGATCTTGTCAATGATCTCAAGGCAGCTGGGACCATAGTCACTAAGAAAATAATTGGTAACACACTACGCCGTGAAGGACTGAAATCCTGCAGCGCCCGTAAGGTTCCCCTGCTCAAGAAAACACATATACATGCCCGTCTGAAGTTTGCCAATGAACATCTGAATGATTCAGAGGACAACTGGGTGAAAGTGTTGTGGTCAGATGAGACCAAAATTGAGTTTTTTGGCATCAACTCAACTCGCCGTGTTTGGAGGAGGAGGAATGCTGCCTATGACCCCAAGAACACCATCCCCACCGTCAAACATGGAGGTGGAAACATTATGCTTTGGGGGTGTTTTTCTGCTAAGGGGACAGGACAACTTCACCGCATCAAAGGGACGATGGACATGGCCATGTACCGTCAAATCTTGGGGGAGAACCTCCTTCCCTCAGCCAGGGCATTGAAAATGGGTCGTGGATGGGTATTCCAGCATGACAATGACCCAAAAAACACAGCCAAGGCAACAAAGGAGTGGCTCAAGAAGAAGCACATTAAGGTCCTGGAGTGGCCTAGCCAGTCTCCAGACCTTAATCCCATAGAAAATCTGTGGAGGGAGCTGAAGGTTTGAGTTGCCAAACGTCAGCCTCGAAACCTTAATGACTTGGAGAGATCTGCAAAGAGGAGTGGTACAAAATCCCTCCTGAGATGTGTGCAAACCTGGTGGCCAACTACAAGAAACGTCTGACCTCTGTGATTGCCAACAAGGGTTTTGCCACCAAGTACTAAGTCATGTTTTGCAGAGGGGTCAAATACTTATTTCCCACATTAAAATGCAAATCAATTTATAACATTTTTGACATGCGTTTTTCTGTATTTTTTTGTCGTTATTCTGTCTCTCACTGTTCAAATGAACCTACCATTAAAATTATAGACTGATCATTTCTTTGTCAGTGGGCAAACGTACAAAATCAGCTGGGGATCAAACACTTTTTTCCCTCACTGTAAGGGACGGGCGAGGAAAGCTCCAAGTCCGCTGGAGATCTCCCTACATGTAGACTGCTCACCGTGTGGACTGCTGGTGGCGTATACAAAAGCCGCCCTTCAAGCAACTCTACATATGCCCGCTGGACTCATTGTTACACACAACGAAGGCGAACGTGGCTTGCGACCGACAAGGATACGGGAAGGAGCCTTCCTGGGGCTGGAGTGGCGAGCCGTGCGCGAGTGAGGGGCAGGAGGCTCGTAGCGCCGGGCCAGGGCCTGCAGACGCAGGCTGCTCACGCTGGGCGTGTAGTTGTTGGCGATAGACTCGCTGGGCGTGCGGTGGTAGCTCTGTTCCTTGTACGGCACCGCCTGCGTCCAGGATGCGCTCAGCATGATGGGGGGGTGTGCATTGCTGTGCATCACCATCTGCGAATACAATGACAATACTAATTCTCCAAACAAACACATTGATGGAGCGCCGTAACAAAAGTAAACCTTTATAATCATTTCGATTTAAAGCTTTCGTGACTGCAAGGATTCATCTTCTTTGGTTCTTTCGGTAAAGTCACGTAGAATGAGAATAAAATAATAAATTGATAAAATAAAATAACACAATAATATTCTCACGACGTTTTGGCCACAACACAAGCGGCCTTCATCAGGTGAAGGGGACGAGACTGTCTGGAGGACAGCGCTTTGTAATCATTATGATATATTTTTTTACAGTATTGCGTACACATACAGCCATTTTTCTACCAACGGATGGGCAAAGGCTACATAAGGTGCGGGTCATGGTGCTTCATACAATTAATTAAGCAATTCATTCACTGATGGATTGTTCTCGTACAATTGACAGGATGTGCATTATAAGTGTTATATATTGCAAAGTCGAGCGTCGAAAAAAGACTCGGAACAAAACCCGAGCGAACGTGAGCTCGCTTGGACCCAAGGGGATGCCCAGGCTCAATATCGTGCTGCTGACTGATTATCATCGCGCTCGATGGTGATCCGTGCTGCTCGCGGATCATCATCGTGCTCCATCATGCAGACAAGAAGCCTGTCGAGGGGGAGGCCAGGCTAGGGGCGATGGATCGCGGCACCTGCAGAAACATTATACGTGGCCCATTGATACTATCAGAATCATTATTTAAACTGCAGGAGGAATCTAGGTGAGAGTCTTGAGCAGCTGCTTGAAGGTGAATGATGTTGCTGCTGCGAATATGCAGTGGGGAGAGAGAGCGTTCCAGACGGTTGCCGGTGCAGCTATGGTGAAATTCCGCTGAGCCAGAAGAGTTCTGGTTCCGGAGACGTCGAGCAGATTACTAGACGTACTCTGTAGGACATGGTGGTTTGCTGTGGTCCGTGGAGTGACAAGGGTGGTTTAGTGAAGGAATTTCATTAGTAGTTATAAAAGCACTGTCCTGTACGTTGATGGCAGCCACGACAATCAGCGCAATCCAAGTGGAGGGAGGGCAAGAGACAGATTATATTAGATCGTTGTCACGACGCTCTCATTCTTGGCTTAGAGGTAACAAACTTTACGTTTGCAATTGTAAATGTAATTAAAGCTCTCCCATCACAACCCCACTCTTCAGCGGTGGCACGATCGAGTTTAGGAAAATAGTTGTGAAAAAGGCAGCTAAAACACCCTTTTCTATTTCTTTTAATTGGGACCAGAAATTTTTTCATCGAATTTTGTGAAGTTAAGTCAGCCTAAAACAACTTAGGATTGCTTGCCTGGTGCATTGCAAGAAAGTTAAAGGAGCAGTTCTGCAATTGCTTGTTCACACTGTTGCTGGTTGAAGGGCCTCCACTAAAGGGTATTTTTGGCCTCCTCTTCCATGCTGGCCAGACATCTTCGAAGAGGTAGGAGTAGAAACACTTTATCCCACCACAATGCGTGACCTGCTGATCAACTAAACTGTGGCGTACTTCGATTATACTGCTTGGTGGACAGGTGGAGGATGATTTAATAAAACTTGTCCCATTGTTGTAACAGCCGTGCCAGGAGGTCGAATCGAACCGGTTGACCTCTAGATTGGCAAGTCCAGTTGTGGACTTGCAAATTACTCCAGGACAGCTTCTGCGTTCAAATATAGAGTGGTGTTCATATGTCAACGGGTGGATGATATCTTTTCATGAAACAAAACGGAATCTTTTCCCAATATGTATTCGCATTTGCCTCACCCAGCCTTTCATGAATTGCTCAGGTGGAGCGAGTCCTCTGGCTTAAATCCCAAGAAATACGTCCACCGATGCGATTCTATTGTCCCCCACCGTACACTGCCAACCACATCTCTAAAGCGGCCCTGCCGCACCAGCTCCGTCGTGCCCCCCAGATACAAGTGCCCCCCGCGTGACATCGCCGCACGCGTCAACGGAACGACGGTGTCTGCTGTCCTCGGGGTTGTGCAATGCCACTTGCAATGGCAGTGTTGTAACTCACTGTGCGAGGCACTTATAATTCATCAAAGGAGACGGGGTGAGCCTCGTGAGACGTCTTCAATTGTTATTCCTAATTGTCTACCTGTGCTCCGCAACAGCGCATCATGCTCATCGGCACATTGATCCACGTTGTCTGCATGTAATGGAGGCTAAATTTAAACGCACAATTACTTTTATGAGCCTTTTATGGATAGTAAATATGAAGTTAAAGTGCAGTTATTGATTGCTATATATTTTTTATTTGTTAAACACGTAGGCTTTCGCGACCAATATCATCAATAATAGAGGTTTTTGGGTTAGATCGCGTAAATATATAAATGTGCCGTTAAAACCCGCCACCACCCGACACAGCCAATTAGTAAGGTCTGTCATGTAAATCATCAAATAATACATTATTTAAATGCATGCCTACAAAGGACAGCGTACTTCAATTGGGATTACCGTTGGTAGGGCTATTTTAATAAGCACAATCGACAGGAAGGACAAGTTCAAAGGGCTCGCATAATGCACATGCATCATGTACGTTGCCTCAGCAATCCAACCCCCCCCCCCACCCCACATTGTGCAAGAGCGCAGAAGCGTGGTCACCACATCTACTATGCCTCTATATAACGAACACAAATCTGGCCTGATGAAGCTGGTTGTAATTACTGGCGAAACGTCGTACTCAGCTTGTAAATGTAGTGGCTTGGCTCTCCAACACACCAGTGTGCTGTACTCGTGACGAATTGGCCACGTTCTTATTCTTAGTTTTTTCGGTAAAGTCACGTTGAAGAGAAACAACAAAATAACAAAATATATATAAAACAATAAAAAATTCTCACGACGTTTCGACCATAACTCAAACGGTCATCATCAGGTGTGTCGGTTTGCATAAATTTATTTTGAAAACGGCATATTTATTTATTTATATATATAAAAAAAACCGTTTGCGTCACGCGCAGCGATTGGCAGTTTGCCCAGGACTAGTCCATTTATTTTTTGAAAAGAGGAGGGGGGAGACGAAATTTGTTTTTATGTATGCTGTCTGAAAGCCACTGTAAGCGTGAACAATCAATCAAGAACTGAAATGATTTATCAAATCTTTCCAATGATTGCTAAGATAGAATCCATCTTCTCGGTTGAAATTGTCTCTGTGCTTGTATATGTGGATAGCCTCATGAACGAATCTCTCATGGAAGCCAGATGGCTTACAAAGAACCTCCGTCTTGGAAAAGTAAATGGCATGTGAGCCTACTGAATTAGAACAATGATCTGCTACGGCCGCGGTGTTGGTCCTACCGTGGTTAAGGTCTGCTTTATGTTCACGAATGCGGTCCGAGATATGGCGTTTGGTTTCTCCAATGTAACTACTACCACAGAGGCAACTTAGTTTGTAGACACCAGGGTATTGTATGTCCGGAATCACATCTTTTACAGACGGAACCAGATCACGGATTTTATGTAATGTGTTGAAACGGACCTGGATCTCGTTCTGTTTACGTGACAACCCTTACTAGTTGGCTGTGTCGGGTGGTGGCGGGTTTTAACGACACATTTATATATTTAGGCGATCTAACCCAAAAACCTCTACGATGGATTTTTTTTATTGGTTGGTAATAATGTATATTACTGTATATGAAGACATAAACTATATATGACTGTGTTTACAACTGCATAGACTGTACGTAATATCACTCTTTGGCCAGGGGGCACTGATGATAGTACTCAGCTCACAAATGGTAATTTCCCAGTTGACTGCAGGGGGAATCCGATGAGCTATAAAGATATTTTTCACAGATGTCCAGTGGGGGCGGGTCAGCAAGTTACAACAGCAAACCAGTCTCTCTATAGTTGGACGATCGCTGTTGACATCCCACGCAGTACTACTGTCCTGTGCCATTTACTGACATTTCTTCAATTAACCTAAAACAAAACTGCCAAGGTACAGTGAGGGAAAAAAGTATTTGATCCCCTGCTGATTTTGTACGTTTGCCCACTGACAAAGAAATGATCAGTCCATAATTTTAATGGTAGGTTTATTTGAACAGTGAGAGACAGAATAACAACAACAAAAATCCAGAAAAACGCATGTCAAAAATGTTATAAATTGATTTGCATTTTAATGAGGGAAATAAGTATTTGACCCCTCTGCAAAACATGACTTAGTACTTGGTGGCAAAACCCTTGTTGGCAATCACAGAGGTCAGACGTTTCTTGTAGTTGGCCACCAGGTTTGCACACATCTCAGGAGGGATTTTGTCCCACTCCTCTTTGCAGATCTCTCCAAGTCATTAAGGTTTCGAGGCTGACGTTTGGCAACTCGAACCTTCAGCTCCCTCCAAAGATTTTCTATGGGATTAAGGTCTGGAGACTGGCTAGGCAACTCCAGGACCTTAATGTGCTTCTTCTTGAGCCACTCCTTTGTTGCCTTGGCCGTGTGTTTTGGGTCATTGTCATGCTGGAATACCCATCCACGACCCTTTTTCAATGCCCTGGCTGAGGGAAGGAGGTTCTCACCCGGTACATGGCCCCGTCCATCCTCCCTTTAATGCGGTGAAGTTGTCCTGTCCCCTTAGCAGAAAAACACCCCCAAAGCATAATGTTTCCACCTCCATGTTTGACGGTGGGGATGGTGTTCTTGGGGTCATAGGCAGCATTCCTCCTCCTCCAAACACGGCGAGTTGAGTTGATGCCAAAGATGTCCATTTTGGTCTCATCTGACCACAACACTTTCACCCAGTTGTCCTCTGAATCATTCAGATGTTCATTGGCAAACTTCAGACGGGCATGTATATGTGCTTTCTTGAGCAGGAGGACCTTACGGGTGCTGCAGGATTTCAGTCCTTCACGGCGTAGTGTGTTACCAATTGTTTTCTTGGTGACTATGGTCCCAGCTGCCTTGAGATCATTGACAAGATCCTCCCGTGTAGTTCTGGGCTGATTCCTCACCGTTCTCATGATCATTGCAACTCCACGAGGTGAGATCTTGCATGGAGCCC